ACTTAACCGCCATGACAGATAAGAAAGGGAGATAATAAAACGAACAAGGACGGTAATTCTCCGGATAAAAAATAATTCTCGAGTACTTATAATATACGACAAATTCTCAACTACTGGGTGACCGTTTCAGCTCTCGATAGTGCCCGACTTGGATAGATTTACAGTTATACCACGTTATCGTGATGTTTTTCAAACAACACTTTACACATTTCCCCATGTGCTATTCATGGGCCAATCCTACTGTAGACGATCAGTATAATTACACACAGATTCCGCCACCTTCCATGGAGACATTAATCACAGTGTCAAGACCTTCAGTGAAATCAGACACCACAGGTCATGGCGGCATGTAAGACCTTTAATTTCCTTAATAGTTTATACACGGTGCTCAGGGGCGGAACAGTGCAAATCCGTTCACACATCCTCGATGCTCCATTCTATTACAATAAATACCCGGACCACATTGGCTCGACTCGAATTACACGATATACAAAATAGCCCTTTAAGCAACTTCTAAACATTTCTCTGACGATTAAAACAATCCATGCTTGTCGCAAGAGGCGGGGTAGCCTTGCGGTTAAAGCGTTCAGTCGACACGCTGAAGACCCGGGTTTGATTCCCTACATGGGTACAATGTGTAAAGCCCATTTCTAGTGTCCCCCCCGTGACATTGCTGGAATATTGCACAAAGCGACGGAAAACTAAACTCCCTCACGTCAGAGGCGACTATATTGATGCATGTCAATGTACCCCAATTTTGAGGATCGAAGCTCACGATGCCAGTCACTGGATTGTCTGGAAGAGACTTCATTATTAAGAGTCCGTCTTTATATCGCCGGAATATTGCCGAGTGCCACGACGTGGGATGGCGAACGGGTTTAGTATTTGTTGTAATAGAAAAGAGAGATAAATACAACGTGCAGCCGAGAAGATTAAATCAATATATATCTATCTGAAAATGAACGCATATCCATACAAAGGAAATAAACACCAAAATATAACAAAAAAGGCAAAGACCCTTACGACAAATTTATTCGTGATGAATATGATATCTGTCCAGACATGTCATAAAGATCTTATGTTAAATTACGCACCTTCGGTTATGATAATAAGGTGCATAATATTTTGCTTGACAGAAAACTCGAGAGCGTGAGTGAGCACGTCCTAAACATATCTGCACGACTTTGACCTAACAACACATCCACGACCTCGCGCAGCATACAGGTCTTGTGCAGACAGGTTACGCGTCACGGCTGAGAGAAATTCAATCTCGGCCACGTGACTATTCACCGAGGAGCGCTCCGAAACAACCAATCAGGTGCTTGCGTGAATCCTGGCCCATCAAAACCTCTTAGTTTTGTAAAACTAGCTTTAATGGTCAAGGAATATAACCAATGAAAACATACAGAGAAGAATATCATACGTCTAACTTTTACTGCAGCAATAAAAATAACTGAGATAATTCAAACTGACTACGCCGTTGTCACCGAATTGTTTGTTCTGGGTGCATATGAGTTGTGGAGTGACAGTCACATTTAGGCGTTCTCTTGTATCATTTGTACATAAAGTGGCGGGCGTATAAATAAACAGATCGATTTCTACTTGATGTTAACGGAAAGGGGCAAATCACGCTTCCATTGCGTGACAATTTGATATACAACTCGACATACCGTATCAGTGTTCACGAATGGTGTTTCAAAGTAACAGGACACTGGGTCCTGTAAGTTTAAGATGTCTGTCTGACCCATTGAAAATTCACAGGACCCATAGAATAAAATTAAACACACATTTCAGATTTAACATTTCTTATAATTGGCACTGAAATTATTAACAAACATAAGAAAAATTAAGATAAAATAAACAGCAAACAAGTGTCACATGTCACATATAACAGCTTCAGTCAAAGTCATTGTGAAATATACAGTCGGACACTGGGGCCGGTGGGTTGTAGACTTCTATCGGACCGTTGGCGAATCTGACGGATTTGTCAGAGGGTCAGACACTATTCGCTAACACTGACCGTATTCGCGTACAACAGACATTCTCGCGTCAGAAGTGTGGGACTTCATGTCGATACCGACCCTGTTTCTCCCGCGCTTGAACAGCCATAAAGACAACCTCCAATATTAAGTTGTTGAAGTCCATCCTGACAAGGTTTGTTACGTTCTGACAATATGTGACCATGTTTAGAACAGCGCTTTACTGGTACCAGCAACAAATCAATCGCAAAGACGACGTCAGTAACAGCGCCCGGTGCAATTGTCCACACTTCAGTATGACAATCCAAGAAATCGTGGCTGCGTTAAGCAAATACAAACGATTTCAGATCGAGATCACCGTTTCAATTTGTGGTGTATTAACAGTTCTGGCAGACAGTGAACTAACTTTGGATAACGTATATGACGTTAATAATTAGTATAGAAAGACAAACCTGTGTTCTATTCATTCAAACACTAGTTGTCCGAAGTAATATTGATACATGTTCATTCATCCACCGAACAACTGTAAGTTCATGTTCACTCCTTCAAAACAACTCCCATTTAGCAGCATATCCTGAAAAAACATCCATACGGGTTCGGGTGGGACCTAACCACTGTAATATCATGTTAAATATTTCAAAAGAATACCCATTTTGGTTGCATATCCTGACAAAAACATTCATACGGGTTTGGGTGGGACATAACCACTGTAATTTCATGCTTAATGTTTCAAAACACCACCATTTAGTAGCATATCCTGAAATTATATTGATACGTGTTCAGGTGGGACCTAACCACTGTAATTTCACGCTTAATATTTCAAACCAACACCATTTAGTAGCATATCCTGAAATAATATTTATGCGTGTTCAGGTGGGACCTAACCACAGTAAGTTCATTTTTAATATTTCAAAACAACACCATTTAGTAGCATATCCTGAAATAATATTGATACGTGTTCAGGTGGGACATTGATACGTGTTCAGGTCGGACCTAACCACTGTAATTTCATGTTTAATACTTCAAAACAACACCATTTAGTAGCATATCCTGAAATAATATTGATACGTGTTCAGGTCGGACATAACCACTGTAATTTCATGTTTAATATTTCAAAACAACACCATTTAGTAGCATATCCTGAAATAATATTGATATGTCTTCAGGTCGGACATAACCACTGTAATTTCATGTTTAATATTTCAAAACAACACCCATTTAGTACCAGGTCCTAAAATAATATTGATACGTCTTCATGTGCAACCTAACTATAGTGTAATTTCATGTTTAGTCGTTAGGAAAACCCATCCATTTGGTAGCATATCCTTAAGCAACATGGTCACATATCAGTTTTACCTCAAACTACTGCACTTTCTAAATACTGTGACACATATTCCACACATAACAAAGGCAGCTGCATTTAAGATACTTGGTACACTTCATCGACAATATACAACGTGCATACTGTTAACATCCGATCTATTCTGCCTCCCAGATATGGTCCCAACAAGTTCTGAATCTTACGTATTTTGGTTATGACACTCTTTTGATAACAATAAACATTCCCATGTCGCATTACGCAAATGTTGCACGAATAACAACGGCCTAGAATGAATTCGAACTGATTTTTGTGCGGTAGAAATATTCATTTCTAAATAACAGTTCACCTCACTTCGTAGATGGTTGACACATGTCATCGTATCCCAACTGCGTAGATCGAGGCTCATGATGTTGATCATTCGATTGTCTGGTCCAGACTCGATAATTTTCACATCGCCGCCATAAAACTGGAACACTGCATAGTTCGGCGTTAAACAACTAACAAATTCTAGCAATTATCACCTGGTCGATATTTCGGCTCCATTTTAAATATTGGGAATAATAATTGTACATATAAATAACATTAAAATGAGTTAGAATCACTACTACGCCTGAAATATTAATCTTGGAAGCACCAGCATGTAATCACAAGCCACATTTGCACATAAAATATTTACACATATCATTATCACCATTAACATAGAAGTGTGTGCAACATCGGCTTCTTGTATGAATTTATCTTCCCCGCCACAACACACGCAGAAAGGAGTAGGCCGTTTGATTACAGTCGGAACGGTGCGTAATGGCTCCCAAGTGTGACCCACTTAACGTTGACACCAGCATGGATCTACCAATCCGATATTTTCCAGCGAATTTGGATTCTAAATATAGCTCACGACTGCGAGGAGTAAAGGATCATGAGTCTGGCCAGCAATACGGCCTAATGTTGTAATTCTTAAGCGTTTATGGTCATACCGCTAAGTTCTCAAAAAGATGTCACAAAAGTAAGTTGGCTGCCCACGTCAAGGTGACCAGCGTTTCTCGTAGTCAGATAATTTATCGATCGTGGTCAGAGCAGCCAATGAGGAACGACGGGATATGCAGTCTGTTGTATCAACCGCTCCGGCGCCAACCCGGGTCACAGAATATACTCGCGTCATGAACGGCGGAGAGAAACCTCCTGCTACAGAGATGAAGATAACATTTCATGGTTTTGCTGCGGCTGTAGAAATATGGGAAAAGTTCTTTGTTATCAGTTGACGGGTGAATTATTTTAACAGGACAACGTTAGGTCCACCAGTAATGGGCCCCGGGCTAAAATTTTGCAGTTACTTTTAGACGTAATTGATGAGCATGTTCAAGCACACACGTGTAAACTGCTTCCATAGTCAAACTGTGATGAAATATTTATTCCTAAATTTGAATGTTAATTATGCAATAATGCCAACATTACGCTGAAATAAAATACATTGTAAACACAACCCCTTACCGTACTTTGGTTGCAAAAACATGAATTCACACAACTGTACGAAGGTCATTGGGTGCAAATATGACTCACGACAATTTCAGGTGTACATGCGAATGTGTCGTCATCACTGTCGAACGAAAGTATCACTCTGACGTCACACTGATACTTTCGTTCAACCAATAACGTTCCACCCTAATTTGCATAATTCGTCTCACGCATGCGCGACGTGTCTGAATAATGCTGCCATGTTGTGTCTGATCCAAGAGAGGTGGCCAGGGTACACGTCCATAAAATGCTCAAAAACTTTAGCCGTTGTCACAGTAAGTATTCTCATTCACCAGCACATAGCGCAGTGCATTTCTTCCACAGCAGCCTCAGTCACGAGATCCCAACAGGGCCCACTGTTCCGGCCTCGCTTTTTGAATCTTCGCCTTGTTGGAAGTATTGACTTGAACAACATCGTCGACAAAGACGTATCATGTCGTCACCGTCATCTCGAGTAGGTCCTGATACTAACTGGAGTGATACAACTTAGTGAATTCATATTCTTGGCGGGATACACATCGATTTCAACACAGAAGAGTAATCAACGTTCCAACACTCGGCTCAGCCATGTTCTCGCGTGTCCTCTGTTGTTGGGAGACGATCCCTGTAACACCGGTCACGTGATGGACGATACTATCTCAGGGGCCCTAAAGGGGTTGATGGTTGTTGATGATCTTACTTGCTACTACGTAAACGATGAGTAACCTTGTTGGTACTGTTCTACCGGACTACCAATCGTGCGAGACGTAAACTATAGTGAGTGCCTGTTCTGATAGTGTTAGACGAAAAGCATGCACTTTTGCGTTGGGGTAGTAAAATAGGTTATGTGTTTGATCAACTCGCGTTTGCAGCCGTCACAGGTTGGATGCAAGAAATTTGCGGATTTCGATAGGTTATATTATACTTGATTCTGAATTAACTTCCTGATTTTGCTTCCAGATAGACAAAACGTTCAATGCTCTTTATGAGTCCTAGAATATCGTTCTTCCACGTCTGCCACGGGACGAGATCATTCCCGCCACACTTTCGTTATTATTGTGTATCGCGGTGTTTGTCACTATCATTTGAAAAGTGGTGTTAGCGTTCACAGGTGTCGACCCGTTACTTCACGTGTCTACTTGAAGGCAAGCCTGACAGTGTGTGGATTTAGATGCTTAAACTATATGCTATAGTTTGATTGATACGGTGTACGTCTTACATTTGAACAACTGTATCAAAAGTGTTACATTATGTCGATATTTCTGGGGTTTGTTTTTCTGATTATAAAACAATATCACTAAACAAATTGTACTGCAATGCCAGTTATGATTTTAACTCAAATTCAATTAAAATATTAATGTATACTTTTCAAATATTAGTTTTGTTTACAACATTAACAAATATATGACCTTATATACTGACCTAGTGTTTTGTGTCATAAATCAGCTTGTTGATTAATACCGATTTTACAATAACATCTTAACATCTGATATATGATCTGTCGTCACCAGATTTAGATGCTTTTGCTACTGTATTGCTGACCCCAAGTGACCCTTATGAATGAACAACCCCAAGAGGGCCTCTCATCTCGTTTTAGATGCCCGGATGAACGTTTCCCCATGGACTGACTTCAACGATAAATGTCGAGAGGAAATTACCTGCATTATCTCATTTTAATATTTTTTTTAAAGTACGGTATTGGTAAGAGTAACAACATACTTTTTTGAGAAAGACAACAGTTTTCTTCGATCGTACATTGTTGATACGTATGTTATTATAGATACGCACATATAGTCTGTTTAATAACAGACAGCCGTATTAGACAGAACTGGAAGAGATCGGGGAATTAGGGGCTGTTTCGTCACGACGTCACACAATATATGATCATTACACATAGTTCAAGTGGGAATGTCGCTCATTTTCACATCATGCTATTGAGGATGTGTTTTTGTAAGCCACGCCCATGTAATATGCTTGGATGACTTACAATTAAGAAAACAACACCGTTCTGTTATTATCAGCGCTTTTTGAATACACTTGGTAATGTCTTAACTTTTCCCTGATAAAATGCCTAAGCAGTCATATTTACGCCCAGAAATATACTCCAGAAATAGATTTCGATCGATCGTGTTTTAGTCTCTTACCCTAGAGACCTTATTAGTCGTTAGGAAAATACTCCCAGTAACTCTATTTTAGCTGAGTGAAACATAGCGACATCGAACGCAGACTATCGCCAGCCTATAATATCCACCCACCCAAGTTGGGGCCGCTCGCCCAACATTCACCAGTAACGCGAGGATACTCAGCGTTCCTTTGTCTGCATGGCCGCCCCGCTCTGGGAAAAATAGACTAAACTACCTTTGAGAAAACCCCTATCGGTACCACGCGCTGGCAGCTGATTGGCCAATCGATATTCGACATGACGTCATGCGACCTCAAGGTAGCTCACTTCTACTGCATTTAAATATTATTTCTGAAATTGTAATTAGACTTCTAATTAATTAAAACAACCGCCCACGCATCGAGTACTCTTATCGGGACACGTGACGAGGGATGTAAAATCTCTGTCTTTTTCAGGTAAATGAGAACTGAGAAATATAATTGTGTACAAGGCGAGCTGGACATTAAGACTAGCGCTTTTATCATAATGTTGATAATATGTGGAGCCCTGGTTTATATTCGAAATTAACATTCAAACAGCAACTGGCGGTGAGATCCTCAACCGCTATTGTTAAGAGGTCAGGTAAGGGCGTATCGTTCATGAAGATACGGATTTCTGATAGCGAGCTGCCAGAGTGTAGTACATAGAAACTATGCTTGTTTTCCATCTAGAAATGTTTCAAAATACACGTGCATCGACTTACATGGTAGTAGTTATGCATTTATAACACTTAAAAGGGTCTGTGATTAATCACCAAATTCACTTTGATACGACCCCTATTTCGCCGAGTGGGATCGTCCGCAAACGATGTTGCTATAACAACCTGGCGTTGGGCCAATTCAATGACCTTTGAAAAGCGTTCGTTCGGCGTCTAGCGGAATACGACGACGATTACAGAATACGATGCTCAGCTGGCTATTACCGCATTTCTTACTTACAACTTGACGTAGAAATCGTTTCTTAGAGTTTGTAGTAGCCATAGCCGACAACATACAACTACGGATACAGTGGAGATTTGCGAAAATTAAATGTCCAAAAAACAATAATTGGAATCAAGATCGATATGACTAACGTACACTCGTAGGCTCCCGTTTAACTGGATTCGTGTCAAGAAATAGTTCCAGTTTCTGCTGGTACTAATAGCGTTGTCGATTGATCTTGAATGGTTTATTACGTTTCGGAGGGTTTACACATACACGTAGGGTCCGCCCTTCCTAAGGTAGCATATCGGCTTATTTTGTACTTTATATCCGTGTTTGAATAAAACTTAATCTCCTGATGAGAAAATAATATCTATTTTTTTTAAACCAAACAAACAGCACACCTGCTTTCTCTCACTGCGTATACCGTATTGCCTGTAAACAAATATTACAGTTACGCTTGAATAATGTGCCAGATGAAATTTGTAAGGTTGTTATATCGCTTGGAGACTCGCTCCATTCTAAAATAGAGTGAGAGAAGATCGGACTGCCGTTAGTGAGTAACGGGGGGTGCAGAGACACCCTTTCTCAAATAGCTGTATCCGCCCCTGGAGTATATGTAAGGTCAAACTTTATATGTAGCAACGTCCCACAACACGAAAGCTGAGATTTTCACCACCTTGTTGTAAAGACAGACTCTCAGCTATTCTGGATTCAGTTCATGTTCAGGAATACTGTGCAACATTATTCACAGTTTTCATTCGCACGAAATTTTTCATTTTCTTATATAAGAGGGTGACGATTCGTCACCTTCAATGCTATTTAAGTCTCTGAGAGAGAGCAGGTACCATGTTGGTGTGAGAATATGTAACACCAGTCGTTGTACTAACGTCACATCATAATGGACAAATGATACTATGCATGCCAACTACCCGTCTTTCCTTGTCTGATGTGACGGGATGGTGTTGTGTATTGCATGTATTTGACAGAAATTCGGATCATATTTACGGCCCTGGGCCCCGTTCCTCAAAGAGATCGTAGCGCTACGACAGTCGTAAGTCTATGTTAAAGTATGGGAGTTACGACTGTCGTAGTGCTACGATCGCTTTGAGGAACGGGGCCCAGTACACTTTTATGTTAATACAGATGGATTCATGGTACATATTCATCGTAATCATTCATGGGATTCCGGAGTAGAATGCCGTGCAACAGGTTTGTTGTGAGACGACCAAAGCGGACTTGATTGTGTGGGTACTGGTTGAAATAGTATGCTGATATTGTGGGAATATTGTGGACTGGCAGGGGTCTGTTAATCGACAAGTATTTGTCATATCGACAAGAGAAACACCGGATATCGTGAGGTGACATAAAGCCAAAATAATGCTCACATTGGATTTTAAATGTGGTGATTTGGCTTCGGGTGAAGTCGTGCGTGAGGTTGACATTGTGCAAGGGGATCATGCTGACATTCCGGGGTAACGCACATTGTATGAAATAAAAGTGAACCTATGCATCTAAAGCAGGATTTCCTTTTACGGATTTGAAACAAGTTTATCACTACAATACTCTGGAAATATCTTTCCTGTCGTTTTGTATGTAACTTGTTATGTATGCTGTGTGGTAACAAGTCTCATTACAGATTACTAAGAAACTGCTCATGGAAGCATAAGATCTGCTGTATATCCAGTCGGGGTCGAATCAGTCGGTCTTCGGTAAACAAGATGTACCACCCAGTCGCGGATGTCACTAAAATTGCGATTTTTTAATAAAGGTTATTGTTGTAAGAGACGACTAACGTGATCATGTGGTCATACTTGTTTGATACATGTCAAGGTATCCCAGTTGCGTCGATGCCCCTGATGTCAATCACTTGATTGTTTAGTCCAGACTCGATTATTTTCAGATCGCCGTCATATACAGTAGATGGAATATTGCCTAGTGCAGAGCTATACATATAAAAATAAAAAACGAAATCGAACAGCGAAGGCAGTTTGAAAGTTGTTTTGGCTTTGACTTCCGGTCCATATTTGGACCACAGGATTGGGCACCTGTAACTTCCGGTACAAAAAAACCAACAAACTTTGGACCAAATGCAGCAAACACGTGAATATACGATTTTTACCGCCACAGAGCCCAAGATGAATGCATTAGTTATTGAGTAATCGCGTTCCAGCACTGGAGTGTGAGATATGTCATAATGTTCAAAGGGTTGTGAGCACGTGCTGTCTGTGTTTCACAAGCTATGTTTGCCAAAGCTCCTTTGAACTATACGTTTGAACAGTTATCAGTCTCTATTATCAGTCCTATTTCATTTGGAGTTGTGTTTGTACGGGAGTGTACAGCGAGCTATATCTTACTGCTGCTCATAATTGAAAGATGTCATCTGAATTTACCGCAGGCGGCTGGAACTGCACTAATCCCGTGACCCTCTTACTGTCAAACTCTTTTCAGTGTGATTTTTATTGCGCACGAGTCACAGTGGTAAAAGGCAACTGCATGCAGCAGATGTACCTGAAACAGTGGAGTGTTAGGGAGAACGTACGCTGAATATATATGAATACATCGATGCACAGAGAGTGAGTGAGTTTAGTTTTACGCCGCACTCAGCAATATTCGAGCTATATGGCGTCGGTCTGTAAATAATCGTGCCTGGACCAGACAATCCAGTGATTAACAGCATGAGCATCGATCTGTGCAATCGGGAACCGCTGACATGTGTCAACCAAGTCAGCGAGTCTGACCACCCGGTCCCGTTAGTCGTCACTTACGACAAGCATGGGCTACTGAAGGCCAATATTCTAACCCGGACCTTCATGGGTCTAGATGCAGAGAGAGAGATTCTCGTATGTTTCAGATAATGTATGTATGTATGTATGTATGTATGTATTCTCTTCTGTGCGTGCGTGATCGGATTAGAATTTGAAATGCTTGCTTTGGTTGATAATATAATGACTCTACATCACTTATTCAGAATGCATATATGTAATATTCAATATTTTCTGACCAAACAAAGCAGCCAGACATGACCAAACTACTGCATCAGTCTCAATCTACAAGTGACACCTTTTGTTATTTTTGTTATGATGTATTATCAGATACACATGTAGTTAAGTTGTTATAATCCCCTGCCCAAATATATTCTTTGATCCAGATGCGGCTCCGTCCGTATGCCCACCCCGTCTCGGGAGCAAAACTGAGAAATAGTTTCTTTACGAAACTTTGAGTTAAAGAAACCTAAAAGCAGTTAACAAACGTTAGGTGGGAAGAACATGCACCCCTCAAAAATGAAAAAGAAACAAACTTAGAGCTCTTTTGTAAACGTAATCTATAATCGAAAGAAAGTAGGGACATGATTTCTGGGTTGAAATCGAAAAATCTAAGTATATGGTTAGGCTGGACAATAGTTTGATATTATTAAGGCAGCCTGTTGTGACAAGGTAAAGGTAAAATAACAAGGGCTTTTGTAACTGGGTCAGAACGCGTTAGGCTAGGTTGAAGTCAGTCTACCAAACAGTAGACAATGACGTTCGTTGACTGATCATTCTAAATTTAGATCTAAACGCGTGAGGCTTTGCTTCCTCGCCGAGATAAAACTGTGTCAGTCACCAACGCGTTCAACTCCACCCCACTCTTTCATCTCAAGTCCAAGGTTCTTATTTTATGATTTATCCCTATTAAAGTTCCTTCTGTATACTGAGGCGATGGGAACGAAAAGTATTCTTCGCAAACGCATAGCGATATTTCATTACTTTCCTACGCAACCCATGCAAGCTCCTCACAGCGATAGGCTGTTCGCTGAGCTCTCATCTCTATCGGGAGTGAAACGATGGTCTCACGCAATGGATGCGGCTCACGGCGAACCATGCCACGATCGGCCACTACCCCTGAAAATTTGCGGATACGGAAAGGGGCGAGGTTGACCGATTGACATGAATGGTCGAAGCGCCTCCGTTGTCACCTTTGGAAAAAGGGTTATTGTTCATCTGAAAACGCTACAGTGACGGTGTATATGCGTTCATACAGTCCCCATCGACCGGGCGTGCGTACAGTGTGGATAAACGCGGCGCGGGGAGAGTGGGCCCCGACGGCTGTTCGGCGCAGTGTAGTAGTCATCACCGCGATCGTTGAGATACGGTTTGGGTTGAATGAGGTTGAAACCTGACGCCGTTCTCCTCAAGATGCCGTGCAACTGTACAGGATATTCACCGACAAATTATTATGGTTGAGTTGAAAACGTTTCAGTGACAAAAACGGAATCGTAGGGCTACAATCCAATGCATAAGGTGAATTTAATATGGGTGGTAAATACTGTTTTATGAAGATGTATTGCATCACTACAATAAGCTGCTCAAAAAGGAAACGTAGACATTCACCAAATGGTATCACATATTCCGCTGGGATTATGCAGCTGTTTATCAAGAAGTCAAATCCTGAACATAAACTGGAATCAAAACGCTCGCACTTGATAATAATGTGAGGATGGTGGTTGGTTGTGATACGAAAAGAGAAAAACTGATGCCATAAATACTCTCAATAATCAACAAGCAAACATATTTTTCATTTGACGAATACTCTACTCGTGGAAAGCAGATAATATAAAGAGAACATATATCATTGGAGAAAATGCACAAAGCTATTTTGATGATGAAATTGCAAATTGTGCCATTCCGAACAAAATTAATATTTTAAATCCATTTCAGAAAGTTGAGCTCAACACGTACATTTTTTATGATAAATGTTTGACTTTCTTTTATTTACCCAGTTAATGTTTGGTGAGAAATTGTATTAAATGAGCAATACTTTTACACAAGTTTTTCTATATTTTTGTGCTGGATATGAATGCTGACAATGGTTAGACAGACCAATACAAGTAAACTCACAGTGGTGAACCTGAAAGCGTCATGTTTATATAGTGTGTTTTCCTTTCTCAGGTGTAGAATGTCAACCAAAGAACCTCAATCACAAGTCTTCAAGCACAGTGTGAAAGGTATGTAGAGTTTAAGATAAGAAAACAATACCTTGAGGTTTAAAATTAAACACACAAAATTTGTGATGTGCTTCAATGAATGAGGTTACCGGTACTTGTGTTTACGTCAAATTATATTTGATTCAGCACATGTAACCTCTTTGTTTCCATGACCTGTTTTGATACAGGTGGTAATACGTGAGGTGAGGTGAGGTGAAATAGCGTTTAACGTCGTGCTTGAGAATATTTCGCTCATATGACGACGTGCATGCGTATTTATGTGTATGTGCGGCTGCTTGTACTAACCCAGACTTAAGCTGGTTTTATAGTGCTAGCCCACTGAGATACCATGCCGCAGTGAAGCATGAATACCCCACTCAGACACATTATACGGACTCCGAGCCGACCAGTCCTTGTTGTACCCATTAATGCAGAGCGCCAGGCAGGGACCAACAAGTACCATATTTTAATGTCTTTTTGGTATGACGCGGTCGGGGATCGAACCCGCAACCCTCCGCTCTCCGGGCGGACGCTCTAACCACTAAACCACGGAGGCGGTCAGGTGGTAATACGTCCACAGGACTTAGGAAGTACTCTGATGCTGCTCTATTATTTACAGACCATGATGGATAGAATATTGAAGATGACAACCGTAGACAGCTTTCACTCTTTCACAAAATCTAGTGTAGTAATGTTGAAAAATAAATCTTTAACTCATTGATTGTGTTGATGAGAAAACACACAGGCTGTAGAAATGTTATTATGTTTCAAATGATGAAGTTTTTAATCTCGCAAGCATAAATGGGTTCATAAGCCATGAATGAGAATATCACTTATGGGCCAACAGCATATTTTATGTGCTTTTCTAATACTTCTTCAACAACCCGTGTCTGTCGTAAGAGGCAACTCATGGGATTAGGTGGTCAGGCTCACCGACTTGGTTGACACATGTCATCGTATCCTATTTTGCTTTGATTGATGCTCATGATGTTGATCACAGCTGGAATATTGCTGAGTGCGATGTTAAAACAAAAACACAAAAAATTATTTGGAAACGAGATTTATTCATATCTATTTTTAGGTGACTCTCTCACGATAACCACTGCCAGAAAATCTACTGCTAAATTACCACAAGCCTTGTCACTACCTAAGCTGGGCATAACCAAATCAGAAGGTGACAGTGGGATTGGTTCATCTGATTCTTCGGACTCAATGAGTGATGTGAAGGACAGTTTCCAGGAGGCAATAATGAACCTCAAAGCTTTGAATGGGGAAGGGGACAGCGCCAAGACTGAGTCTGGTTTGGAAAGCGACACTGTTAAGGAGAAATCAGGGAATTTCAATGGCAAATCTATACTAAAAGCCAAAGCAGATATAGATGATCAAGCAAATGGTGATGCCAAGGCTGTAGCTTCTCCTGGAGTAGACTCTAAGCCAAGTGACAATGGACACGAGACTCCTAGTATAGAGTCAGTTAATGATATTGAGGATGTCAAGGAACAGGAGGAACCCATGGAAGTAGAAGATGAAGTAACAGAACTCTGTGAAGAAGCTTCTGAAGTTCAGTCTGATGAACCTTCCCAAGTCCAATCTGAAGAACCATTGGACACTCTGTCTGAAGAGCCACCAGAAGCCCAGTCTAAAGAACCATTGGAAGCTCAATCTGAAGGACAATGTGAGATTCAATCTGAAGAACCATCAGAGGTTCAGTCCGAAGAACCATCTGAGGTTCAGTCGGAAGTTCCTTCTGAGGTTCAGTCTGAAGTTCCTTCCGAGGTTCAGTCTGAAGAACCATCCGAGATTCAGTCTGAAGAACCATCTGAGGTTCAGTCAGAAGTTCCTTCCGAGGTTCAGTCTGAAGTTCCTTCCGAGGTTCAGTCTGAAGAACCTTCTGAATTACAGTCGGAAGCACCGTCAGAAGTTCAATCTGAATTGCAATCAGATGCTCAGTCTGAAATGCAGTCTGGAGCACCATCTGAGATACATTCAGAGGAAACATCTCAGGATGCTGATAGGGAGACATCTGCAGAACCAGAAGTATCTACCTCTGATAAAATTGAAATACTAGACAGTGACAATGAAGAAACAAATGAAACTGCCAAAACATCAAATAGCTGTGATGATGAAGTGATGCTGCTGTCCGAAAGGGAACCTGTAACAGAAAAGGATGAGAAGTCTCAGGATTCTGAGCTTGGGGATCATCCTTTGACGATCGGTGATAAGGTCAGAAACTCAGTGAGAGATATCATGTCCAAACTTAAACAGGGTAATGAGTTGAATAAACTTTTGGTGAAGCCCAAACACGAAGAGTGTATGGATATTGAACCAACAAGTGGTTCGTCAGAAAAGAGCTCTGAAAAGAGCAAGCTCCTGTCTCCATCTCCCAGAAAGGGCAACCTGTTTGAGAATCTAACTGTGATAGGAGCTGGGAGTGCATCCAGCAAAACCGATGGTAAGAAATTGATCATCACTATTTGTTTGACCCACTGATAGCAGTTTATCGTTGGAAACCAGAAATATTGTATGTAGCAGCTGTCTTCACTATCATCATGTAAATGTAGGCCAGATGTTACATCAAATCACGCTATATATTTTTCATCAAGAGTGACTATCAAGTATGTTAAAAATTAACTTTTCGGATACCAGTGTTGCAATAGTATTGCTTCATCTATTCTCAGAAGCATCCTAGGTCATTGATTTTATTGAAACATTTAACAGAATGACAAAGTGTAAAACGTTCACACAAAAAGAATCTTCCATTGAGTATATTTTTATTGTGGAAGTTGTAAGTGAAATTAATAATGTTTCCTGGATGACACCCACGTATCTCTTCAACATTGTTCAAGCAGAATAGTTTAGATCAAAACAAATCAAAGAGAAAATAATCAAAAGAGTTCATTTAAAATTTCTTTAGGTTCATTGATGCATTAGTACTTTGATAAGTTGTTGAAACCATTTTTTTGGTGTTCTTAGACTTTCAATACTTTCATTGATATTGCAGCTTTTAAGTGCATGACATGACCATATTTTTAAACTAAATGAATTTCAGGGCTCCATATATGGGCTGTGTCGGCGTATGTACGGATAAAAATTATGCATGATTCCAACATTTTATATTGATGAAATGCATTTACACTTGTCTTGATAAGAATGAAAAGATACAAGTCTTTTCTTGAATCTTGGTGTTATGTCCCAGTTCAGATTGTCTTCCATTTTGTGCAGGTAAAAGTGCTAAGGACATACAAGATGGAAAAAATGTCACAAAGAATACATCTGAACAATCAGTTTCACAAGAAAGTGATGTGGAATTAATTGATGATGACTCTGACAAGAAGGACGATGATATTATTCTATGTGATGATGAGGAACCTATGGTCAACTCAGGTAACACAAAAGTTCAACCTCAGGGTACAGACACAATTAAGAGTGAATTTGTTTCTAAGGAACCCATCACAGCCGAGACCAAGACTGAGTTCATAAGGGAAAATGATAAGCCTGTTGAACAAGAGGTGAAGAAAGAAGTCAAATCAGAGTGTAAAGTGGAAATAGATGATGATATCAAACCTATGGAGATAGAGGAGGAAAAGGACAGCGAAGTCAAAGAGGAAGTGGAAAAGGTCACACAAGAAGATTCAGCTGAAGCCGCACCTGCCTCTAGAACTGATCGTAAGAGATCTCAGGAAGATCCAGCCTCAGAGTCCGGGGCTCCACCCAAGAGGTCTAGGCTGGACATGGTCATAGGAAAGTTGGGATCACAAATTGGAATTTCTCCTGATACCATCAAATCTGATACCTCGGATGAAGACTCCCACCCAGGGAGTGAGATGAGTGAGAAGTCGGAGGATGCCTTGTCTTCTGTGAGCGATGAGGATGATGACAAGACATCTCAGTCAAGCACAAAGACCATTAGGCTATCAGGGAAGGTATGTTGCATTATCAAAGTTGAAGTCATCGAAGATTTGTAAGTAAGGAATCTGTAGTCAGGTATTTCCAGCTTACTTTGTAGTTCCACCTCAAATACTGAAACTAGAAAATATGGCCTAGTACGGTATTTGGAATGTAGATATTTTGATAATTAACCAATTACAAGGATTTGAACATTTTGGATCAATTGTAATTTTTGGTCACATGGATTTAATTAAACATTACATTTTAGCTCTGAGGTTAATCAAGGAGTTTGTAGATTTGTACTTGGATGTAGTATTTGAACTTATTTAGATGAATGTCACCTAATGTCAGATTGATTTGTTAAACATATTTAACTTTAAATACTGCATTGATGTCATGGCTGATATGTTGACTCTTGGCTGTGCAAACTTAAAGTCTGTCAAGTAAGTCAATGTGATTTAATGTTGTTAAATGCAACTGGCCAAAATGTACCCTCATGGTGCTACAGAAGGTCAACTTCATCAAATGTGTGAAACTACTGGCAGTCTTATGTTGTAAGTGATGATCTCATCAACCAATTGTTTTTCTTCCAGGAATTAGAAGCTCTTGTACGAAGTAAAGTCTCTGCCTACCTCAAAGCTCATCGTGACAGCAAAATGGATTCTCTCAAGTCCAAGATAGTGGATCTGCAGATGGCCAATGAATCGTGGAAAACTCAGGCTAAAGAACTGCAGAAGAAGGTCCTGGAGCTCACTGTTTTACAGCAGAGGTTGGAGAAGAGAAAGGCGGCTACCGCTGCACTCAGGGTAAACCTGCTGGACATCATTCTTTTCTGTTTCCAGTTGCATTGTTATCCATGCCATGGTAGACACCATTGGCCAGATCCAAACAATCCACAGCTTATTTTGGACTGGTGGTATGTGTAAAATATCCTGATTTTTGGAGATGACCAGTCCCACTAGATCTTCACTGTATCTGACTAAATGGCTAAAGGCCATGTCTACCTTTGCCTTAGTATGGGGAAGCCAAGTCTGTTGAAGGGTACTGAAAATGTGTAATAAGTTTGTAGGATAATACTTTTCTTGATGCTTCATTATTGTAAGAGTAATAAAAATAAGCTGAATTACTGAAGATGATACAGAGATGCCAACTCCTACAATTTTATCATATTCCTTATGAAAAAAAATAACAACACAAAATACGCGACTACGATAACAGTAAGAAGGTACAAATTTTAAAAAAATACATTAAATTAAATTATAAATAGCATACGTACCATACACAATAAATTGCAACTACATTTTATTCAGTATCAAGCTGTATGTGGATACTTACTACTGATTTAGGTGAGTACAATGTTAGTAACAAGTTCTTAGAATATCTATATATTCTGTATTAAATATGAAAATTCTTTGGAAAGGTTAATACTAATTTTTGCTTCAGTTTTTGGCCAAAATACTAATTGGGGTAACTTAGGGTTGGCATCTCTGTTGATATGTGAGATGGGTTACATCCAAGCAGGATAATGCCAGTGATTCCCTGCTGCTTGTGTATGTATGATATTCTATTCTTTCAGCAAATAACAACTCGCAGTGTGGCTGTGCAGGCCGATGACACCAAGGTAAGAAACACATACATACAAATAATAATCACCGAAAACCAGCAGTCATTGAAATATGTGATGATTCTTTTATTGGATATGGGTGATATATATTTAGTTAGATCATGGAATAGGTGTTTTTAAAATCTGGAATGATTACCTGTTACCTGAATGATCACCTTTGAGTATATTGGTGATAAATGGAACCACTATCCCTTGATTTTGTAGAATTCTCCAAAATCTTTAATATACATATATATCTGCTAATAACTGAAGTACATAGACCTTAGTAGTCGGTGTCAAGTTTACGATATTTAGTTTTACCACTTACCTTGATAGCTCAGACAAGTAGAGTGAAAAAGGCTGTTCCACACAACTAAATATTAGCTTTATATGAAACAATCAATAGAACACACATTCAGCGAAGGAAGTTAATATGTGTGCTTATCTCACAGGAAAAACAGACTTTGCAATCTGAGTCTCAGGTATATATGGAGTGTGGGTCTTGAACTGTAGGGTTTGTGTTAGTTTTGCTGTTGAACTGATTTCACATCCTGTCCTTCACCACTCGACAACACCTAGCATGATCCATTGTTTTTTGTGATTTTTTTTAAAACAAATCTGTCCGATTGATGTTATGTATGAATTGTATGTTGTCTTGAAATTAATTGTCACAGAACTAACTTCTAGAATTGTTTGAACAGGTGATTGTGATTTAGGAATTAAAACAAACAAACAATAACTGAATGAATGTAGTATAGTTTGCAGAGACTACATGTAGAGTAGATCTGTTTACAAGTGTTGAAGAGTTAGCTCCCTTGGGTAGTCATCCCTGCATGACTTGAGGTTTGCCTGTTCATGAGGTTGATAATGGTTCATCTGAAGTTTCTTTCAACGGTTTTTGTCAATTAAATGCCTTTAACATGTTTAACAATTCTGATATTTTTCACATCTGTGACTAACAATGTTTCCTGGTTGAGTCTTGGTTAAATAATCAGCCGGAAATTTACCCATGCACTTGGCATCAGATCTATAGATAAATAAGCTTGGAATAATTGAGAAGGTTGAATTATTTAACTTACGTCAAATATGTTCCCAAAAGTCTACAATCTCTTGTTAAAATGATAATTACATAATGTTACTGAAAGTATATCCTGGTGGGTATAATGTATTTTTCAGCTTAAAGATTCCACAAGGAGTAGCCAAAAACTCCACTTAAAAAAAGTGATGAAGAAATTTTTAATTTTTTATCCCTCACCACAGATTGGAAGTGAATATTGCAATAGGTGCTCTCAATCCAACCTTCTGTTCGTTATGTTTTGTTTCCAGAGCATGTAACTCAAGGCCTAGTCTGTCTCACAGTTCCTGAACCTCATTAATTTACCTACTGCCAAGCCCTCTCTGCAGTGCTGAAGCCCTAAATAAAGCAAGTCTAGATTTCCTCAGGTTCTGAATCTCTGGTCTCCCAAGGGCTCCTTTTCAATATAAATGGGCTTGTTTGTTACTATCAAAATTATATATATTCAGAGACTAAGCCTTAGTCTGCTCAAGGCCATTCAACCTGTTACCTTTTTTTTTCAGTCTGGCCATGAACTGGTGCCTTTGGCTACTTAGGCATTTTGGAAGTTTTGGGGTTGTTTATTTTTAAGTTTTCAGGACAACAAATTCCAGTCAGTCATGAACCATTTGTATTTTCTCACTAATAAGTTAAGTGATCAATAGCTTACCCTTTATGTTGTAGGAATTTTTTGTCTTGCATATTTTGTTTTAATTCCATCAAAACATATTGAAAACTCCACTGATTCTGTGATAACCACTGTACTGGATTGGATTTTCAAATTAACAACGTCCTGTTACAGCTAAAGGTACTTGTCATCAACTGCCGATTAATCAGGATTTAAATTGTGTCATTAACCCCTTAACAAGAAGAACATGGCAGCTTTGGGTTGTTGAGCTTGATAATATATATAAGTCTTGAACCAAATAAACATACCATTGGTGAGGGATACAAGTTTTAATGCACATTTCAATTTGCCCAACTGCTGCATCTTCAAAAATATTTAAAACAGGATACAACTGGAAATTATATCGAAAAGTAACTTTTAAAGTTTTTCAAATAGTGGAACAAAACCTTTTTTATAATCTGTGGACTCTCCAGTCCTCTTATAAAGTGAACAAAACCCTCTCTGAAGTAGATCCTTTCAGGAGGCTAAGATTCCTTTTGACAGAATCAGCATTGTTCACTCGACCAAACCAACTCAGTTTCAACTCGGTACTGACCGATACACATTTGGGATTATTAAACCAACCCAAGCTAACTTGTTGCAAGTCCATAAAGAACATATTTTTATGTTTTATTATATATTTTTTCATTGCCCAACTGACGCTTCTAATGATTCAATGTGGACTTTGTTTCCAGACTAATTTTGCAACTGGTTTGGCAGTGAAGCAGCCTAAAACTCCCCCTAAAGCAGCTGCACCAGCTACCAGTACCAGTTTCTCCATGCCAATATTCTCCAGCAACACTGCATCTGCCCCCGTCAGTTCGACCAGCGTGGCTGGAGTTGTGTTTACATCAGGCAGCAAGATATCCCCTGCCTCTGCAGTCCCTGGTACCACAGTCAACAGGAGCAGTGTCTCACAGGTATGTTGATCTTCCTGTATGTGCAGAACAATGTTTCTCAGCTGAAATATCAAAATATTGATTAATAATGCACAAATAGTTCTATTATCTTACTTGGGAAGCCACAGGCCATATAGTACAATGTATAAACAGTGTTGAGTTAAAAGACTGATCTTGGTACATACTTTCTGAATAGTTGTGTTTACAGATTATATCATTGTTTCTGATCATCAGTAGATGTTCCCAAGCTTTGATTTGGTTGAACAAGCTACATTTGCAAGGGAGGGATTTGTGATTTGGTCAGTAGGAACTGGACGTCTTTAAGGTAATTTACCTGATTTCCTTAAATAATCAGGAATTTCATGTTGTGAGATAGTGGTAATTTCTGCTTTCTGTTTGTGTCATATCTACCAGCAGCTATTCTGTGTATATGACCAAATCTTGATGTACTCATTTCAGTTGTTGTCTGCTACTGCTGTTCCGACCCCTCCATCAACCAATCTCATAGCTGGCCAGCCTCCACTAGGTAGCTTGACCGGAGTCCGACCTCAGCTTGCCCACCACCTGAACACTGCCCTGTCATCAGCCCTTCCCACATCCTTAACCACAGTGCGCAGTCTCCTTGACAACACCAAGACCATTGACACCACCAGCAAGTTACAAACTGTTTCAGGCCAGCCCATATCAGGCTCCAATGTCATAGTTGTAAGCTCTCCCAATCTTGCTGGTCAGGTTGGGGCTAAAGGGATTGTGAATGTGCCCAAGGTGATTGACTTGACATCCGATGATGATAACACTAAAGGTCCAGCAACTGGGACTCAGCCTGCACGAACAATGACAGTGATGCCCCGGGACAGCGGTTTCTGCTCTTCGTCCGGGTCTTGTGCAGCAACAAGTGATCAGAGGGGTGAATCCACTCACTTTACAACAGTCACTGACTAGTGGAACATCTATCCTACTTAGTTCACCAGGACTTGTCAATGCAGGTGCCCCGAGTTTAACACGGCCAGGAGGGACATTCCAAATCGTGACTGTAGCATCAGGGTCCAATCTACGACCAGGAACCTTACTGACTGTTGTTCCTGCTTCCAGCCATGTTAACACTCAACAGACTCAAATACGCACAACTGTTCCCACGGTTCTACCTGTTGCTAAGCCGGCAGGGACTCCAGTGGGGCAGACCATGCCTCAGTTACGTCCAGGTACAATCACTGTTTCGGACTCCAGTTAGACCGGCCTCTTCATTACAGACAGTAACAACCAGACCACCACCACCTCTACAAACAGCACCTTCATCTACTCCAGCGTCAACAGTGAGTGGACAATCATTATGTGTATATGGTCACCGTCTCAGCCAATATTATTTTCGCCTTTGAAGTCAAATATGGTTTCAGCTTCAGTTTTACTTGACAGAAAAGAAGTTACTTATCAACAAAGAGAACCGGTGAAGATCCGGGTTAGAATTGATATATGGTGGGACTATTGCTGAGTGGGGCATAAAACTAAACTCGTTCACTCACTCACTATTAACAAAGAGAGATCAAATAGTACATGAAACTATTAGTGATTGATAGTACAGTGTTATTGCTATTGATATGTATTGTTTTCTCTCTGACACAGCCCATCTCTCTGGCTCCTGCCCCAACTGCAGCTCCAGCACCTGCCTCGTCACCTGCAGCCACTCCGAAACATCCAGCACCGCTCCCTGCCAAACCAGCCAATCAACTCAGCAGGGGGATCAAGGGAGTCATGCCTCCAAAACCAGGTCTCAAAATCTCAAGAGTCAGTCAAGGTATGTGTATAACCTCTATCTTCAACATATTCTGATACCTTTGTAGCTGCTTGAATGATAAACAGAAGCTGAAAACAGACATTCCTAAGACCAAACCTGTGAAATAATTATATGAATCCTTGGGCCTTTTTTTGTATTACTTGGTTACGATTTTTTTTAAAAATATTAGGTCGGTAGGAAGGCAGAGAAGAAAAAGGGAATATGGAGATGTTGTTTGCACACTTGAGTGTATTATACATGCCTGGTGCAGCATGCCTGCTGAGCAGCCTGTGGCATTCCCTTTCTCTCTGTTCCACTCTGTTTCAGGGAATATTTAAAGGTATAATTTGTTATTTTTAATTTAAGAAAAAAAATTCCACATACTTTGTTTTTTATCAGGTTGCCGGCATATAATTGCAAAAACAAAATGTAAAAACAATTCACTTCCTTCACATTTTGGGTAGGTGGATCTATAAACCAAGTAATGAAAAAAGAAGGCCTTGATGGATTTCAATTCTGGTGTAGGTCACTGTCCACATGTGCTTCTAGCAAGAGGTGACTAACTGGATGGGGTGGTCAGGCTATGTGACTTAGTTGCTGATGTGTCATTGTACCTGATGACATTGGGTTTTGCTCCTTATATCAACCACTGGTATTTCCAGACTTGGTTATATCCAGGACCTCATGATCACAAATACTGCTGTATTCAACAATAAATGAAAACTAGTTTTAGTGTTGACTGCTAATTTGCCCACTTCTCCTACCTTTGCAGGTATTGTGTTGTCCTGGAACATGACACTACAAGACAACCATGCAGAGATAGCCTCTTACCAGCTGTTTGCATATCAGGAGAGTTCTGCTCCACCAAGCACGTCTTTGTGGAAGAAGGTGAGGATATTAAACCTTTGATCATACTTTTTAGCATTTCAGGCTTTGGTGCTTTAGTACTTAGCAGTGAAACAAAGAAGCGTTTGAAACAAAACAATAATTGAGTGACTTTGCAAACATTTAAGAACAGACATGTGTTTATTCTCAACCCAACAGCCTGGTATCTCTTCTTTGTTTTCATGCTACTGTGATACATTGGTAGCTGGAATATTGCTCATTGCAATAGTTAATAAACAAATGAGGATATCATCTGCGAACATTTTGTCCATCACCAAGGGTATATCTGTAGATATTTATATGTTCCTGTTCTTCTTGTGATTTTAGCTATTACAGTTGTGTACTATTTAATATTTGCAAAGGAAAAAAAGAGATGTGGTCCTTAAAAAATGGCGATTGGTGCTGATCAGTTTTAATATATGAAAGTTACAATTTGTTGACTTTTTGGCTATGTTTACTCTTAAGGTAATGACTAAATGGAAGGGAAAATATGTGTATATGCAGGACCTATTTTCTACACCCTAAACTTTATTGTTATGGTTCTGATAACACCAGTGTCAAAGTTAGGTTTTCTTTTGAAATACAGGGGCGGTGGGGTAGCCTAGTGGTTAAAGCGTTGGCTCGTCATGCCGAAGACCCGGGTTCGAATCCCCACATGGGTACAATGTGTGAAGCCCATTTCTGGTGTCCCCCGCCGTGATGTAGCTGGAATATTGCTAAAAGCGGCGTAAAACCAAACTCAGTCAGTCAGTCAGTTTTGAAATACAATTTATAATATGTACAGTATGCAGTTTTGTTAAGTAATTATGAAGGGAAACATCAGTTAGGAGATAAACATCATGTGTTGGCCAATTTCAGGGTGTTATTGAATATTTGAAGCACATGAATTTATTTGGAACCGACGGCGTTAGCTGGAGGTTTCAAATGAAATATTCCCGTGCCTCAAATACTCAATAACACCCTGAAATTGGCCAACGCATGATGTTTATCGATATTGTAAACACAAAAGTAAACCAAAAGGTCCACACGCGTTTTTGTGTCTGCACTCATTGACATCGAGTACACGTACAGCAGTGAAGTGGCATCAGCCGTCTCCCATGGTAGCATCTGGAACTGCTCATTTGTGACATCATTCCGACTTTACGTCACAATATGATTTAAATGACATCACCAATGCTGACGACACAACAATACAATGGTGTGTACGATGTTTATACGTATTAATACGCAGCGAATAGTCTTGCAATTTCCAGGAATCGAATACCAGTCGATCATGTTTTTCATCATCAGAATATAGAACACAGTGACTTTTGGTTTACAATTGTGAATAAGCATCTGTGTAGATATTAACTGTTTTTTTACCCAAGTACCATTGCAATGCTATCAATTGTAATTTGTTTTGAGGTATATTGGTAATACCTTTCAGTCCTGGTAGTGCGGGTGGTCAAGCTCGCTGACTTGGTTGACACATGTCAATGTATCCCAATTGCGTAGGTCGATGCTCATGCTGTTAATCACTGGATTGTCTGGTCCAGACTCAATATTTACAGACCGCTGCCTTATAGCTGGAATACTGCTGAGCATGGCGTTAAGCAACCATCTACGAGGTCCATGTGATCGTGGTCATTTTCTGTGCTATATGCTCACTGTTGCCATGACTCGATTAGTTACAGACCGCTGCCTTATAGACGGAATTTTGCGGAGTGTGGCATTAAACAACCAACCAAGGAGCCTGGTAGTAATATTGTCCTCCTTGTGTTTCAGGTGGGTGATGTGAAAGCCCTGCCCCTACCCATGGCCTGTACTCTAACTCAGTTCCAAGAAGGTAACAAGTATCACTTTGCAGTTCGTGCTGTTGACAATCACAACCGGCTTGGAGACTTCAGTGACCCCAGCACAATTCATCTTACACCAAAGTGATCCCATTAGCACTATCTCATCTGTTAAGGTGGTGCAACTTGCAAACCTGCTTTGACCTTTAGTAAAGATCTGATATCTGAACTTGCTGGTAGATACAAATTAAGGCTTTTCTGAACATATTTCACAAGGTTTGAGTACCAGCAAACAAGGTTGCTGTGCTTCATAAATAGGAACCCAGTCTAACATAAGATGGCATTATTTATTATGGGACCATACAACCTGTATGTAGTACCAGGAAGTGCTTCAGATTCAAGTAAATGCCTAGTGCTCTTGTAGTTGATCTAAATTTGAGAGAACTTTCTGTTGATAAGGAAGAAAAAGTTGTAATTAAAGACTAAATGTCCAAGTAATTCACCATTGTGGATTGTGTCAGTCCTCAAAGAAATCTTGGATTGAAGTGTTTTTAGGTTTCTATATATTGTACATTTTCCAGTGGTTGCAGGTGTTCATCTGTCATTGTTACACTTTTTCATTGGGCATTAATCATTGCAATTTGTTATAAAGATTGCATTTGGCAGAGATATTTCTGTGATGAATCCAGTGATGGAAGTGAGTCCTGAACATTTCTACATGTCTTGGAAGGCGACAATGATGACATGGTTAGCTGTCGCCAAGTAGTTCATTGCTAGTCAAATGAATCAACTGAAACATGCATTTCTTGAACTTGATATTAACAGCCCCAGAATTACACATACAATTTGTTAAGGGTTCTTCTGTAACATCCGGAACAACTTACTCAAAATCTGTCAGATTCCAGATCTGACAGTTTACAATAAATACGTTGAAGATACAAAATATAGAATATTGATTTTGTCCTTTAATCAATGAAAAAACGAAAACCTGATAGTTGTTAAATTTCAGCAAATTTAAAACAATACCTTGCTGGAAGATGACCACATTTCTGTAGATACCTTCTGAATAAGGTTTACAGCTGAAGTGTCTTAGTACATTCTCATCCTGTTATTGTTTTGTTGTAGATATTACCTAACTCGATTATTATTACCTAACTATTTATTATATTGACAAAAGTTTTATATCAAGAAGGTTTGAAGTTTTTTGTCAAAATGTTTATCAAATGCGTGATGTATGATTTTGCTAGTATTTGCAAAACAAACTGCATACATTTGAATGGGAGAACCCTTGAGCTTTGGGTACTGAAGGGCATGGCTTTGTGCTTGTATTGACAAGTAACTGTCTCCAGAAGGGCAGGGACAGAGTTCCATTTGTACTGGAGCTTATTATGTTGTGACGAAATAGTTGCCGTCTAGATTTCTTGTCTGTACATATGTATATACATCGTTAATTGGTCTGTATATGTATCGTCTTTTCATCACAAGAAATAAACATTTTTTATATGAGTATTTGGTGTTTGTGTTAGTGATTGCCATGGGTGGGATTCCTGTTCACCAGCCTAACTGGAGGCATGGTAGGACACGGGAGTGCCCATGGTTTAACGTTACATTCTAGCGGTGCAGCTGTTTCCTTCCACTATATGTTGCAGGTAATGTCGTAGAGGTGCTTAGCATTGGAAATTAAGGGGAATATCAAGTATTAGGTTGTGCTTAAACAAAACTTCGTGGGTACATATCACTCTTCCAATGTTTTTTCCCCCCTGTTCTAAGAAGGACCGTTTTGTCAACAGCGGTGTTTCTTTGCAGCATTTACAAGATCACCTACTCGCACAACACTTGAGTTATCATAAAATTGCAAACAAGAAAACATTGCAACACTGAGCACACAGCACAGAAAATTACCACGATCACGTGGACCTCTTAGATGGTTGCTTAACGCCACACTCAGCAATATTCCAGCTATATGGTGGCGGTCTGTAAATATCGAGTCTGGACCAGACATTCCAGTAACCAACACCGTGTGCATCGATCTACGCAACTGGGATACGATGACATGTCAACTAAGTCCTCGAGCCGTGGACCTCGTATTGTGTATGTTAGCGTCAAGTACCGACTTCATATTGGGATGCTGCTGTTACACGCGCTTTAAGCGGTTGAGCATGGTTCAGAAAAGAGGCTATGTACAGTGTAGATCACGATAGCGTTCGACCGTACATTTGCCCTGCACCTATACCGGGTTTGTTGTACGTGTAGGATATCACCGCCGCAATCATTACGCTTCCAACACGAAATCTGTAGACCGCCTGTATGCAGATGAATTGGCGGCAAAATGTTGACGTCGACTTTGATACAAACTGTCTCTACAGAGACATTTTACAACGTATATCTCGACTCGTGAACCAAACAGTTCTCCGTCTCCATAATGCTTTACACCACTGACGTGGCGGTTCACAACCCTTGTCAGCTGTCAGCCTTGTGCTCCGAGATCTTTTATTTATAATTTTTTATTCTCCATACATCCAGGTCATACAGTTCATTACATAACGTGTTTGTATATTTGCGAATCGTGTTTATACCAAGTCGATTTACAGGCAAATGTGCATTCAGGTTGAAATGAATAGGTACTTGAAAATATAATAGCAGTACATTATATATAGCGCTAGGTTAACAGAACAGATTGTGACATAGTGACCAAAATTTTGTGAAGCTGTCATATTTGCAATTTGAATCGGCGTTAAAACGTTCAGCATAATATGTGTCTTTACGTCTTCTATAATGTAATGGGCGGTGGGGTAGCCTAGTGGTTAAAGCGTTGGCTCGTCACGCCGAAGACCCGGGTTCGAATCCCCACGTGGGTACAATGTGTATAGCCCATTTCTGGTGTCCCCCGCCGTGATGTTGCTGGAATATTGCTAAAAGCGGCGTAAAACCAAACTCAGTCAGTCAGTCTATAATGTAGTTCAAATTTGGTGTTTTATCTCTTTGTTTCATTTTGTATATATTATATTTCACTACTGTTATTATCAAATTCAGAACATGGTTTCTATTTTCACAATATCCAAGAATAATATTTTTCTTTGAAAAGATAATATTTGACCCTGTTTTTTCGAATATCCATTCTTCTATTTTCTTCCAAATAGTTTTTTATGACTTTACAGACACAAAATAGATGTAGAATTGATTCTTTCTCGGATTTGCAAAATGTGCATGTGTTGGAATCTTTATATTTCATTTTTGTTAGCAAATCATTTGTTGGCAGAAATCTATGCAGTATGCTGTATTGAAACCACGAGTGTTTTACACTATTATACGATTTAAAGGTTGTTTTTTCTATCGTTTCCCATATGTTATCGCCTGTAGGAAATCTGTAGACCGCCTGTATGCAGTTGAATTGGCGGCAAAATGTTGACGTCGACTTTGATACACACTGTCTCTACAGAGACATTTTACAACGTACATCACGACTCGTGAACCAAACAGTTCTCCGTCTCCATAATGATTTACACCACTGACGTGGAGGTTCACAACCCTTGTCAGCTGTCAGCCTTGTGCTCCGAGATCTGCCACACGTCAGTGGTTCCCAGTGTTAGGTCAGATATTCTTCCCAGCCTTACAATTGATGTACACCTTTGTCACTGATGACACTGGCGTCATGGGCAAGACCGGCTTGCGACACCTACGTGGAATAACGTGCTCTACATACCGAACCAAAGTGTACTCCGGACATTTGGACATTGGAGATTCAACGGACCTTACGCTAATACCGCATGGTGTATCCATACTATAGACCAGAGACCATATTATATGGTCTCTGTATAGACGTACAGAATGCTCACAGAGTATTATATGTGATAATACAATTCCTGAAACAATGTGTTTACTATCCTATCAACTGCTTATTGTCTGTGAAAACAGAGAAATGGTATCAAGTGAGCATAGTTCATGTTACCTAATACCCAATTATATCGCTGTACTGAAATGTATGTCATAAATGATCTAGTGTGCATTAGCTTGCTGCCTTAAAATGGAGACAAATCTGAACTATACGGGAGAGTTATCGATATTATCAGCAATGCCCCATGTCGTCTTTGTACAGTGACACGAAAAACAGAAACCACCAGCCAGTTAACAGTTAACCTTATCTGTTTAGGCCCTTCTCACTACAAACACCAGATTAGCCATCTCTTTCAAGGTGTTTAAAACGCTCACTTAAAACTCGCTGAAAGCTCACTTGAGGAAACGAGTCAACAAACAGACATAGAAGTGTCAACAACTAACGCGTGTTTGAAAACTGGTGTCATCAACTGGCTGCCATTTACAATACGTACTGAACAAGCCACACAGGCGTTTAGATGCTGTCCTGCCAGAACTCTGTCTTCCATAAACTGTGCAAGAACTAAGAGTGGTATAAAATGGACGAAGGCCTGTATACAACGAACACAGACCTGTATACAACAGACACAGTCGTATGACACCAGTGCATCAACAACTGACTCAGGTGTATGGTAACAGCTAACAGATGTGTGATAACAGTGCATCAATAACAGTTACTGCCAGGTGTGTGATAACAGTGCATCAATAACTGACACAGAAATGTGATAACAACTGACACAGGTGTGTGATAACAACTGCCAGGTGTGTGATAACAGTGCATCAACAACTGACACAGAAATGTGATAATAACTGACACAGGCGTGCAATAACAACTGACACAGGCGTGTGATAACAGTGCATCAACAACTGACACAGAAATGTGATAACTGAAACAGGCGTGTGATAACAACTGACACAGGTGTGTGATAACAACTGCCAGGTGTGTGATAACAGTGCATCAATAACGGACACAGGTGTGTGATAACAACTGCCAGGTGTGTGATAACAGTGCATCAACAACTGACACAGGCGTGCGATAACAACTGACACAGGCGTGTGATAACAACTGCCAGGTGTGTGATAACAGTGCATCAACAACTGACACAGAAATGTGATAACTGAAACAGGTGTGTGATAACAACTGCCAGGTGTGTGATAACAGTGCATCAATAACTGACACAGGTGTGTGATAACAACTGCCAGGTGTGTGATAACAGTGCATCAACAACTGACACAGAAATGTGATAACAACTGACACAGGCGTGTGATAACAACTGCCAGGTGTGTGATAACAGTGCATCAACAACTGATAACAACTGCCAGGTGTGTGATAACAACTGCCAGGTGTGTGATAACAGTGCATCAATAACTGACACAGAAATGTGATAACAACTGACACAGGCATGTGATAACTGACACAGGCATGTGATAACAACTGCCAGGTGTGTGATAACAGTGCATCAACAACTGACACAGAAATGTGATAACAACTGACACAGGCGTGTGATAACAACTGCCAGGTGTGTGATAACAGTGCATCAATAACTGACACAGAAATGTGATAACAACTGACACAGGTGTGTGATAACAACTGATAGTACATCAACAACACAGTGAGGGTTTCCGCAGAGGATTTCACACTATATTATAGTCTTTGAATGACATTTCAGAAGTGACACCCATATAAGTTGAGAATTTATGGATGTCAACTTCTATATTATCAGGAATAAAAGGTTTCTGAGTATATTCTTACATTAAACCTAATGAAGGAGTAAGATATACTCAGAAATGTTGTGTTCCTCATAATATAGAGTTGACATCCATAAATTCTCACCTTTCACACTATTACTTAGTATAATTATCATAATTCTCAAACTTTCTCCTGGAAGATATTTTATTTGCAAATTCAGTCCAGTTGATTTGGCCACATGTGTGCATAAACAACTGATGCAAAGTACATGTTTAAAGTGGAAAAGTCAACGTCTCATTGCATCTAGCTCCAGATTTGTAGGCCAGGTCAACCTCTAGCTTATGTGATGACTTCATGGTATGGCATGTCACATTAGATTAAGATGTCATGTTACATTTGTACATCAAGCTCTAACAACAGTGATGGTCTCAGAGCTTGTCATGTCATGTTACATTTGTACGTCCAGCTCTAACAACAGTGATGGTCTCAGAGCTTGTCATGTCATGTCACATTTGTAGACCACGTCCAGCTCTAACAACAGTGATGGTCTCAGAGCTTGTCATGTCATGTCACATTTGTAGACCACGTCCAGCTCTAACAACAGTGATGGTCTCAGAGCTTGTCATGTCAGGTCACATTTGTAGGCCACGTCCAGCCCTAACAACAGTGATGGTCTCAGAGCTTGTCATGTCATGTCACATTTGTAGACCACGTCCAGCTCTAACAACAGTGATGGTCTCAGAGCTTGTCATGTCATGTCACATTTGTAGACCACGTCCAGCTCTAACAACAGTGATGGTCTCAGAGCTTGTCATGTCATGTCACATTTGTAGGCCACGTCCAGCCCTAACAACAGTGATGGTCTCAGAGCTTGTCATGTCATGTCACATTTGTAGACCACGTCCAGCTCTAACAACAGTGATGGTCTCAGAGCTTGTCATGTCATGTCACATTTGTAGACCACGTCCAGCTCTAACAACAGTGATGGTCTCAGAGCTTGTCATGTCATGTCACATTTGTAGGCCACGTCCAGCCCTAACAAAAGTGATGGTCTCAGAGCTTGTCATGTCATGTCACATTGTGTAGCAGGCCACGTTCAGCTCTAACAACAGTGATGGTCTCAGAGCTTGTCATGTCATGTCACATTTGTAGGCCACGTTCAGCTCTAACAACAGTGATGGTCTCAGAGCTTGTCATGTCATGTCACATTTGTAGACCACGTCCAGCTCTAACAACAGTGATGGTCTCAGAGCTTGTCATGTCATGTCACATTTGTAGACCACGTCCAGCTCTAACAACAGTGATGGTCTCAGAGCTTGTCATGTCATGTCACATTTGTAGGCCACGTCCAGCCCTAACAACAGTGATGGTCTCAGAGCTTGTCATGTCATGTCACATTTGTAGGCCACGTCCAGCCCTAACAACAGTGATGGTCTCTGAGCTTGTCATGTCAGGTCACATTTGTAGGCCACGTCTAGCCATAACAACAGTGATGGTCTCAGAGCTTGTCATGTCATGTCACATTTGTAGACCACGTCCAGCTCTAACAACAGTGATGGTCTCAGAGCTTGTCATGTCATGTCACATTTGTAGACCACGTCCAGCTCTAACAACAGTGATGGTCTCAGAGCTTGTCATGTCATGTCACATTTGTAGACCACGTCCAGCTCTAACAACAGTGATGGTCTCAGAGCTTGTCATGTCATGTCACATTTGTAGACCACGTCCAGCTCTAACAACAGTGATGGTCTCAGAGCTTGTCATGTCATGTCACATTTGTAGGCCAAGTCCAGCTCTAACAACAGTGATGGTCTCAGAGCTTGTCATGTCATGTCACATTTGTAGGCCACGTTCAGCTCTAACAACAGTGATGGTCTCAGAGCTTGTCATGTCATGTCATATTTGTAGGCCAAGTCCAGCTCTAACAACAGTGATGGTCTTGTGGCCTGTTATTTCACATTAGGTATCCTGTCTGAATCCAGCTCAGAGCTTGTCATGTCACATTAGTTTTGTAGGCCAAGTCCAGCTCTAACAACAGTGACGGTATCATAGTATCCAACACATCTAGCCCACTTTCTGAAGCTCGCAGTCCTCTGAAATGATATATTGTCACAATAAACATATATTCACAGTGTTGATTATTTTCAAAGATTCCTACCTACAATTGGCAAGGTAATAATTACCAACATGTATCCTAAAGGCAAGTTCTGTTAAATCTGAATAAACCCGTACAGTAAGAAACTACCGGAGTTGCATTTTATACCACACTAAACAAACAGGAAGTCCAAAGTAAGAAATCTGTCTTTAATGAATCATTTCAAACAATATTCCACATACATCATGGCAGAAGCCAGCAGAAATAGGTTCCACACACACTTAACCACATGGGGAGAATAGAACTCAGGACTTTGGCTTGAACACCTTTATAAATATGCTTCCTGAACTCCTCTTTATATCTTAATTATTGGTTTTACGTTTTTGCCAACATATTGCAATAACATTTGTTTGCAGACACACAGCCCGAATTATTTTATGACACAGATTTAGTCAAAATGAAAAGAAATATGTTTTGCTATATACACTATGTTTCCTACACAACACAATCAGACAACCAACTACTTGACCAAGGTGTCATAGGTTCCACACTGTACCTTGTATCGAGCTGCAGCAAGCCGTGGTCCCGGTATGTCTGGATGGTCTCTGAGTGATGGAAGATGTCCTGGAGACCAAGAGGAGAAACCTGCCCCCACTGGTCATGTGATATCCCCCAGCAAGTCCTCAGTCCTACAGCCAGTATCTCCTCCAGACTGGTTAGAAGTGTAATACATCAATTCTTGTCACCTTAACTCTTAAAAATATCTTTTTCATAAAATCACTGATTTACCAATACCACTTCATTAATCTATTTAGGAACATTTGAAATTTGAAGACAACAAATTCCTTTTTCTCTTTCTCAGAGCACAAAATCAAGCAAATCAAGTTACTGGAATCTGTTAAAGGGGCACTGATCCAGAGCAATTTCAGTGGACTGGTTGTTGCTTTTGTTATTGTTTTTCTCCCGTGAGTACCCGGATGATGTCCCAGAATTCTTGACTGCTTCATGACCTCTGCTGCGCCAACCGCATGCGCAATTGATAGTATAAGTATAGAATGATCAACAAAAATGAAATCATTTTTACTCGATAATGTTTCCATCTTCATTTGTATGATAATTTTTTTTAAAGTTTACCCATCTGCCAGTGGTAAATAATGTTAGGACTAAAAAATAACGACTGACTGACTGAGTTTGGTTTTACACCGCTTTTAGCAATATTCCAGCAACATCAGAAACACCAGAAATGGGCTTCACACATTGTGCCCATGAGGGGATTCGAACCCGTGTCTTCGGTGTGTGACGAGACAACGCTTTAACCATTAGGCTACCCCACCGGCCCGAAAAATAACGAAGTCAATGTATGTCTTTATATTTGGTCTTATAAACCTAATTAGTTTATTATCATATTTGTATGCATTTTGAAACTTAATAAAAAGCATACGATTGTGAATTTAAAACATGACTGTAGATTGCCAATGTGAATCATTTCACACACGCCGTAAGTACCAACAAGTATGTTGTCTGTCTCATTACACATCATAGCGAAAAAAATGCTACCACAAATGAATAAAAAGAAAATGCAAATATTAAAATTAAAACAGACTAAAGTTATAGCAACAATGTCAGGCTATTATCTTGTTCGAGGAATGTATCCATCAATATCCACATAAAAAAATCGATATGCCATTCATCTGCAGCTGACAAAGTATCCTGTTCCATGTCGTGTCTTTTAACATTCTGATATGCGAAAAAGTGATACATCGTTTCAGGTTTTCACATTGGTGTATAGTCTCATTGGTGACTCAAGGTAGCACACCTGGCAACTAATTGCATGATGTCTGCCATTCTTTCAAAAAAGTAATTTAGCTAGCCAATAATGAGCAATCAGTCAACGTATTGGCGGTTAATCCTTCGAAGGAAGGACTTTGTTTTTACACAGGTACTTTACGGCAGGGTGTATTCCGTATAGATTAGTAAATCTGCATACATAAACACTACCTTTTGACAAATCCGCTGTGAAGTAATTAATCAATCAGCATGTTATCGGCTAATTCTTTGATCGAGGTTTGTTTTTGTAACTCAGCTGACAATTCGTCTTGCTGCACTTATGCACATTTTACATATCATGTAATACATTTGTCACATCAGACCTTAATTTATAATGTTGAGTATTTACTCCAGACACGAGAAATGCCAAATGGGAACCTTTGTCAGGTAATCTGAGTGGTATTACCACTAATTATACCTGTTATAAATTCATTAACTGACCATCAAGTGAATGATGACACATAACGTGTAGGTTTATACCATCAAACATCGGTTACAACAAAGGGTGTAGTAATCGCTGTATTGCATGCAATTTTAATTGCCTAAAAAAACATTGTTTGGAAGATACAAACGGAATTTCATTGTGGCATAAGAAATACATTTAAGCATTTTCTGTGTACTTAACTTTAAAATTGTATATACCTGTTTACCTAAGTATTTATCTAAGTACATTTTCAGATTTTTCAATGGCAAAGTGGGGTTGTTTAGTTTACGGATTCAAATAAATCAAATGTGTGTTTGTGATATCATATATAATAGACATCATATTTTTACATGACGTGATTAAATATCGTGGTAAAATTCACAGAAATAAGATCAAATTGGATCAGTCACCATACCCTCCAGGCATTAGAAAATCCCAAAAGCCTACACTGCTGCTATACTTTATTACAATCAGACAAGAACTACCAAGGATATTTTCAAATAACAGCATCTGATGGGTATCCACCCTTCCCAATGTCCCGCTGTTAGGTTGAAGAAATTTTGCCAAATTGGACAGTAGCTCACTCCCCGTGTCAGTCATGGTCAACCAGTTTGCAACTTGATTTCATAATTAGACTGTTGGCAAGAAACATTAATCGCTCTGGACCAGTGCCCCTTTAAGAATTCCAAGGTAAGGCAGCTTGAGTTATCCCCCTTGGTTGTGGGGGGAACCTTTCTCCCCAAACAGTAAAATCTATATGAAATACAGAGCTGTGTGAGCAGGCTATCGATGTGAGGAGCTTGTCTCAAAACAAAGGCCTGCCGCTTTTCTACTTAAGGATGTTTCGCTGTTTGTCAATAGGAAAATAAACGATATTTTACACTCATAACACACCAAACAAGTCTATGTCATTAATCAAATGAAGTTTTGTTTTTAATAACAATGGAAAATTAATGGTCATGTAAATATTTTCAGAAATATTCTCAAGACCTTTTGAGTCAAGTCCCCTAAGAGGTGAGTATTGACATCAAAACATTTACAGAAAAGAGCCATATTAACAAACCAAGATGCCATGACTCGGACAAGAAAAGTTGAAGACCCACAAAGATTAAATGCGAACTTGCTTACTGGTCAAGAAGTGTCTGTGGGACTATCTTGCGTGTGGCGTGCCCAAAAGCCTCAACCTCCCTCATCCAGATGTCTGGCTCAAGGGTCTGTATTCGAGCCTGTCTGGCACCTGCCACGTTGAACCGACCATGGGCACCTGGACATCATGGACACAGCAGCAGTTAAAGATTAATTGGTACTGTTATTTTGAGGATGACTGTACCTGAGGTTCTAACAAGTTATTGAAGTACAAGTGCATCATGGTACTGAATTTGGTACACCAGGCATAGCCAGGTGATGAGAGATTTCTGCCAGATTTGGACACAGAGCATCCTCCAGATGACAACAGAGTTGATCCTTCTGTGATGACAGTGAATGCTCCAGATGACAACAGAGTGGATCCTTCTGTGATGACAGAGAATGGAGTGGATCCTTCTGTGTGACAGAGAATGCTCAGATGACAACAGAGTGGATCCTTCTGTGATGACAGAGAATGCTCCAGATGACAACAGAGTGGATCCTTCTGTGATGACAGAGAAACCTCCAGATGACAAAGAGACAACAGAGGGATCCTTCTCCAGATGACAACAGATGATCCTTCTGTGATGACAGAGAATGCTCCAGATGACAACAGAGTGGATCCTTCTGTGATGACAGAGAATGCTCCAGATGACAACAGAGTGGATCCTTCTGTGATGACAGAGAATGCTCCAGATGACAACAGAGTGGATCCTTCTGTGATGACAGAGAAACCTCCAGATGACAAGAGTGGATCCTTCTGTGATGACAGAGAATGCTCCAGATGACAACAGAGTGGATCCTTCTGTGATGACAGTGAATGCTCCAGATGACAACAGAGTGGATCCTTCTGTGATGACAGTGAATCCTCCAGATGACAACAGAGTGGATCCTTCTGTGATGACAGTGAATGCTCCAGATGACAACAGAGTGGATCCTTCTGTGATGACAGAGACAACAGAATGTGAGGCGACAGTGAGTTAGATGCTCCAGATGACAACAGAGTGGATCCTTCTGTGATGACAGAGAATGCTCCAGATGACCACAGAGTGGATCCTTCTGTGATGACAGAGAATCCTCCAGATGACAACAGAGTGGATCCTTCTGTGATGACAGAGAATGCTCCAGATGACCACAGAGTGGATCCTTCTGTGATGACAGAGAATGCTCCAGATGACAACAGAGTGGATCCTTCTGTGATGACAGAGAATGCTCCAGTTGACAACAGAGTGGATCCTTCTGTGATGACAGAGAAACCTCCAGATGACAAGAGCGGATCCTTCTGTGATGACAGAGAATGCTCCAGATGACAACAGAGTTGATCCTTCTGTGATGACAGTGAATACTCCAGATGACAACAGAGTGGATCCTTCTGTGATGACAGAGAATGCTCCAGATGACAACAGAGTGGATCCTTCTGTGATGACAGAGAAACCTCCAGATGACAGCGGATCCTTCTGTGATGACAGAGAATGCTCCAGATGACAACAGAGTTGATCCTTCTGTGATGACAGTGAATACTCCAGATGACAACAGAGTGGATCCTTCTGTGATGACAGAGAATGCTCCAGATGACAACAGAGTGGATCCTTCTGTGATGACAGAGCATCTCGGTCCCAGTCCCGGTCCTGCAGGTAATGACAGTAGATCCCCCAGGTTATGACAGAGATGATCCTTTTGGTGATAACACAGGTGAAGCTCCAGGTGCTCAAGCATGAGAGTTCAGCTTGATCAATATTTCAGTCACATCACAGCTTGTCAGTGAAGTGTGGCGCAGTATCATCCCACTGATGACATTTTCACCTTGTCAGCCTGCAGACAGGGTTTAATCTCTTTGGCTATTTGGGAAAGGCATCCAATTTCAGATCAGAAGGTCCATGGTTCGAATCCGATCATGGGACTCAGAAAGTTTATGGCCACCACAGCACAATATGGGACAAAATCCAAAAGTGACATAGAATGCAGACAAAACCAAAATCTAGCATTATAAAGATGGCAAACCAAGAACCATAATCTCGATAACTATCAGATCCACACACTAAGGGATGCAACTCTGAGCAACATTTTCCCCAATAAGTGAGTATGGTTTTATGCCGCTGTTAGCAATATTCCAGCAATATCACAGCGGGGGACACCAGAAATGGGCTTCACACATTGTGCCCATGTGGGGAATCGAACCCAGTTCTTCAGCATGACGAGCGGACTTTTTTATGTACTTCCTGACGTACCTGGCCCCACGCCTATATATGGCATGCCTGTCCAATATGTCAGGTTGTGGGTGCTGTATGCTTCCTGGCAAAAGAAAATATCATCAAGATACGTCTTGCTACGGAAGCGCTGAAGGGACCTGATGAAATATAATTTATCTTGAGCGCAGAAGTTAGTATGTTGAGTGCACAAGTTAATATATTGAGCGCACAAGTTAGTATCTTGAGCGCACAAGTTAACATATTGAGAGCACGAAGTTAACATCTTGAGCGCACAAGTTAGAATTTTGAGTGCACAAGTTAGTATATTGAGCGCACAAGTTAGTATCTTGAGCGCCAAGTTAACATCTTGAGCGCACAAGTTAATATATTGAGCGCACAAGTTAGTATCTTGAGCGCCAAGTTAACATCTTGAGCGCACAAGTTAATATATTGAGCGCACAAGTTAGTATCTTGAGCGCCAAGTTAACATCTTGAGCGCACAAGTTAATATATTGAGCGCACAAGTTAGTATCTTGAGCGCACAAGTTAACATCTTGAGCGCACAAGTTAACATCTTGAGCGCACAAGTTAACATCTTGAGCGCACAAGTTAACATCTTGAGCGCACAAGTTAACATCTTGAGCGCACGAGTTAGTATGGTGAGCACACAAGTTAATATCTTGAGTGCACAAGTTAACATCTTGAGTGCACGAGTTAGTATGTTGAGCGCACAAGTTAACATCTTGAGTGCACAAGTTAACATCTTGAGCGCACGAGTTAGTATGTTGAGCGCACAAGTTAATATATTGAGTGCACAAGTTAGTATATTGAGCGCACAAGTTAGTATCTTGAGCGACAAGTTAACATCTTGAGCGCACAAGTTAATATATTGAGCGCACAAGTTAGTATCTTGAGCGCCAAGTTAACATCTTGAGTGCACAAGTTAACATCTTGAGCGCACGAGTTAGTATGTTGAGTGCACAAGTTAAAATTTATTGAGAGCACGAGTTAGTATCTTGAGCGCACAAGTTAGTATTTTGAGTGCACAAGTTAGTATATTGAGCGCACAAGTTAGTATCTTGAGCGCCAAGTTAACATCTTGAGCGCACAAGTTAATATATTGAGCGCACAAGTTAGTATCTTGAGCGCCAAGTTAACATCTTGAGTGCACAAGTTAACATCTTGAGCGTACAAGTTAACATCTTGAGCGCACAAGTTAACATCTTGAGCGCACAAGTTAACATCTTGAGCGCACAAGTTAACATCTTGAGCGCACGAGTTAGTATGTTGAGCGCACAAGTTAATATCTTGAGTGCACAAGTTAACATCTTGAGTGCACAAGTTAGTATGTTGAGCGCACAAGTTAACATCTTGAGTGCACAAGTTAACATCTTGAGCTTAAGTTAGATATATTTGTTGAGCCACGCTAGTATCTTGAGCAAGTTAACATCTTGAGTGCACAAGTTAACACATCTTGAGCGCACAAGTTAGTATGTTGAGTGCACAAGTTAACATCTTGAGCGCACGAGTTAGTATGTTGAGTGCACAAGTTAAAATTTATTGAGAGCACGAGTTAGTATCTTGAGCGCACAAGTTAGTATTTTGAGTGCACAAGTTAGTATATTGAGCGCACAAGTTAGTATCTTGAGCGCCAAGTTAACATTTTGAGTGCACAAGTTAATATATTGAGCGCACGAGTTAGTATCTTGAGCGCACAAGTTAACATCTTGAGCGCACAAGTTAACATCTTGAGCGCACAAGTTAACATCTTGAGCGCACGAGTTAGTATGTTGAGCGCACAAGTTAATATCTTGAGTGCACAAGTTAACATCTTGAGTGCACAAGTTAGTATGTTGAGCGCACAAGTTAGTGATCTGGAGTGCACAAGTTAGTATCTTGAGAGCACAAGTTAACATCTTGAGCGCACAAATTAGTATGTTGAGCACACAAGTTAACATCTTGAGCGCACAAGTTAGAATGTTGAGCGCATAAGTTAGTATCTTGAGCGCATAAGTTAGTTATCTTGAGTGCACAAGTTAACATCTTGAGCGCACAAGTTAATATCTTGAGCGCACAAGTTAGTACGTTGAGCACACAAGTTAGTATGTTGAGCGCACAAGTTAATATCTTGTGTGCACAAGTTAACATCTTGAGCCAAGTTAGTATGTTGAGCTTAAAGTTAGTGATCTGGAGTGCAGTTAGTTAACATCTTGAGCGCACAAGTTAACATCTTGAGCTATTAGTTAATATATTGAGCTAACAAGTAAGCATCTTGAGCCAAGTTAACATCTTGAGTGCACAAGTTAACATCTTGGTAGTTGAGTGCACAAGTTATCTTATATGTTGATGTTGAGCACAAGTTAAAACATCTTGAGCACGTTAGTATCTTGAGCTTACAAGTTAAAATTGAGTGCACAGTTAGTATGAGCAATAGCACAAGTTGAGCCATCTTGAGCCGACAAGTTAGTATCTTGAGTGCACAAGTTAATATATTGAGCCACAAGTTAGTATCTTGAGCTAAGTTAACATCTTGAGTGCACAAGTTAATATATTGAGCTAATAAGTTAGTATCTTGAGCTAACAAGTTAACATCTTGAGCAAGCACAAGTTAACATCTTGAGCTACAAGCTAACATCTTGAGCGATAAGTTAACATCTTGAGCAATAATGAAGTTAGTATGTTGGAGCTTACAAGTTAATATCTTGAGTGCACAAGTTAACATCTTGAGTGCACGAGTTAGTATGTTGAGCGCACAAGTTAACATCTTGAGTGCACAAGTTAACATCTTGAGCACACAAGTTAGTATGTTGAGTGCACAAGTTAACATCTTGAGCGCACGAGTTAGTATGTTGAGTGCACAAGTTAAAATTTATTGAGAGCACGAGTTAGTATCTTGAGCGCACAAGTTAGTATTTTGAGTGCACAAGTTAGTATATTGAGCGCACAAGTTAGTATCTTGAGCGCCAAGTTAACATCTTGAGTGCACAAGTTAATATATTGAGCGCACGAGTTAGTATCTTGAGCCGTTACAAGCTAACATCTTGAGCGCCATAAGTTAACATCTTGAGCCATTAAAGTTAACATCTTGAGCGCACGAAAGTTAGTATGTTGAGCTTAATAAGTTAATATCTTGAGTGCACAAGTTAACATCTTGAGTGCACAAGTTAGTATGTTGAGCACATGTTAGTGATCTGAGTGCACAAGTTGAGCATCTCTTGAGAGCAATAAGTTAACATCTTGAGCGCACAAATTAGTATGTTGAGCACACAAGTTAACATCTTGAGCGCACAAGTTAGAATGTTGAGCACAAGTTAGTATCTTGAGCGTACAAGTTAGTTATCTTGAGTGCACAAGTTAACATCTTGAGAGCTAAGTTAATATCTTGAGCCACAAGTTAGAATGTTGAGCACAAGTTAATATATTGAGTGCATAAGTTAACATCTTGAGCTAATAAGTTAGTACGCTGGAGCATAAGTTAGGTATGTTGAGCTTAATAAGTTAATATCTTGTGTGCAAGTAAACATCTTGAGCTAGTTGCTAGTATGTTGAGCCGCACAAGTTAGTGATCTGAGTGCACAAGTTAACATCTTGAGCAATTGCTAACATCTTGAGCGCACAAGTTAGTATGTTGAGCGCACAAGTTAACATCTTGAGCACACAAGTTAACATCTTGAGCACACAAGTTAACATCTTGAGCACACAAGTTAACATCTTGAGCACACACAAGTTAACATCTTGAGCACACAAGTTAACATCTTGAGCACACAAGTTAACATCTTGAGCGCACAAGTTAGTATGTTGAGCGCACAAGTTAGTATATTGAGAACAAGTTAACATCTTGAGCGCGCAAGTTAACATCTTGAGCGCACAAGTTAGTGATCTGGAGTCCACAAGTTAGTATGTTGAGTGCACAAGTTAGTTATCTTGAGTGCACAAGTTAATATGTTGAGCGCACAAGTTTGTATGTTGATAGCTCAACTTAGTATCTTGAGATACAATACTTCATAAGCATTTCATGTGAAAGCAAGGAGGAGTTAGTATGTTGAGCGCACAAGTTAATATATTGAGCGCACAAGTTAGTATGTTGAGCGCACAAGTTAGTATGTTGAGCGCACAAGTTAATATCTTGAGTGCACAAGTTAACATCTTGAGCGCACAAGTTAACATCTTGAGCGCACAAGTTAGTATGTTGAGTGGACAAGTTAGTGATCTGGAGTCCACAAGTTAGTATGTTGAGTGCACAAGTTAACATCTTGAGCGCACAAGTTAGTATGTTGAGCGCACAAGTTAGTGATCTGGAGTCCACAAGTTAGTATGTTGAGTGCACAAGTTAGTGATCTGGAGTCCACAAGTTAGTATATTGAGCGCACAAGTTAGTGATCTGGAGTCCACAAGTTAGTATGTTGAGTGCACAAGTTAGTGATCTGGAGTCCACAAGTTAACATATTGAGCACACAAGTTAGTGATCTGGAGTCCACAAGTTAGTATATTGAGCGCACAAGTTAGTGATCTGGAGTCCACAAGTTAGTATGTTGAGTGCACAAGTTAGTGATCTGGAGCCCACAAGTTAATATGTTGAGCGCACAAGTTAGTTATCTTGAGTGCACAAGTTAACATCTTGAGCTCACAAGTTAGTATGTTGAGCGCACAAGTTAGTGATCTGGAGTCCACAAGTTAGTATGTTGAGCGCACAAGTTAGTTATCTTGAGTGCACAAGTTAATATGTTGAGCGCACAAGTTTGTATGTTGATAGCTCAACTTAGTATCTTGAGATACAATACTTCATAAGCATTTCATGTGGAAGCAAGGAGGAGCTAGTATGTTGAGCGCACAAGTTTGTATGTTGATAGCTCAACTTAGTATCTTGAGATACAATACTTCATAAGCATTTCATGTGGAAGCAAGGAGGAGCGGAACGCGATCTGATTCATGCTTATTTCAGTCTTTGGTTCCAAAACAAAGATATAATACATCTTCTTGTCAAAAATCATGGTATAGTATAGTACGCCACTTGAAGCGTATTCTGAGGTGTATGTCTCTCTTTCGCACCAGATACCAGATTTGCTGATGTTACAGTGAGTGAGTGAGTGAGTACAGTTTACGCTGCTTTTAGCAATATTCCAGCAATATCACGGAGGGGGACACCTGAAATGGACTTCATACATTGTACCCATGTGGGGAATCGAACCCAGGTCTTCGGCGTGACAAGCGGATGCTTTAACCACTAGGCTACCCCACCAGCCCACTGATGTTACAGATTTTATTGCGGACAACTTCGACGATCTGGACAAAGACATGGTTATCGCTGGATGCATAAAAAAAGTATCCAATGTGGTTTAATCGTGAAACAGGATAGTGTACGTTCGTTGCTAATAGTGTTTGTCCCGGATGGCGTTGAATTCCGCTCAAGACACCGTCCTCTTTGGTGTCCTGCCGGGAAGGCTAAAATTTATTTTTCAGATGTTCCGGGAAGACTAAAATGTATATTTCAGATTTCCCGGGATAGCTAATTTCTAAGGGAGTAGGGGAGTACCTAGACTAAAGTTTAGTCTTTGAATATATACAAGTTTGATAGTAACAAACAAGCCCATTTAAATTGAAAAGGAGCCCCAGGGAGACCAGAGATTCAGAACCTGGGGAAATCTAGACTTGCTTCATTTAGGGCTTTAGCAGTGCAAAAGGACCGAATATGTTAAAATTTAAATCACTCTTTACATGTAAAAAGATATTGCAAGTACCGCGAAGGCTACGCTCATTGAACCGAGAAGCGTCACGATGCCAGCCTTCCTGGCCATGAACCTCCTCATCAGCGTGTTTATTCTTCAACTTCCTGTGTTGTTAAAACATGTTAAATAAACTATAACACACATACGTATACATAAGGGATTGAAACGGAGGAAGTAAAATGGGGAACGTGGTATTTTAGTGAGAAATAAAGTTGGTATATGTGCTATACATGCACATACTAATGGATCAAATAAATAAGGCGGGTTTTATATGATATTGTACAGAGTTACACTCAATACATTAGACATGAGTTTTATAAGTAAGTATAACACTCAATGTTTACATTTTTCATGGTCAACAAAACAATGTATCCAAGCTTTACGCTAGTGTTCATAATACTATGTACCAATATTAGAAGTAAGTAAAAGCACTATTCATTCCTGCAATAAACCCCTACTCATGTTTATGTTTTAATTTTTTATTATGACATTACACATACCTAGGCCTGCTTTATGTAATAAAGCAAAAAGTAGTAAAATCAGTTACAAAGAATAGTACTGACAAGCATAAAGACGATGAACATTTACATAAACATTATCAATGTTCATGATACAATTGCATACTTTTACATAGTCTCATCATAAACACCTATAGTTAACTCCGACTTTGCATCGTTTGAAATCTTCCAAAAAGGATATAAGTTTGTACATTTTAGCCATCAGTCAAGCAAGTGTGCGTTCCATTAATGTTATTAGATGCTAAACACGAAGTTGAGCGCTCAAGATACTAACTTGTACGCTCAAGATAACTAACTTGTGCGCTCAAGATGTTAACTTGTGAACTCAACATACTAACTTGTGCGCTCAACATACTAACCTGTGCGCTCAAGATAACTAACTTGTGCGCTCAAGATGTTAACTTGTGAACTCAACATACTAACTTGTGTACCAACATACTAACCTGTGGCGCCAAGATAACTAACTTGAGCCAAGATGTTAACTTGTGAACTCAACATACTAACTTGTGCGCTCAACATACTAACCTGTGCGCTCAAGATAACTAACTTGTGCGCTCAAGATGTTAACTTGTGAACTCAACATACTAACTTGTGCGCTCAACATACTAACCTGTGCGCTCAAGATAACTAACTTGTGCGCTCAAGATGTTAACTTGTGAACTCAACATACTAACTTGTGCGCTCAACATACTAACCTGTGCGCTCAAGATAACTAACTTGAGCGCTCAAGATGTTAACTTGTGAACTCAACATACTAACTTGTGCGCTCAACATACTAACCTGTGCGCTCAAGATAACTAACTTGTGCGCCAAGATGTTAACTTGTGCACTCAGCATACTAACTTGTGCGCTCAACATACTAACCTGGCTCAAGCTTCAAGATAACTAACTTTGAGCTCAAGATGTTAACTTGTGAACTCAACATACTAACGCGCCAAGATAGCTCAACATACTAACTGTGAAGGCCAACATAACTAACTTGAGCCAAGATGTTAACTTGTGCACTCAGCATACTAACTTGTGCAACAACATACTAACCTGTGCTCAAGATAACTAACTTAGCCAAGATGTTAACTTGTGAACTCAACATACTAACTTGTGCGCCAACATACTAACCTGTGCGCCAAGATAACTAACTTGTGCGCTCAAGATGTTAACTTGTGAACTCAACATACTAACTTGTGCCAACATACTAACCTGTGCGCCAAGATGTTAACTTGAGCTCAAGATGTTAACTTGTGAACTCAACATACTAACCTGTCGTGGCCAAGATAACTAACTTGTGCAGCCAAGATGTTAACTTGTGAACTCAACATACTAACTGCCAAGATAACTAAGATAACTAACTTGGCTCAAGATGTTAACTTGTGAACTCAACATACTAACTTGTGCGCTCAACATACTAACTTGTGCGCTCAAGATAACTAACTTGTGCACTCAAGATGTTAACTTGTGCACTCAGCATACTAACTTGTGCGCTCAACATACTAACTTGTGCGCTCAAGATAACCAAGATGTTAACTTGTGCACTCAAGATGTTAACTCTCAACATACTAACTGCGCCAACATACTAACTTGTGCATACTAACTTGTGCGCCAACATGTTAACTTGATGTTAACAAGATGCATACTAACTTGTGCCACTCAGCTTGTGCTACTAAGATAACTAACTTCAACATGCACTCAAGATGTTAACTTGTGCTCAAGATGTTAACTTGTGCTAACTGTGCCAACATACTAACCTGTGCTACCAAGATAACTAACTTGAGCGCCAGGATGTTAACTTGTGAAACATATAACTAACTCAAGATGCACTTCAAGATGTTAACTTGTGAACTCAACATACTAACTTCAAGCTCAACATACTACTAACTTGTGCGCTCAAGATGTTAACTTGTGCGCTCAAGAAAACTAACTTGTGCACTCAACATACTAACTCGTGCGCTCAAGATAAATTATATTTCACCAGGTCCCTTCAGCGCTTCCATATCTCGCTTTTTATCCAGTTAGTACAAATTTGTTCAGAACAAATTCAAAGAATTTATAAAGCTTTGTCATGGCACTTTTAGGCAAAATCAAGGCAAATTCATAACAGAAACACGATACATGCATTAGCACTGTGAAGAAGTATAAAGGGAAGTTACTCATCCCAGATTACAATCACATTTATTAGGTTGGGTACTTGTAAAGAGAGAAAGAGAAGAAAGCCACCAGAAATAGCCTTCACACATTGCATTCATGTGCCACGTGGGGACTTGCACCTCAATCAGCTTCAGTTAAACACCTGCCCCTTAACCAGTTTACATTTTGCAGCAAGAATTGTCTCCCTTGATCAATTCACAGTTCACTCTATAAATAAGGAATATTTTATATTTACTTCATATCTGACACCTTCCTTTCTATTATTCTTTCAAATGCAGTTAGTACTGATTTGAATCAAATCTTGTTGATCAAATTTCATTATGAGAAACATACAAATGTCTGTTTTTCATACCTGTTTTGCAAAGTTTGACACTTCATATCTCTTGTATTCATGATAGAAGAGTATCTGAAATATGATATATATATATATAAATGGAAGTCGTTTTCTTTCTTTGTATGTACACATATGAATTATGTAATCATTCATTTCTCATCCTACCAGATCTCAATCTTTTCTAAGCCTGCAAGATCTCATTCATTTCTCAGCCTACCAGATCTCAATCATTTCTCAGCCTACCAAATCTCATTCATTTCTCAACCTACCAGATCTCATTCATTTCTCAGCCTACCAGATTTCATTCACCTCCTTGCCTCCCTGTTCTCATTCATTTTTCAACATAACAATTCTCAGAGTACAAGCACAGTACAGTACTCTGGTTACAGCACAGTACAGTACTGTTACAGCACAGTACAGTACTCTAGTTACAGCACAGAACAGTACAGTAGAGTACTCTGGTTACAGCACAGTACAGTACTCTGGTTACAGCACAGTACAGTACTGTTACAGCACAGTACAGTACTCTGGTTACAGCACAGTACAGTACTCTGGTTACAGCACAGAACAGTACTCTGGTTACAGCACAGAACAGTACTCTGGTAACAGCACAGAACAGTACAGTAGAGTATTCTGGTTACAGCACAAGCAGTACTCTGGTTACAGCACAGAACAGTACACTGGTTACAGCACAGTACAGTACAGTAGAGTATTCTGGTTACAGCACAGAACAGTACTCTGGTTACAGCACAGAACAGTACTCTGGTTACAGCACAGTACAGTACTCTGGTTACAGCACAGAACAGTACTCTGGTTACAGCACAGTACAGTACTCTGGTTACAGCACAGAACAGTACTCTGGTTACAGCACAAAACAGTACAGTAGAGTATTCTGGTTACAGCACAGAACAGTACTCTGGTTACAGCACAGAACAGTACTCTGGTTACAGCACAGTACAGTACTCTGGTTACAGCACAGAACAGTACTCTGGTTACAGCACAGAACAGTACAGTAGAGTATTCTGGTTACAGCACAGAACAGCACAGTACAGTACTCTGGTTACAGCACAGTACAGTACTCTGGTTACAGCACAGAACAGTACTCTGGTTACAGCACAGTACAGTACTCTGGTTACAGCACAGTACAGTACTCTGGTTACAGCACAGAACAGTACTCTGGTTACAGCACAGTACAGTACAGTAGAGTATTCTGGTTACAGCACAGAACAGTACTCTGGTTACAGCACAGAACAGTACTCTGGTTACAGCACAGTACAGTACTCTGGTTACAGCACAGAACAGTACTCTGGTTACAGCACAGTACAGTACTCTGGTTACAGCACAGAACAGTACTCTGAGTCTGGTTACACAGCACAGTACTCTGGTTACAGCACAGTACAGTACTCTGGTTACAGCACAGTGCAGAACTCTGGTTACAGCACAGTACAGTACTCTGGTTACAGCACAGTACAGTACTCTGGTTACAGCACAGTACAGTACTCTGGTTACAGCACAGTACAGTACTCTGGTTACAGCACAGAGCAGTACTCTGGTAACAGCACAGAACAGTACTCTGGTTACAGCACAGAACAGTACTCTGGTTACAGCACAGAACAGGACTCCTGGTTACAGCACAGAACAGCACACTCGCTACAGCACAGTACAGTATGCTCATTACCGTGGATACAGCACAGTACAGTATAGTACTCTGGTACTGCACAGTACAGATATAGTACAGTACTAGTGGTACTGCACAGTACAGTATAGTCTGTGGTACTGCACAGCACAGTACGGTAGTATAGTACTGTGGTACTGCACAGCACAGCACAGTATAGTACCTGGATTACTGCAGTACAGTATAGCACAGAATAGTACTGTGGTACTGCACAGCACAGAGCATAGTGGATACAGCACAGCAGTTTAGTACAGTATAGTACTGTGGTTACAGCACAGTACAGTATAGTAGGATACTGACAGAACAGTAAAGTACAGTATAGTACTGTGGTACTGCACAGTACAGTATAGTATAGTATCTGTGATAGCACTCGTGGATAGTATAGTGCACAGCACAATACAGTATAGTACTGTGATACTGCACAGTACAGTAATATAGTACTGTGGTACCGCACAGTACAGTATAGCATATTGTGGTACTGCACAGTACAGCATAGTACTGTGCATAGTACTGTGGTACTGCACAGTACAGTATAGTACTGTGGTACTGCACAGTACAGTATAGTACTGTGATACCGCTGCACAGTATAGTATAGCACTGTGGTACTGCACAGTACAGCACTACCGTGGTACTGCACAGCCGTGGTACTGCACAGTACAGCATAGTACTGTGGTACTGCACAGTACAGCATAGTACCTGTGGCACCGCACAGTACAGTATAGTAACTGTGGTACTGCACAGTACAGTATAGTACTGTGGTACTGCACAGTACAGTATAGTACTGTGGTACCGCACAGTACAGCATACCGGTGCAGTACAGTGGTAGTACCGCACAGCACAGCATAGTATAGTACCGTGATGCACAGTACAGCATAGTACAGCAGTACTGTACTGGTGGCACCGCACAGTACAGTAGTATAGTACCGTGGTACCGCACAGTACAATTATAGTTGGTAGTGGTACCATTGCGTGAGTACCGCACAGCACAGTTTACAGTGTAGTATAGTACTGTGATACCGCACAGTACAGTATAGCACAGTATAGTACAGTGTAGTACTACACGGCACAGTACAGTATAGTACATAGTACCAGTGATACTGCACAGCACAGTATAGTATAGCACAGGATACCGCACAGCACAGCATAGTACCAGTGGATACCGCTCAGCACAGCATAGCACCGTGGCACCGCACAGTACAGCATACCGGTAGTATAGCACCGTGATACCGCACAGTAGCATAGCATAGTACTGTGGTACTGCACAGCACAGTATAGTACTGTGGTACCGCACAGTACCATAGTATAGTACTGTGATACCGCACAGCACAGCACAGTATAGTACTGTGGATACCGCACAGTACAGCATAGTACCGTGTACAGCTGCACAGTACAGTATAGCATAGCACTGTGGTACCGCACAGTACAGTATAGTACCGGTGGTACCGCGCACAGTACAGCATAGCACTGATACCGCACAGCACAATATAGTACTGTGGTACCGCACAGTACAGTATAGTACTGTGGTACTGCACAGTACAGTACAGTATAGTACTGTGATACCGCACAGTACAGCATAGCACTGTGATACCGCACAGTACAGTATAGTATAGTACTGCTGTACTGCACAGTACAGCATAGCACTGTGGTACTGCACAGAACAGTATAGTACTGTGGTACTGCACAATACAGGAAAGTACTGTGGTACTGCACAGTACAGTATAGTACTGTTGTACTGCACAGTACAGTATAGTACTGTTGTACTGCACAGTACAGTATAGTACTGTGATACTGCACAGTACAGTATAGTACTGTTGTACTGCACAGTACAGCATAGTACTGTGATACTGCACAGTACAGTATAGTACTGTTGTACTGCACAGTACAGTATAGTACTGTGATTACTGCACAGTACAGTATAGTACTGTTGTACTGCACAGTACAGTATAGTACTGTGATACTGCACAGTACAGTATAGTACTGTTGTACTGCACAGTACAGTATAGTACTGTGGTACTCCACAGTACAGGAAAGTACTGTGGTACTGCACAGTACAGTATAGTACTGTGATACTGCACAGTACAGTATAGTACTGTGGTACTGCACAATACAGTACAGTACTGTGGTACTGCACAGTACAGTATAGTACTGTGGTACTGCACAGTACAGTATAGTACTGTGGCACTGCACAGTAAAGTACAGTACTGTGGTACTGCTAGGTACAGTATAGTACTGTGGTACTGCACAGTACAGTATTGTATAGTACTGTGATACTGCACAGTACAGTATAGTACTTTGGTACTGCACAGTACAGTATAGTACTGTGGTACTGCACAGTACAGTATAGTACTGTGGTACTGCACAGAACAGTATTGTACTGTGGCACTGCACAGTACAGTATACCGGTAGTATTGTACTGTGATACTGGACAGTACAGTATAGCACTGTCATACTGCACAGTACAGTATAGTACTGTGGTACTGCACAGTACAGTATAGTACAGTGGTACTGCACAGTATAGAACTGTGGTACTGCACAGTACAGTATAGTATAGTACTGTGGTACTGCACAGTACAGTATAGTACTGTGGTACTGCACAGTACAGTATAGTACTGTGATACTGCACAGTACAGTATAGTACTGTGGTACTGTACTGCATTGTACTGCTGTACTGCACTGCACAGTACAGTATAGTACTGTGGTACTGCACAGAACAGTATAGTACTGTGGCACTGCACAGTACAGTATACCGGTAGTATTGTACTGTGATACTGGACAGTACAGTATAGCACTGTCATACTGCACAGTACAGTATAGTACTGTGGTACTGCACCGTACAGTATAGTACAGTGGTACTGCACAGTATAGTACTGTGGTACTGCACAGTACAGTATAGTACTGTTGTACTGCACAGTACAGTATAGTACTGTGGTACTGCACAGTACAGTATAGTACTGTGGTTCTGCACAGCACAGTACAGTATAGTACTGTGGTACTGTACTGCACAGTACAGTATAGTACTGTGGTACTGCACAGTACAGTATAATACTGTGGTACTGCACAGTACAGTATAGTACTGTGGTACTGCACAGTACAGTATACCGGTAGTATAGTACTGTGGTACTGCACAGTACAGTATAGTACTGCACAGTACAGTATACTGGTAGTATAGTACTGTGGTACTGCACAGTACAGTACAGTACGCTGGTTTCAGCAGAACACAACAGAGCACGGAACAGCACAGTAAGATTCTAGTTACATCACTGGCCATATCTGCCTACCTGGACAGCAGCCTTGTACATGGTCGCCACGTCATCTGGTGACGGCATCCGCTGGAAACAGTCATAAGCACAGGGCCTGGTAATATTCAGCTTTTTTAACATAAGAATCAGACAACTTCCTATTGTATTGAAGACTGTTTTACAGGGGCACTGACAAATCAACGTGGATAACCATCGTATTTTCAGCAGCCTTTTTCAAGCATTGCAGAAATATCATTGCAGTGGTCCATCTCTCATGCCCCTGGTGCACCCATTTGCTGCAGTAGCATTCTACAGAATGGTTGTAATAGACTTCTTACATGTCTTAGATGCTACTGCAGAGTGCAAACCCGTGAAGATCTGGGTAAGTGGCGACTAACGGGATCGGGTGGTCAGCCTTGGTTGACACATGTCATGGCATCCCAATTGCGTAGGCCGACATTCATGCTGTTGATTACCTGTAAACATCGGGGTTAGAACTAATATTCAGTAACCCATGCTTGTCGTAGGGGCGACTAACAGGATCGGGTGGTCAGGCTCCCTGACTTGGTTGACACATGTCATCATGTCCCAATTGCGTAGATCGATGCTCATGCTGTTGATCACTGGATTGTCTGGTCCAGACTTGATTATTTACAGACCGCCACCACGTAGCTGGAATATTGCTGAGAGCGGCGAAAAACTAAACTGACTCACTATTGCAGAGTACATGTACTGACCAGTCTGTGTTTACTGACATCCTTAAACAGCTGGGTTCCTCTCTCCAGGGTCAGCTGATACAGTGACAGATGCTTGTCACACAGCTTTATCACCTGTATGTGGACAACATGACAAGTCATAACAAGTTTCTACTGGATATATCATTTTTGGTCATTCATAATTTGTTACAGAATGATATGGAAAGAAACTAAATTTTGTCTTGGTTTCACCCAAAAAAGTTTTGCTGGATGTGTTGGATATCGTGTACTAAACCTCCACTTTAAGGAGGAAAGAATTGTACGAGCTGTGGCATGGATGAATATAAACTGTCTCCGACCAGTGTGCTGAACACATACCTGTTGGAGCTCAGCTATCCAAGCCTGAACAGTCTGTCCTGGACGACCAAACATGACATCTACAGACACACGGTCAGGAAACAATGCCCTTGCCTCGGAGATACACCTGGAAAAGGGACAGCTGAGATCAAGTTTGTGTAAACAGGTTGTTGTTTGTTGGTAAATGCTACACTCAACAATTGTCCAGCTATAAGTTGATGACCCGTATATAATTAAGTCTGGTCCAGTTATAGAATTAATGAGCAATGGTACATGTCACCATTAATATGAATCATAAGCAATGTTCTAGCCATATCTTGGCTGGAGTACACCAGTGATGGGTTCACATGTTTGGAATCAAACCCAGGACTTCAGCAGCAGCATCAAACACTTCAACCACGAGGCTACCCTTCTTCTCTGAGGAGTATAGTGCACAACATGGAGCAAAGCAATTAATTATCTCCCCTGGTAAGAAAATTCATGAGATCACATTATTTTATATAGGCTAAGACACTATTGTTGTTTAAAGCAATGAGAGAATCAAAAGTTGAATTTGTGTTCATGCAATAGAACATGTAGTCATATCGCTAATGGAAACATGTTCTTGATAAAAGGCGTGACCTCCATTATCTTCACACCACCGGTCACCTGGTTTCAAACACCTGACTGGTTTGGTACTTTGCAGAGTTTCCAGGAATGAACAGACAGTGTAGAAGGCTCTGCCCAGGATGGGGACATCGCCACACCACCAGCTCACCTTACAGCCTCCTCCACAGTGTGGTCCCTTCCCAGGATGGACAGATCATCTTGCCTCAGTGACTTGAACAAAGCAATAGCATCTTAAAGCTAATTGATGAAAAAAATCAGCATTATGATGATCATAAGTCTATGTTAAAGAACTTTAATTAACCTCATATACCCCCTGGGTAGGCGACAATGCAGAGTTGAACTGCCATACCGGTATTCATTATCTATCTAAAACATGGCAGTGTGTTTTACTGAAAAGTGGCAGTGGCAACAGTAGGTATGAACACCTGTGTCCCTTGCTCTCCAACTGAACAGTAAGTATGAACAACTGTGCCCTGAATTCCCACTCAACAGTAAGTATGAACACCTGTCTCCAGAATTCCCACTCAACAGGAAGTATGAACACCTGTGCCCTGAATTCCCACTCAACAGTAAGCATGAACACCTGTGTCCTGAATTCCCACTCAACAGGAAGTATGAACACCTGTGCCCTAAATTCCCACTCAACAGTAAGCATGAACACCTGTGTCCTGAATTCCCACTCAACAGGAAGTATGAACACCTGCACCCTGAATTCCCACTCAACAGTAAGTATGAACACCTGTGCCCTGAATTCCCATTCAACAGTAAGTATGAACACCTGTGCTCTGAATTCCCATTCAACAGTAAGTATGAACACCTGTGCCCTGAATTCCCATTCAACAGTAAGTATGAACACCTGTGCCCTGAATTCCCATTCAACAGTAGGTATGAACACCTGTGCCCTGAATTCCCACTCAACAGGAAGTATGAACACCTGCACCCTGAATTCCCACTAAACAGTAAGTATGAACACCTGTGCCCTGAATTTCCACTCAACAGTAGGTATGAACACCTGTGCCCTGAATTCCCACTCAACAGTAGGTATGAACACCTGTGCCCTGAATTCCCACTCAACAGTAAGCATGAACACCTGTGCCCTGAATTCCCACTCAACAGTAAGTATGAACACCTGTGCCCTGAATTTCCACTCAACAGTAGGTATGAACACCTGTGCCCTGAATTCCCACTCAACAGTAGGTATGAACACCTGTGCCCTGAATTCCCACTCAACAGTAAGCATGAACACCTGTGCCCTGAATTCCCACTCAACAGGAAGTATGAACACCTGTGCCCTGAATTCCCACTCAACAGAAGTATGAACACCTGTGCCCTGAATTCCCACTCAACAGAAGTATGAACACCTGTGCCCCATACCCCACCCATTCTGTTATTGTGAACACATATTCCTCCATTCCAACTCAGGGCTCGACTCAAAGGTCACATGCAACGTAAAACACAACTTTGCAGATTCTGATACCTTTCGGTATGGACTTACCGAAATAAATCATCAAACATGCAAATTCAACTTATAAAGTTGAAAAATAACGCGATGAGAAAACACGCGCGAAATCGGAGTTCAAACAATTCACTAATTTTCCCCTGACTTTTCGGGGGAAAACTGGTTTCAACAGCTGGGCTGCGCTCATAGCACGTGCGCAGTGAAATAGGTTCACGCAACTTGGAAGCGGGCTGTCCGGTGAATACTCTGTGAAGGCTTTGGTGTGAGCTATTTTTTGAATGTTTTGTTGATATCTCACAGGTGAAGCTTTTATATGTTATGACAGTAAATAAACTGTTTATATAATTTCATTTGTCTATTTCACCACACGTTCTTCTTACCGAGTCACTTTCTCAGTTCGATACTTAAAAGCAATGTCATTATTTAGCGTTGACAGAATTTCTAAGTGTGATATAGATATGTCTTGTCACAGACAAAACTCAATGTCTTGTTTTATTGACACCTGTGTGTCTGCCTGCCTGTCTGCTAATGACAATATTTAATACACAACTGCGATCACTGACCACATGCAATTTGAACTTAACACCAATCAGGCTATACACCATAAACAAAACGCATTGACTTATGGCCCGAGTTCGGTCTCTGTCACATTATGTAATTACACAGACAGGCAGGTGTGATACTTGAACACATGACATGTTATGATGTCTGTTGATTGCAAAATGTTATACACAAAAAATGAGCATGTATTTACAAAACCCAACATCTCTATATATACACACACAATGACCCGTGAGGGCATCTGCAAATGAACCAGCCGTTACACTTGAGTGCACACCCACCCGCTCTGACTGGGTTCGGTATCCTGGCTGCTTCGTTTCTTGGGAAGTAAACCCAAGTACACAATATTGCACTTTTGATTTGCGATTGTACGCTTATAATTTTGTTTATATGTTTTTTCATAACCAGCAATGTATATTATATGTCATGAATAAGTGATAATTGTGTTTTAATTATGTTTGATTTTTTGGTTGCATGTGACCTTTAAGAGATGTTAACATACTTGCACCAGGTGCAACCAAAGATAAAAACCTAGTTGCACCAGCCAAATTCCAGTTGCAACGTAGTGTGTTTAAAATGTCAAAAGGTTTGGTGCACATAAAAATATTTCCGTGATGTAGTACCCATGAAACCATAGCAACACAGAGACACAGCTGATATCTGTTTACATGAGCTGTCATAACCGAGACGAGTCTATGAATAGCAAATGTTTCGATGCCATAGCTATTCAAAGTTTAGAAGAAAAATGAGCTGACATATTTATGCTTATAATGTTAGATTCATCGTTGATGTAATTCTGAAAATTTGACTTGCACCTTGTAACTAGGTTGCACTTTGTAATACTGGGTTGCACCAGTGCAAATAACAAAGCACTAAATCGAGCCCTGCAACTCAACAGTCAGTGTGCCTCCACACCCACTCCCATTCTTAATTTTGTGAACACATGCACTCAATCCTCAACGCAAAAGTCAGTTTGGAAGTAAAAGCAAAAATATTACCTGTACTCCAATAGACAGGCGATTTACACCTGCATCACGGAATTCTCTAAAAATATAAATTAGGGATGTGTAGCAAAAGCAGCTATTCATTGAAGTGTATATGTTCATCAATAAGGTGAGCATCTATCTATGGGGACATGACTGTCAGCATGTAAGTTTGGTATAAAGTCCTCTCTTAAGTCTATTACAGCAAGGGTTGAATGAGTGAACACTACTTAATGCTGCATATGTAATATATGAATGTTACTATTCAATACAACAGTTTTTTATTGGAGAATCTGGGATCTAAACACATGACCAGGAGATCCTAGTATGGCCAAGGGAGGCAACTCTTCACAAAAAATGTTTAAAGTAGACATTGTTCATGATCAAATAAAAGAAGAAACTAACCTCAAGCGACTTGTCTCGAGAGATGTTGGATTGGCCTCAAGAGTGATCTCCCCTGATTTGGGCAGCGTTACCTGAGCTTTGACTTGGTTAATGATACTTGCAATGGTATCTGCACTAACTAAACTGGGGGTTCCTGAAGAAACACAAAATAAGTGAGAATATCCTGCCAACTTCTAGCTAGGATAGTGATAATATATATAAAAAAATTACCCTTAAAAAGGTTTAAAATTCTAAAAGCTCTTTGGGTAACTTTAACATTAACAAAATTGGTCGGGCTAAAGGTGCTAATTCCATTGTTCTACAATCTGTACTTAATCATATGCCAACTGGTGTACTGATTTATGTTATAATCTGTACTGATTTTCATAAAAATGATATGCACTTTTGCAATAATCGGGCCTGTTAGCTACATGGTCTAGTTTTTAATTACAATCTGAGTGCATGATACTCTTACACCAAGCCTAAATTAACCAATCTTACAAGCTGGTTGATAGCAACAATTTAAAAGCAGGGCTGTAAGGAACGAGGGCAGCTTTTATGCAAAAACTGAAATGAATTATCAAGAATTATCATGAGTGAGTGAGTGAAATTAGGTTTATGCTGCCCTAAGCAATATTCGAGCTATATGGCGGCTGTCTGTAAATAATTGAGTCTGGACCAGACAATCCAGTGATCAACAGCATGAGCATCAATCTACGTAATTTGGGATATGATGATATGTGTCAGCGAGCCTGACCACCTGATCCTGTTAGTCGCCTCTTATGACAAGCATGGGTTACTGAAGACCAGTTCTAATCGCGGTGCTCACAGGTAATCATAACAATAGGCATTTGGCAACCTCTACAGTGTTTCTGAGTTTCAGTTTGGAATGTAACATGAGGTTCAAATTCAGAACTTCTGGATATTGGACACATAACTTTCTAGGTTCTGTTTAACAGAATGGATTTTCCTACCTCCTCCAAAGAAGATGGATGAAATGGCGGACACACCGCTGAGCTTGATGAGATTTTTGGTCTCCCTCACAAGATTGTCTCTCATTCTCACCTCCTCGACATTGCGACTGGAACAAAACAAAAGGTCTCACGACATAACATATGTTTAGTTGGGATTTGAATTCCAGAATGGACACTTCTATGACAAAGCATTGTTAGAATATTCCTTACTCCATGTATTCTTCATACTGATGTAGTGGACAGATTGTCTGAGTGGACAGTCAAAGTGTTGTGCTCCAATCATAGTCTGACCAAATCTTATTAAAAGGGTTATTGACCCTGCGTGGTGCTGAGCATTTACGTGATGAAACACTCGTCAGAGAGTACACAAAGTATGTGATCTGAACTGACTGACTGACTGAGTTTTGTCAGCAATATGTCACGGCGGGGACACCAGAAATGGGCTTCACACATTGTACCCATGTGGGGATTCGAAGACTCTAACCACTAGGCTACCCCCGCCCTGATCTGAACTACCAGGTGTCAGATGTCCAGTTTAATGGAAGATGCAATGACTGAGTGGGTGAGATCAATGACGCTGTGTGCTTGTGATTAGGTGCACGACTCTGAGAGTGTGGTGAGATCAATGACGCTGTGTACTTGTGATTAGGTGCACAACTCTGAGAGTGTGGTAAGATCAATGACAATGTGTGCTTGTGATTAGGTGCATGACTCTGAGATTGTGGTAAGATCAATGACACTGTGTGCTTGTGATTAGGTGCATGACTCTGAGAGTGTGGGTTCAAATGCAGATGGGACTCAACCCTGAAAGTACTGGAATCGTTACTGAGAAAGTGTATATTTCTGTCACATGTTTATATACCCATGAAGGTCCAGGTTAGAATATTGATCTTCAGTAACCAATGCTTGTCATAAGAAGCAACTAATGGGATCGGTGGTCAGGCTCGCTGACTTGGTTGACACATGTCATCGGTTCCCAATTGCGCTAGATCGATGCTCATGCTGTTGATCACTGGATTGTCTGGTCCAGACTCGATTATTTACAGACCACCTCCATATAGCTGGAATATTGCTGAGTGCGGCGTAAAAGTAAACTCACTCACTCACTCACTCACATGTTTATATTTACTTTCTCTGCAGTTTCAACAGCAATGACCAAAACCTCTGCTCTTCTTCAATGCCCTTTCAAAACTTACTTGATATATTTGTTGAAGTTGCAGTATGTACATCGTCTCTTGCAATAAGGCCACTGAAAACACAAAAGGTTTCAGGAGTGTGTGACAAACCATGTATTTTTATTCAACAATACATACAAAATGATGTGAACATTTTCTAGCCTTTGTATATAAATAAAAAAGCACTATTCTATTCAATCAGATCTAATAAAGATGTTTAAATCATCGATCTACTAAAACTGGGACACAATGACATGCATCAACCAAGTATGTGAAGCAGACCACCTGACCATGTTAATCACCTCTCATGACAAGCATGGAATTGGTCTTCAGCAGCCCATGCTTGTCATTAAAGGCGACTAACAGGATTGGGTGGTCAGACTCTCTACCTTTGTTGAAGCATGTCATAGTATCCCAATTGTGTATATTGATGCTCATGACATTGGTCACTGGATTGTCTGGTCCAGAGGCAATTATTTACTTCTTCACACAAAACTGTCTGTAATTGATCAGACTAAGGTATACTCACATGGACATACAATGCAGCTCTCCTTTCATATTTGTGTTCCTCTTCATCAATATTTGCTGCTTTTAGATGCGTCAGTTTGAAAGACTGATCCCCATTGGCTGGGACACTACTGAGACTCCTACAGCGGTGAATGACGGACAGATGTTTTGATCTCATTGTTTTACTATGTTTTATTCAATACCACTCTTTTCAGCAGCTCTCATCCTGTAAAGGACAAAACATGAACTTCCTGTTAACATACAAAAGTTTCTGAGTGTCATCTACAAGTTGGATATTTAAGTAATGCTAGTATGGGTGATCAACATCGATCTTCATTAACAATGTGATTAAATGGTATGATGCATATTTTTCATATGTGCATTTTGTTTTGTCAAGAACAGAGAATCTGATGAAGGTAGGTAATTTACTATTGGGTTGGGTGGGCTGGTGGGATTGGATGTAGTAATGCATTGCATTTTGCTCTTTCTTCAACAGCCACATTCACTCCATCCATCTTGGGTTACATTTTTTCAAGCACCTCCCCAACAAAATACATGTCAAGTTTAATCATCATGGCAAACACTACATACACCTAACACACACTTTCCACATAAAAACATGATTTAAAATACATAATGTTCAGATGTAAAGATCGATGTGCTTAGGTGCGCGAAATTACCGGACGGCATTGTATATGTATAAGAAAACATAACACAACACACCATCGTACATCATCCTTGCAATATGTCCCATGACACAACGTGTCCAGATGTGAAATCATAAAAATGTAGGATGTTATATCAGTTTGTAAGAGGCTTTGGAAAAATCCCAAAGACTAGTCACAAACCGTAACATGCACTTTGAGTTTGACATGTCTTGACCGTATAAGACCGCATCGCGGCTCTCGGCTATTTCTAACCCAAATCAAATACTTCTATCTGACATTTCGGCTTCAGATTAACAGCATAACGTGGCTGACATCAGCAATTTATCGAGACAATTCCGCAAATATTGCACCCACGTTTATTTCTGAAGTGACATTGCTGAGATATTGAAGGGGAATAACTCTAATCTATTAACGGATTGCGAGCCGCTACTCAATCGCGCACCTGTCTCTGTCCAACAGATAAAGTTTACGCTTAGCCTCTAAATATATATAATTTTGAAAGTGACAAATAATCCCATTTAAATTGAAAAGGAGCCCCAGTGAGATGGAAAATTCAGAACCTGAAGATGAGAAAATCTAGACTTGATTCATTTAGGGCTTTAGCATTGCAGGCATGGCTTGGCAGTAGGGAAAATAATGTGCATGGTTTAGGTAGTGTGAGACAGACTAGCCTATCCATGACCTTTTCGCCGGAGACGAATGGCTTCAGGATTTTGTTCTTACCTTTTGTTAAGACACTATACTGCATCATTACCAAATGCAAACAGACTTTAGGATGTTCGCCAGGGCCTTGTAAAATGAACCGAAAGTGCACTGTATACGGCCGTATCAACGTATACAATTCAAACTCAAACTTACCTACATCCACTTAACTCGGTTCATACTGATGTTGCAACATTAGAATATGATGACGGCGCAACATTCAAATCTAGGTGCTAGCTAAAACAGGTGCGATGAAGAATTATGTTTGCCATAACCCGCAGCTCCGTACTATCTTGCATCACTAAATCTACGTTCAGGTCCCACGCTGCCGTGTATCTAGCGAATATTCAAGAGAGGATGAGTTCTGTTTTGAACGGTCCTCCAGACCCACCATGGCGTTTGACGTGGGAGGACAGCCTGATGAGATGCATTTCTTAGTTCTGGTTGTGTGAAGCCCATTTCTGGTGTCCCCCGCCGTGATATTGCTGCAATATTTCTAAACGCGGCGTAAACTAAACTAACTCATTCACTGGGGTTCTGGTAAAACCGCTTTGAACATAATTCCAATAAGACGTCGTGTCAATTTAATGTGGGTGGAACGTCATAGAGGAAACCCACTAATACAGGTAGGCCTATGGCGAAACTTGAAGCACATATTCAGGACTAGACTAACATCTAGTCTCTGAAATGAACATATTTTACAGAAAAAAACTGTTCCCAAATTATCATAATAAAATATTATGAAAAGGAGCACACAGACTTTCTTAATTTTCAGACACTGTGGTCATCTAGACTTGCCTCATATTCTTGACTTGCATGGGCTTTCTTTGATATATCTGTTTCAGGGTCTGTCTGACTACATCAGGACGATCTAGGATTCGAATCGACCCGCGGAGATCCGGATTAGAATTGATCTTCAGTAACCCATGCTTGTTGTAAGAGGCGACTAACGGGATCGGGTGGTCAAGCTCGTTGACTTAGTTGACACGTGCCATCGTTATCCAATTGATCGATGTTCATGCTGTTGATCACTGGACTGTCTGGTCCAGACTCGATTATTTACAGACCGCCACCATGTATGGAATTTTGCTGAGTGCGGCGTAAAACAAAACACACTCACTTACTAGGATTCCAGTCCACGACCATAGGTTTCTAGCATGTCACATGGCATTTAATGTGACAAAGAAATAATATTACCATTGATAAGCTTGGATGGATAGTATTTCATATAACAGTTCATGTGGGTTGTACGTGCATTGTGATAGCCATGTTGAGGGGTATTCAGGGAAGAAAGGTTTATTTCTTTTCACGCAGTCATGGTGTGTAGGTTACTGAGAAACCTAAACATCAGCTCATAAACCCCGGAATTTACACGGATCACTGACTCCAGCATCGGCGACAAGTGTGGGTGTGCAACGATCCACGGCCAAGGGGCGCAACTCTGCTTTACGCAAAGAACAACGGTGGCTCAAAAACCCAAACCTTATTTGGAGCGGCGCGGACATCTAACTCAAACAAACCCACTCCAGAGTAATTGTATCACAATTTCTATACAAAACACCCAAAGCCAGATACAGTGAAGCCCCGTTAGTCCGTACTCCGATAATCCGGATGTCTCGCCTCCCGGGCGATTTCAGCTTGTTACCAATCTATGCCTATATAATTTGCCTCGATAATCCGGAAATTCGGTTTCCGGAACCGGACGGTAAGTAGGATTAACGAGGCTTCACTGTAGTAGTAGGTTTGCTGTGTGTAAAATAAGGGCGGTACGAGTAAATTTTAGGATCGAAAGAAAAACGGAAGTCAGAATTCGTGTTTATATATTGTGCGTATAATCCTAGCATTAATAACTTATTATTATCTTTCTATACACTTTGGAAATACATAAATAAAATTTAGTCGATCTGGGTTTTAGTGCATTTGTAAAACTGACTGTCACATGTAGTCATTATGTAAATTTCCTAAGTGAAAAATATTTTGTAATAGCGTACAACGAAAAGGCTGTGAAAACAATTTTAGTGTTGTCTGTCTTGCATTAAAATACATTCCAACGATAACGTAAATGAAGTGTGGTGATTGTGTTCAGTACTACACCTAATGAATGAAAAGGGAAATTCAAATATCGTAAATTACAGCCGACAAAGGTTATATGAGCAGTACCAGGCTTGTTCGAGGAATGTATCCATCAATATCCAAATACAGGAACAGTATCCCACATCAGCGGCTGAAAGACTAACGTGTTCCGTGTCAAGTGTCTTTAAAAAAATTGATATTGTAAAATATATATAATTTATAACTCGTGACAGTTTTGTCTGGTCACCTAACTTAGCTTCAGGTTATTCACATTGGTCTCAATGGTGTAGGGGGCGGTGGGGTAAATAGTGGTGAAAGCGTTCGCTCGTCACGCCAGTGATTCGGGTACAATGTGTGAAGCCCATTTCTGGTGTCCCCCGCCGTGATATGGCTGGAATATTGCTAAAAGAGGCGTAAAACCCAACTCACTCACTCACTCACTCAATGGTCAGGCGAGATTCAAATGCTAAGATACTAAGGTACAAAACGGAGAACCAAAATCAATCTCAGCTATCATACCAACCATGCCTCAGAATTCCGAAAATGCTTGCACTGCTGGGAAACTTGATTAAAATCAGACTCAAACAACGTCATCTAATACCAGGGAGACTAATACACATGCAACGTTGTTTTGGCTGCTTGCTTGAGTGAAGGACTTAATAGAACTTAGGTATGCTTATATACGTATAAACATTGTCTCAAAATATATGTCTGCTGCCCTTACAGATAAGTCCCAGTCTGAAGTCACACACAGTTGCGTCCGTCGACAAATCATCTCGCGACAGCTCATGAGACCTAGATGGCAGTGTTAGACTGCAGCGTAGTCGTCTCACTGTCCCTGAACCACATTACTTTTCATACTGCCTAGCCCTCCCTGCAATACCGAAGCCCTAAATGAAACAAGTCTAGATTTCTTCAGGTACAGAATTTGAATCACCCATCTCACTGGGTCCCTTTTCAATTTAGATGCGTTCATTGGTTACCATCAAAGTTATATACATGTATATATATTCAGAGACTGAGTGTTAGTCTAGACTGCAGCGTTGAAGCATACAATCATGTATACAGAAGGTATAGGAGGCAGCAAAAAAGGAACAAATTTTACAAATATGATCAACCGCTTTTGAAATTCGAGAAAGAAAATGCATGGATGCAGCTCAGATACTCCTTCCAAGGTCGCATCGACCAATGTGAGCAATCCTCTCCTAGTAAACAGGCAAACAGTGCGCGTTATGTATACACATGTTAAATTAACAAGGAAGAAAATTACTGACAGCGGGTGTCACGTGACTTTGAACAACAACAGCGAGGGTGGGAGGCGAATTGCGAAGGTGTAGTAGCACAACTTCAAAGCCTTAAATTCCATTACCTTCGTTGGACAAAGTTGCCGATTTCAGGAACCACTGTAAAGACAACGAAACTGGGAACGGAATATTTCAGTTGAGGGTAGGTAAAATTGTATTTGTCGAAAGCTCAACCTAAAACCAGGAAGGTAATTTGCGATACCCATCAGTGGTTATGAACAGACTTTTAATATATAAATATATATATATATATATATATATAAGCATAACTATAAACGTGAAGTACACAATGCCATTTTAACGATAAACATTTTCACTAAACCCGCCGTGGTTACCCAATGCGCTATGTATTTGGGCACAGCCATTACACCGCTCAACAGTTGATGGACAACTTGCTGATCCGGTGACATGTTTTAGCCTTAACATATGATTGCAACGGCATATATTACAAAAATATTCAAATTCCGTCATTAATATTCATATCAGGACGATTCATGCGAAACTGAAAAGTGTAACCGTTCAGCTCCGAAACGGCTTCGTTATTAGTAACTGCGACGGCAACCACCATGGCGCAGTGATAAGACGCACAAGCCACTTCACAACTATACATGGGTGAGTGGTAAACAACGCTGGTTAAAAAAGTCCCATTTCGGTTTACTGAAGAACTACATAACTGGTACAGTATAACATGTCAAATGAAAGTGTCCTGTGATATAGAAAAAATATTACAATGTGTGTTTTATATGGGTAAATCAAACGTGCCTCCGTTTCTTGGTAATTGTCAAGTTATCGTGTGCAAAAATACTACACTGAGTATAAATAATCGAATATGCAGTCGAGGTGCATATTCGCTGCTAAACTCTTATCGCCGCTTGAATAATGCATTGCACTCGGACAGTGTACAGCCGCGCCGCGCCCATCATCTGTTTCCGATGTGCCAAGTGGAAGTTCATCCATTGGTTGAAACACTTTGAGGGGGCTCGTTGTATTCCCATTCCCAACCCGTTGACATCCACACGTTTCAACATTTGAAGTGTAGAATATTTAGTATAATTATAACAAAACCACATGAATATTAGCCTCCGACAAAACGAGTCACAATACAGGGCTGGATATGTAAGTATACACATGTAAAGTATAGCGTTCAAATATGTCATTAGGATTACAGTAAAATGATCAACGACGGGTCTTGAACGCTGTTAGAAATACACCGATCACTGGCTATTATACTGAGACATGGGTAACGACGGACAATAGCACGTAAAATAGATCAAGAAGGGAGAAGGTTTTAAGGGTGCTAAATGCAGTGTACTATATAATCACAGTTGTTAGCTCAAACTGACGGCACACACGACGCGTGAATGGAGATTCTGTTCAACAGTAGCAAAGCCTCTACTTGAATTTGACTTAAGTTTGAACAAACGGGAATGTAAACAGAAGCGGACCTTATTCCTTATCAGTTTTAATGGGCAGATTTAAAACATAAGTCAATATTAAGTATTGCATTACTGATCCCAAAAGTAAATTGTGATATGATTCATAATCATCTTTCTATAATTGACTGTAACGATATGTAAATATGATGATAAATATTCATTTATGGTGTTTATTTCAACTCTACCGTCGATTGCAGGGTGATGTCATCTTCACACAGGGGCGGTGGGGTAGCCTAGTGGTTAAAGGGTTAGCTCATCACACCGAAGATCCGGGTTCGGTTCCCCACTTGGGTACAATATGTGAAGCCGATTTCTGGTCTCACCCGCCGTGATATTGCTGGAATATTGTTAAGAGTGTCGTAAAACCAAACTCACTCACTCACTCCTTGTTAATGGCAACGAACAATTCACCTATTTATTCACCTACATTTTTTTATCGTTTTATTTTTCATAATTCCCTTTTTAATATCCATACGGGTTTCACACATTCTCATGATTCATTCGAGATAGTCATTACCGCGATGGTGATGCCATATATGGATATCTATAGAAACACAGTTTGTTTAAAGAATAATGGTTGGTAAAATATTTTTGTTGTAAAGTTAGTGTTATTTGAACCGACCCAGGGATAATATGTTTCAGTGTATAAATTCTGTAATAGAGAAGTCATTAGAACCTGTTGATCCAGGAAGTAGAATCAACGGGCCCTGAAGCAGTATTGTATGAAGGGGCGACGATCAAGTTTCATTGCTAGTTTTATAATCGTAGGTTTGTGATGATATTTATACTCTTGTTATATGCTTCTGGCAATAAAATCGTGACAGTTTGAAGGGTATGTTACTCTCCGCAAATATATGTTTTTGTGTTTATGGGGTGTGTGTGTGTTTTGTTTTTTGTTGTTTTGTCTGTCTGTCCATTTGTCGATATCACCACAAAGTCGGACATGTCCACCAAGACTATGACTGACTCCATGTGTGGCAGGGAGGTTTGGGGTATTAAGGCGTGAGTGAGTGAGTGCAGGTTTACGCCGCTTTTTGCAATATTCCAGCAATATCACGGCGGGGGACACCACAAATGGGCTTCACACAGTATTAAGGAGTTATCAGTGACAATGGTTTGAAAATAATTCATGCACATTTTGTTTCCAAAATGGGAATCCACATATACGTGCAACCCAAGGGTATTCTAGTCAAGACGAATGAATGGATAACAGTTTAATAACAGCGTGTCACGTCTACCGCTTGAAACCTCGTCAATCCGAACAATACCGCAACAGAGAGACAGTCCGACTTTGTCAAGTCCCGGAGTAATAAGTCGTTTTTAAAGAGTTTATTATGCAAGTAACCTGTCCTGACTATTGGCTTTACAGAATGAACGGGCTGTGTAAAGTTATGTCCCTTGCCCGATTCAGGATCCGCCTGTCTCCTCGATTATTATCCCTGGTAAACGCCTATGTAAACTTTCTCCCATTAGAAATAAGCCTCAGGGTAAAAGGCAAACTAACACTGCATGCTGGAGAGCTGCACAAATGTCTTGATAGGCATATTAGTCAAGGGAGCGACGCACCAGCTTGGGTAGCACACTGTTCAGCGTTATTCTTCAGTTACGTCAATCTCTGTTGTGCACATGCACATATAGGTCATCCTTATGTTCAACAAAGGAAGGCACTGAAAAGTATGCAAAGCAACTTTCGCATTCACATTCACATGTCTGCCTGTAGAATTTTTTGGTGCTTTTTCTTTACTTGCGTGGAGGGGAGTTAGTGTCCGCAATTGTTCGTCGATCGAACATTGCTCTCTTCATTCTAATTCAAATGGATCAGTGAGGCGTTAACATAAACTAGTGCTCAAAAGAAAGTATACCCTGTGTTTATCTAAGCTTATAAAGTAAAGAAAAGAAAGGAAAGCATATATATAAAATAAACATCTGTTTCATTTCAATAGAATATTCAATGTACAGGAAAGGTACACATTTTCATTTCATACAATGTCGCAAGTACCGTTTGGGTGACACTGTGTGAAAGACACGTGGTATCAAAGTCTGAACTTTTACACAAATCAACAAGGCGGTTATTTCTGGAAAACGTCATCTAATGTTGAATCAATAGTGAGTGTGACCACTGGCTTCAATACACGCCAAAACACGTCGACGCATTGATGACCCGTTAGGCGTGATTCGTTGCCATTCCTGTAGGAGACATTGTTCCAGTTGTTGACGGTGACAGGTGGCGTTGGTAGTCTTCTGATTTGTCGATCCAGGTAGTCCCATAAGGTTCTATCGGATTCATGGGGGGAAAACATGCTGGCCACGGCAAAACAACGATGTTAGCGTTATGCAGAAAGTCGTTTGTCAGTCTTGCTGTTTGAGGCCTTGCGATATCGTGTTGGTTGACAATAAAACGTGGTTGTTGCTGTATAAATGACAACAGAACTGGTCGCAAAAACTTCATCCCTGTATCTTCGAGCATTCAGGTTGCCATGAATAATCACAAGTCTCGTTTTGAGACCAACGCAGATCACTCCCTACACCATCACACTACCGACTAAAAACGGTCGGACTTGCTAAACGTTCACCTACTCGAGCCGTCAGTTAATACTATACAGGCAAAACCTACTCTCGTAGGCCCATGTAAATCGACGACGTTGTTTTTTGAGAGTCAGATGCACTCCGCGGTATTGTCGATGTGCTCGAATACCCTGGTCTCTTAGTAGCCGGTACACTGTGTTTCGACTGATACAAACGATGTCCGGATGTGGCGATCATCACCGGGCGTTGTCACACGTGGTCGACCACTCCTAGGCCTGTCTGACGTATAGCATTTCCTATTTGTTTTAGTCGTTGCATCAAACGCGATAACAGTTGCTCTGGTGCAGCCGAAGGTTTTGGCCATGACGGTGTGGTTAGCTCCTTGCTGGGTCATTCCAACAGCTCTCTCTCTCTCTCTCTCTCTCTCTCTCTCTCTCTCTCTCTCTCTCTCTCTCTCTCTCTCTCTCTCTCTCTCTCTCTCTCTCTCTCTCTCTCTCTCTCTCTCTCTCTCTCTCTCTCTCGATTTGCTTCAAACGTGGCATATTTTTGTGTTCTTTTAACTGCTGTGTTGCTCACGTGTCGCGTAGGATGTTTTATACAGTATGCATTTCGTGTTATATCAGAGATATTTTCGTTTGTTCCCGGAAAGGATGGGTCTGTACGTGTGTGACATGGCTCAGTATGGTCTTATCACTTCATTTTGTTATTGTATTTGTTATTGAGTTTTTATGTAATTTTTTTAGGTGTATAGTTTCTTTTGAACACTAGTTTATATGACGCAGTTATCGGGTAAACAACCTGATAACATTGTTATGAAGTATTAGGTTATACGTTTAACATTATTTCAATAGTAAATGTACACTATATTTGGGCGTTACCCTCATATTGGAGAAAAGCCAAACGTGGGTGGCCACGGGTGAAACTCATTTGAATCAACGATCAGAGGATCCTGATTCGAGCATGGGACATAACTCCTGACAACGAACTCGACGCGTTTTGTCAATTGCCATCCTTCCCTCGACGGGTAAAAATATATAACCAGGAGGTTCAAATCCCATTAACCACCTTTGGTTGAAACATTTAATTTCACGGCCGCACCAAGCGAAAGCGGCTATTTATAGAAAAATATTTTTTTTCTAATCACTGTCGGTTGGCATTTTGTAATAATCATGTGTACAATTATCGATAACAAGCTGTAAAGTTTACAACAATACTTCAAAATATGCGTGGCAATGCATTTTTGGGTACCAAATTCAGTACAAATCAACGAAAGTTGTATTCAAGTTTCAGGGGCAACAGAGTATTAACAACCAGAACACTGCACTAAGCCCATGGCTGCACTCTGTGACCTTGCTAACACTAAGGGTTTTGTGTTTGGTAAAAGGAGCTTGGAGATAAGCGCAATGTGCTTTCAGTGTAAAGATACAGTATGCACATACTATACTGACATACAAAAGAAACTACACACTTCTGGCGCTTTGGGATTATTTTCCCCAAAAAGGCGTAAATGTTTTGAAACGTGTTTTGATAGATTTACTTGCGTTTTAATGGTTTACCAACATTTTATTTATTTATCTGTAGGTTCTTTGAAAGAAAAAAAATCGACATGTCACTGTTGGCAGCCTTTTGTTAGAGAACATGTAACTACCCTCTCCAGTTATTACACTCTCACCCCTCATCTGTTATCTTTCTGTTACAGAAACATCGACGTGTGAGGTGGCCCTACCATCATCGTCATGGGCTTATACACAGCATTCCGCAAGAATGGCGCCCCAACATTCTACGAGTCCGTCAAGACGCCATTCGAGGCCGACATTCTGGAGTCCGGTCTCATTTTTTGCATCGTCATCCTGGCATTCTCCTTCTACATCGTTCTGCCGGGAATGCGGGGCAAGGAGGTAGGCTGTCTGTTGTATCGTCTGGGCAAGGAGGTAGGCTGTCTGTTGTATTGTCTGGGCAGGGAAGTAGGCTGTCTGTTGTATTGTCTGGGCAGGGAAAGAGGCTGTCTGTTGTATTGTCTGGACAAGGAGGTAGGCTGTCTATTGTATTGTCTGGGCAGGGAGGTAGGCTGTCTGTTGTATTGTCTGGGCAAGGAGGTATGCTGTCTGTAGTTTTGTCTGGGCAGGGAAGTAGGCTGTCTGTTGTAGTGTCTGGGCAGGGAAGTAGGCAGTCTGTTGTATTGTCTGGGCAAGGAGGTATGCTATCTGTTGTATTGTCTGGGCAGGGAAGTAGGCTGTCTGTTGTATTGTCTGGGCAGGGAAGTAGGCTGTCTGTTGTATTGTCTGGGCAGGGAAGTAGGCTGTCTGTTGTAGTGTCTGGACAAGGGGGTATGCTGTCTGTTGTAGTGTCTGGGCAAGGAGGTAAGCTGTCTGTTGTAGTGTCTGGGCAGGGAAGTAGGCTGTCTGTTGTAGTGTCTCGACAAGGAGGTAGGCTGTCTGTTGTATTGTCTGGTCAAGGAGGTATGCTGTCTGTTGTATTGTCTGGGCAGGGAAGTAGGCTGTCTGTTGTAGTGTCTCGACATAGATGTAGACTATCTGTTGTTGGATAAGGGGGTAGGCTGTCTCTGGTAGTGTCTGGACAAGGGGTAGGCTGTCTCTGGTAGTGTCTGGACAACGGGGTAGGCTGTCTATTGTAGTGTCTGGACAAAGATGTAGGCTGTCTGTTGTTGGACAAGGGGGCAAGCTGACTGCTGTAGTGTCTGGACATGGGGGTAGGCTGTCTCTGGTAGTGTCTGGACAAGGGGGTAGGCTGTCTGTTGTATTATCTGGGCAGGGAAGTAGGCTGTCTGTTGTATTGTCTGGGCAGGGATGTAGGCTGTCTGTTGTATTGTCTGGGCAAGGAGGTATGCTGTCTGTTGTATTGTCTGGGCAGGGAAGTAGGTTGTCTGTTGTATTATCTGGGCAGGGAAGTAGGCTGTCTGTTGTATTGTCTCGACAAGGATGTAGGCTGTCCGTTGTAGTGTCTGGACAAGGATGTAGGCTCTCTGTTGTATTGTCTCGACAAGGATGTAGGCTGTCCGTTGTAGTGTCTGAAAAAGGATGTTGGCTGTCTGTTGTATTGTCTCGACAAGGATGTAGGCTGTCCGTTGTAGTGTCTGGACAAGGATGTAGGCTGTCTGTTGTATTGTCTGGACAAGGATGTAGGCTGTCTGTTGTATTCTCTGGAGAAGGAGGTAAGCTCTGTGTTGTAGTGTCTAGACAAGAAGGTAAGCTCTCTGTTGTAGTGTCTGGACAAGGATGTAGGCTGTCTGTTGTAGTGTCTGGACAAGGAGGGAGGCTGTCTGTTGTAGTGTCTGGGCAGGGAGGTAGGCTGTCTGTTGTAGTGTCTAGACAAGGAGGTAAGCTCTGTGTTTTGTAGTGTCTAGACAAGGAGGGAGGCTGTCTGTTGTAGTGTCTGGACAAGGAGGGAGGCTGTCTGTTGTAGTGTCTAGACAAGTATGGAGGCTGTCTGTTGTATTGTGTGGACAAGGAGGTAAGCTGTCTGTTGTAGTGTCTGGGCAGGGAGGTAGGCTGTCTGTTGTAGTGTCTGGGCAGGGAATTAGGCTGTCTCTGGTAGTGTCTGGGTAGGGTAGTAGGCTGTCTCTGGTAGTGTCTGGGCAGGGAAGTAGGCTGTCTCTGGTAGTGTCTGGGCAGGGAGTAGGCTGTCTGTTGTTGTGTCTCGACAAAGATGTAGACTATCTGTTGTTGGATAAGGGGGTAAGCTGTCTCTGGTAGTGTCTGGACAAGGGGTAGGCTGTCTCTGGTAGTGTCTGGACAACGGGGTAGGCTGTCTATTGTAGTGTCTGGACAAAGATGTAGGCTGTCTGTTGTTGGACAAGGGGGCAAGCTGACTGCTGTAGTGTCTGGACATGGGGGTAGGCTGTCTCTGGTAGTGTCTGGACAAGGGGGTAGGCTGTCTGTTCTAGTATCTGGACAAGGAGATAAGCTGTCTGTTGTAGTGTCTGGACAAGGAGGTAAGCTGTCTGTTGTATTGTCTGGACAAGGATGTAGGCTGTCTGTTGTAGTGTCTGGACAAGGAGGTAGGCTGTCTTTTGTATTGTCTGGACAAGGATGTAGGCTGTCTGTTGTAGTGTGTGGATAAGGATGTAGGCTGTCTGTTGTATTGTCTGGACAAAGATGTAGGCTGTCTGTTGTAGTGTGTGGAAAAGGATGTAGGCTGTCTGTTGTATTATCTCGACAAGGATGTAGGCTCTCTATTGTATTGTCTCGACAAGGATGTAGGCTGTCCGTTGTAGTGTCTGGACAAGGATGTAGGCTGTCTGTTGTATTGTCTCGACAAGGATGTAGGCTGTCCGTTGTAGGGTCTGGACAAGGATGTAGGCTGTCTGTTGTAGTGTCTGGACAAGGAGGTAGCCTGTCTGTTGTAGTGTCTGGAGAAGGATGGAGGCTGTCTGTTGTAGTGTCTGGACAAGGATGTAGGCTGTCTGTTGTAGTGTCTGGACAAGGAGGTAGGCTGTCTGTTATAGTGTGTGGACAAGGAGGTAGGCTGTCTGTTGTAGTGTCTGGACAAGGATGTAGGCTGTCTGTTGTATTGTCTGGAGAAGGAGGTAAGCTCTCTGTTGTAGTGTGTGGACAAGGATGTAGGCTGTCTGTTGTGTTGTCTGGACAAGGAGGTAAGCTGTCTGTTGTATTGTCTGGACAAAGATGTAGGCTGTTTGTTATACATTTCGCGCATTACCCAAGATCCAAATGGTTATATTCAAATAATTTTCTTTTCAGGTACTCTTCACATTTATCCGAATAACAGTCAGCTTATTTATCGGTGCCTCCATACTGTGTAAGTACCCCTCAACTCTGTGACAAATACTACCACACCCAAGGAAAGTCAGACCAAAACCTGTCCAATAATCTTCTATACGTTTTATACGTTCAGCAAACATACGTAGATACAAATATTTAAGTTTTATGTCACATTAAACAGGTAAATAGTCCACATTAACTGCTTCTTTCACTCCAGTGAGACATACCGATATGTGAATATGTCATACAGAAACAACAGACGTTTTTACTTGTCAAATGGCCTGTTACCTTGTGGAGAGACATTGCAAGTTTTATTTGGACATACCCGTTTAATCAGGCGCTTGTAGGAGGTAAACCGATAACAACACTCCAACACGCAAGAAATGCACGAATGTAAATAAATATACTTATCTCTTATCAGCCGTGACGCTGACAAACTTCCTGGTTTTATTGATGGCGGCACTTGAATTACATCCGTGTTTAATGTTTAACGCGCAGTTTGCTCCGATTGTATGAGTCGTTACCATATCTGACTGACTATCATACATCACTGTGAGGGGCGGCTGGGTAGCCTAGTGGTTAAAGCGTTCGCTCGTCACGCCGAAGACCCGGGTTCGATTCCCCATCTGGGTACAATGTGTGAAGCCCATTTCTGGTGTCTCTCGCTGCGGTATTGCTAAAATATTGCTAGAAGCAGAGTAAAACCATACTCACTCACTCGTCCATGTGAAAAATATTATCCAGCATTTTGAAAAATCCAGATTTTTCTCAGCTTAAGAAAAATGAAGTGCCGTTCCGTCAGTTAATAATCACAGAAAAGCAAAATGAAAATGACAGGGTGCATTTAGTAATACCTGAAAAATACCTTATTGTGATTTCTCGTCAACAATGAACAACTACTAGCAAGAGTAATAGAGGAAAATGCTATTTCACGTCTAAAATATTGAACGGAGTATGGGAACCGTGTCTGCGACGGTGACGGGTAAAATGTACAATAATGTTATTACACTGTGTTGCACTATTTTTTATCTTTAAAAGATAACCTGCCAAAGCATATGTATACACATGGAAACAAGTATCGCAGCACTCCATATTGTTCATAGAGCAAATATTATACCATTAACCATAGCAAATGAAATTATCAAAAACTCGATTTAACTTACAATCTTGATAAATTGACCCCCAAGAAAAATAGCAAATGTAAACCAAAAAAGGGGTCATTTGGTCAGTCAACTATGGTCATGGGCGTATCCAGGAGTTTTGAAAGGGCGGGGTGGGGTGGGGGTGGGGGTGTCCGCCAACGCAAAAATATCTTCGATGTGGTCTTACATCATTTACAAAGGAGGGTCCGAGCTCGGCCATCTGTTGTCATGAACAGAAGAAGTTGACGTCTGCCTGACCAGTTGACCTTCTCCATGACATCAAACGGCAGTGACGTCGAGCTTGACACTAAGCTAGTGGTACTACTGCTAGTCCTGTGGAGATAACAACGGACGTCTGATGGGTCGGCGGGTTCTATATCCGGCCGATTTTAGGCTATTCCACTCCACTTGACATAAACGGATGAAGTTTTGTGATTCTGAGATGGGCTGTATCCTACGTTGGAGTTGTCAGTCGTGGTCGACCTGGCCGATCAAGGCCATTAACGAGGGAAACCGTTAGTTTGCTGATATTTTCTATCCAATCAGCTGATAGTCAAAGGACGACAACCAACATACCTTGCAATACCTCACAATGTCATGTCAACAGTCTGCATACCTCAAACATGTCATGTTTGTGAAGGTGTTGTAGGGGCCCCATATTTTCTTATCAACAACGAAACCCATCGCTTTTCTAAGTTATCGAGCTGGAACAGTTTACTGAAACTTGATATGTGCTAAACGTTTTGCACGCGATGCTCGCCTTTGATTGTATGACGTGTACGTCTAGAATCAATGTATTGTGCACGCAAGGGTCAAATAATAAATCCAAACAAACATAATGGTATGAATATAGGTGGGTACATGTAAATTCAAAATCATAGATGTTACGATACTTTCTGTCTGTATGCAATATTTTCCCATGGTAATTTCTGTTCAAGGCCCCTTGGTAACATGTTATATTTGGAATTACACTTTCTTAGCCCCCCTGTGACAGTAATGTTTCGTGTATATCACAGTGCTAAACCTGACACCTGAAAAAATACGATTGTGATGTCTCTTAAGTCATTTTCTTTGTTTTAAACTCCCAACACAATAGCTAAATATACTCATGCCAATAATGGTTGTCACCCCCCCCCACATCAACCTCCCTCACCCCTCTCCAATTCAAAAAAATTGAAGGGGTTGACAACCATTATTGGCATGAGTATATATGTTGTATTCTCAACTGGAGGTCTCTTGTTTTCCTTTTTCTCAAACATTAAATATTTTCGTACGCCCTGCCTTAGTCTGCCTTGCCTCGCAGTCCCAGAACCTAATTGCTTTCCCTACTTTATTCAATAAAAAAAATAAAAATAAGAAAAACAAAAAAACTTAAATTAAATTGTTTTTAATAATAATGATTATATCCCCTACTGCCTAGCCATCCCTGCAATGCTAAAGCCCTAAATGAAGCAATTCTAGAGTTCCTCCCAACTCACTTGGGCTCCTTTTCAATGTAAATGGGTTTATTTGTTACTATCAATATTATACATATTCATGGACTAAGCGTTACTCTAGCATCCCCTGGCGTTGTGCTGGAGATATACTGTACCACTGAAGACCTAGTTCAGGTGCAGCCGTATCACATCCGACCGCCTCCGTGGTGTAGTGGTTAGAGCGTCCGGCCGGAGAGCGGAAGGTCGCGGGTTCGATCCCCGACCGCGTCATACCAAAAGACGTTAAAATATGGTACTTGTTGGTCCCTGCCTGGCGCTCGGCATTAATGGGTACAGCAAGGACTGGTCGGCTCGGAGTCATAATGTGTCTGTATAATGTGTCTGAGTGAGGTATTCATGCTTCACTGCGGCATGGTATCTCAGTGGGCTAGCACTATAAAACCAGCTTCAGTCTGGGCTAGTACAAGCAGCCGCACATACACATACACACGCATGCACGTCGTCATATGAGCGAAATATTCTCAAGCACGACGTTAAATCCAACTTCACCTCACCTCACCGTATCACATCCCCTGAGCGGGTTGTAGAACGCACGTATTATGTGACACAGCAAGCGCTTCATCTCTCAATCAGGAAGTGACCCGTGCTTTTGTCGCAATCTACCTTCCTGCTTAGGCGCTTATCGTGATGGGGCATATTGTGTTTCGATGTCAGTGAAGTTTAGCAAGTCACGAGCATTAAGTCTTAATGTTGTAAACACAGACGAGACTGTTTGCGACATAAAACAAATAAACTATTTTATCAACAATGGGTTCTAACATTTAGAAAGTGGTCAAATGTAACATACTTTATATTTGGAATTACACTTTCTTAGTAACGTACAGATTCTAGTACTTTTGTTTGGTTGAGTCCCATCCGGGATTCGAACCCACACCCTCAGAGATGCTTGACATGCATGTGTTTTGTATTTATTACGCATACGTCCCGTAGACATTTCAAAACACTTTCACAAACAAACCAGAATGACATTTACATATTCATGCGCAAATCTGTTGCCCGATGGCCATGTTATGTCACATCAATCTGCATTGGCAATTCATGACTCCGCGTCAGGATCCGCTTATCCCGGGTTTAGATCCTAAATTCAACCTGATTATGATCCAAGATATGTCAACAACATACCCGCATAAATGTAAACAGCCCGCATGACCTTCTTATTTTATTAAATGGAGGATGTGGTTAAAGCGTCCGCTCGTCACGCCGAAGACCCGGGTTCGATTCCCTGCATGGGTCTAATGTGTGAATCACAATTCTAATATCCCCCGCCGTGATATTGCTGGTATATAGCGAAAACCATACTCACCTCGTCACAAAGATCCAGGTTTTCTTCTCCACATGGGTACAGTTTGTGAAGCCCATTTTGCTAGAATGTTGCTTAACATGGCCTTATAGCCCAACTCACTTGTGTTTATCAAATTGTACTGATGTAACAGATTTTGTTGTTCCACAAGCTGCGCTAACTCTCCTTCTCTCCACAGTGAGCAACTTCGCTATGTCCTGGGAGGAGTCGGTCATCACTAATACTATAACCAAATACAAGGCAGGGACTGGGAAAGACATCACAGCGGAGATAGGACTTCATATAGGGCTCCGCGGAGTTAACATAACTCTTAAAGGTAGGCGTAAAACACGAGACACTGCGTATGCCATATACAAATGTATGCCATTTTACCCATTGGACCGACCCGTGAACATCCTGGTCTTCAGCAACCCCGCTTGTCGAAAGATGCGACTAACGGGATCGAGTGGTCAGGCTCGCTGACCTGATTGACTCAAAACATCGTATATCGACCGCATAGATTGATGCTCATGATGTTCATCACTGGATTGTCTGGTCCAGACATTATTTACAGTCCGCCGCCATATAGCTGGGATATTGCTGAGAGCGGCGTAAAACAACAAACCAATAAACAGAATATTGCTTAAGACGCCAAATCCTTTCAAAACCTGGAATAAAACGAACTTGCAAAATTGCTGATGTGGTGCTCAGCAGTATTCACTCACTCACTATATATTCCTAAATCCATGTTGTGTCAGTAAGTCTATTCCCTATAAGGTTCGCTTCTTTCCAAATGTGGAAAGGACGAATATGTCTAAGCTGTTTACTGTACGATCAACTTTACACAGTTCAAATTCGTAACGTATATGTTAGCCTGTCTCACAGTCCCTGAACCTCATTAATTTCCCTACTGCCAAGCCCTCTCTGCAGTGCTAAAGCCCTAAATACAGCAAGTCTAGATTTCCTCAGGTTCTGAATCTCTGGTCTCCCTTGGCTCCTTTTCAATATAAATGGGTTTGTTTGTTACTATCAAAATTATATATATTCAGAGACTAAGCCTTAGTCTACGTGTACGTATTCGTTAGCATTGTACAAGCTATTTATGTAGAGTTAAATAATCTTCATATTATCTATCTATTCTTGGTTATAATTTAAGATATAATCGAAGCCCACCTCCCCATGTCATGTACAACATCAATTACACCCCCACCCCTCAATAATTTTTAAGCATAATTGTACCTGTGTACAAAATTGATGACCTCCCTACGTCCCCAGAACAAAATGGGTGCCCACCCCCACCCCCCTCACAATCCACACTACACACACGGGAATTATGAACGGTCCCTTAACTCAGAACTCGAGAACATCATAAGCACTTTGAGTTACACTTATATTACGTATTTTACAACAAGATACAATACGAGTCCCGTCATTATTTACACCGAGCACAGCTATGAAACATTCTGCCACAAATGGGGCACTCGTCTTGAACATTAGATGGATGTGTTCGAGTAAAGCAGGTTTGACTATTCAACTAATGTATGACGGATACCCAGCACACAGTTGTGTACAGCGGCTTACATTTCACCTTTCAGGAGAACCAGAGATGCAGCTGAATGAGACGATCAACTACAACGAGCACTTCAGCTGGGAGTGGAGACAAGGGCGCCTCGGCTTCGGGCCTTTTGGTTGGTTGATTAATTCGTGTGTTACTGTGTTGACCGCCATAATGCACGTGTGTATGTCAGTAGGTTGGCGCAACCCTCTATTTGCACGTGTCATGTATATCAGTGTGTTGACCACCATCCCCCTATTTCCATGTGTATGTCAGTAGGCCCACCCCACTATTTCTACGTGTATGTCAGTAGGCCCACCCAACTATTTCCACGTGTACAATGTATGTCAGTAGGCCCAACCCACTATTTCTACTTGTATACCAGTAGGGCCGCCCACTATTTCCACGTGTATGTCAGTAGGCCAATTCCCTATTTCCATGTGTATGTCAGTAGGCCCACCCCCTATTTCTACGTGTATGTCAGTAGGCCCACCCCAATATTTCCACGTTCATGTCAGTAGGGCCTCCCCACTATTTCTACGTGTATGTCAGTAGGCCCATTCGCTATTTCCATGTGTATGTCAGTAGGCCCATTCCCTATTTCCATGTATATACCAATAGGGCCTCCCCACTATTTCCATGTGTATGTCAGTAGGCCGATTTCATGTTTCCATGTGTATGCCAGTATGCCCATTCCCTGTTTCCATGTGTATGCCAGTAGGCCTATTCCCTGATTCCATGTGTATGCCAGTAGGCCCATTCCCTGTTTCCATGTGTATGTCAGTAGGCCAATTCCCTGTTTCCATGTGTATGCCAGTAGGCCCATTCCCTGTTTCCATGTGTATGTCAGTAGGCCCATTCCCTGTTTATGTCAGTAGGCTGATTCCCTGTTTCCATGTGTTTGTCAGTAGGCCGATTCCCTGTTTCCATGTGTATGTCAGTAGGCCGATTCCCTGTTTCCATGTGTATGCCGGTAGATGATTCCCTGTTTCAAAGTGTATGTCAGTAGGCCGATTCCCTGTTTCCATGTATATGTCAGTAGGCCGATTCCTGTTTCCATGTGTATGTCAGTAGGCCGATTCCCTGTTTCCATGTGTATGTCAGTAGGCCAATTCCCTGTTTCCATGTGTATGTCAGTAGGCCCATTCCCTGTTTCCATGTGTATGTCAGTAGGCCGATTCCCTGTTTCCATGTGTATGTCAGTAGGCCGATTCCCTGTTTCCATGTGTATGTCAGTAGGCCCATTCCCTGTTTCCATGTGTATGTCAGTAGGCCCATTCCCTGTTTCCATGTGTATGCCAGTAGGGCCCATTCCCTGTTTCCCATGTGGCCATGCCAGTAGGCCAATTCCTTGTTTCCATGTGTATGCCAGTAGGCCCACCCCTATTTCTACGTGTATGTCAGTAGGCCCACCCCCAATATTTCCACGTGTATGTCAGTAGGGCCTCCCCACTATTTCTATGTGTGTATGTCAGTAGGCCCATTCGCTATTTCCATGTATATACCAATAGGGCCTCCCCACTATTTCCATGTGTATGTCAGTAGGCCGATTTCATGTTTCCATGTGTATGCCAGTATGCCCATTCCCTGTTTCCATGTAAGGTATGCCAGTAGGCCCATTCCCTGTTTCCATGTGTATGCCAGTAGGCCCATTCCCTGTTTCCATGTGTATGCCAGTAGGCCAATTCCTTGTTTCCATGTGTATGCCAGTAGGCCCACTTCCTGTTTCCATGTGTATGTCAGTAGGCCCATTCCCTGTTTATGTCAGTAGGCCGATTCCCTGTTTCCATGTGTGTGTGTCAGTAGGCCGATTCCCTGTTTCCATGTGTGTATGTCAGTAGGCCGATTCCCTGTTTCCATGTGTATGCCGGTAGGCCAATTCCCTGTTTCAAAGTGTATGTCAGTAGAGCCGATTCCCTGTTTCCATGTATATGTCAGTAGGCCGATTCCCTGTTTCCATGTGTGTATGCCAGTAGGCCCATTCCCTGTTTCCATGTGTATGTCAGTAGGCCAATTCCCTGTTTCCATGTGTATGCCAGTAGGCCCATTCCCTGTTTCCATGTGTATGTCAGTAGGGCCACCCCACTATTTCCATTTGTATGTCAGTAGGCCGATTTCATATTTCATTCCCTGTTTCCATGTGTATGTCAGTAGGCCCATTCCTGTTTCCATGTGTATGTCAGTAGGCCAGGATTCCCTGTTTCCATGTGTGTATGCCAGTAGGCCCATTTCCTGTTTCCATGTGTATGCCAGTAGGCCAGTTCCTTGTTTCCATGTGTATGCCAGTGGGCCCACCCTATTTCTACGTGTATGTCAGTAGGCCCACCCCAATGTTTCCACGTGTATGTCAGTAGGGGCCTCCCACTATTTCTACGTGTGTATGTCAGTAGGCCCATTCGCTATTTCCATGTATATACCAATAGGGGCCTCCCACTATTTCCATGTGTATGTCAGTAGGCCGATTTCATGTTTCCATGTGTATGTCAGTAGGCCGATTCCTGTTTCAATGTGTATGCCAGTAGGCCCATTCCCTGTGTGTGTATGTCAGTAGGCCCATTCCCTGTTCCCATGTGTATGTCAGTAGGCTGATTTCATAGTTCCATGTGTGTATGTCCAGTAGGCCGATATTGGGCCGATTCCCTGTTTCCATGGGTATGTCAGTAGGCCGATTCCCTGTTTCCTTATTATTGTATGTCAGTAGGCCGATTTCATATTTCCATGTGTATGTCAGTAGGCCGATTCCCTGTTTCCATGTGTATGTCAGTATGCCGATTCCCTGTTTCCATGTGTATGTCAGTAGGCCCATTCCCTGTTTCCATGTGTATGTCAGTAGGCCGATTCCCTGTTTCCATGTGTATGCCAGTAGGCCCATTCCATGTGTATGTCAGTAGGCCCATTCCCTGTTTCCATGTGTATGTCAGTAGGCCGATTCCCTGTTTCCATGTGTATGTCAGTAGGCCGATTCCTGTTTCCCCTGTTTCCATTCCCTGTGTGTATGTCAGTAGGCCGATTCCTGTATGTCAGTGTGTATGTAGGCCGATTCCTGTTTCCATGTGTATGTCAGTAGGCCGATTCCCTGTTTCCATGTGTATGCCAGTAGGCCCATTCCTGTGGTCAGTAGGCCCATTCCCTGTTTCCATGTCAGTAGGCCGATTTCATAGTTCCATGTGTATGTCAGTAGGCCGATTTCATAGTTCCATGTGTATGTCAGTAGGCCGATTCCCTGTTTCCATGTGTATGTCAGTAGGCCCATTCCCTGTTTCCATGTGTATGTCAGTAGGCCCATTCCCTGTTTCCATGTGTATGTCAGTAGGCCGATTCCCTGTTTCCATGTGTATGTCAGTAGGCCGATTCCCTGTTTCCATGTGTATGTCAGTAGGCCGATTCCCTGTTTCCATGTGTATGTCAGTAGGCCCATTCCCTGTTTCCATGTGTATGTCAGTAGGCCCATTCCCTGTTTCCTTATGTGTATGTCAGTAGGCCCATTCCCTGTTTCCATGTGTATGTCAGTAGGCCGATTCCCTGTTTCCATGTGTATGTTAGTAGGAAAACCACATCTCAGCATAATGTATACAGTCCTCATTTACCGTTAGCCCATATGTTTGGTCACCAGCTGGAAGGTTTGCCCGGGAGTACCGAGCCGCTCAGTTCCGTGGACTCCCGCTGCCAGTTCTGTGGATAGCAGAATACTTCACATTCGACGGAGAGGGTGTCCGATGGGGGCGCTTCTACAGACAGGCCGGGTGGTACACCCATATACTGCTATGGTAATATCAGGCCCCCGTTGAATTACATTTGAGGTCATACATATTCTCAATTGCAGTATTCGTGCGGAGCAAAAATAAAACGCACTATTTTAACAGAAAAGACTATGACACGCAAAGCGTGAAAGTAAAACCTACTAATCGTAAATCGGTTATCTCCCCTTTGTTCTTACAGGACGGCTTTTCCGTTGTGGGTGTTAGCCAACATCCTGTTTTTCGTTCTGCTGAGGTATGGAGCTTACATGTTGCTTCTGACGGGGATCTGCATGGTGTCTGGAAACATCATCTGGGCAACAGTCAGGAACTTCAACACACTCGTCATCCCCTTCTCAGCTGAGCACATGATGAAGTTCACCTTCAGCTCAGCGTTCTGGCTATGCCTCATAACAGGTTTCCATATTGTGCTTCCCTTCGAATAGCGTTCCCAGAGCACTCCCGTTCTGGCCAAGGCCTGTTTTGTATAGCTATGTCAGCCTTGTTAAAAATACTCATTTACGCAGAGAGACTTTACAAATACTTTTCAATTAATGTCATGTTTTTCTTTAAAGAGGAAGATCTTGTCAAGAAATCATTCCGACCAATGTCATGATCTGTTACCTCTGCTGCAGAACTGAAATCTTGAAATAGTTTCAATATGCAATTAGATTAAACGAATACATATGAACACACCCCTGCCCTAAAAAACACCCAAAGGAAACGCACCCAACAAAAACCGGGATCTTGCTCACTAACCAAATCTCTTTAACGACCAACAAAAAGAGGACTGACCTCCGAATCATGATTTAAAAATGTGTTCAATTTTGGCTCTGTCGAAACAGATACCATCAATCGTAAAAATACCAGTTTGAAGATCGCATTAATTGATCACTCAGATTCAGTGACGACACCGGGTGTTTGTTTGTGAAACTAAATGCAGTAAACAATGTTTATAACGAATTCGCTAATGACGAACTAAGGAATATAACGAACTAAAGTTAGTGGTCCCTCTGAGTTCGTTTTTTTTAAAATAGTGGCCTCTTTGAGTTCGTCATAAACGTAGTTTAATGATTTTGTTGACAGGCATCCTGTGCCTCATCCTGGGGATAGTTATATACATCCTTGACCTTCGCTGGCCCCGGCACATCGCCACCTTCTTCAACGTGGACGTCCTACAAGACTCGGAGGAGATCCAGGTGGAAGGTGGGTAGCAAACGTCACTTCCTGTCCACAGACCCGTGAAGATCCGGGTTTGAATCGGTAATTCAGTAACCCGTGCTTTTCGTAAGAGGCGACTAACGGGATCGGGTGGTCAGGCTCGCTGGCTTGGTTGACTCATGTCACCGTATCCTGATTAGATCGATGCTCATGCTGTTGATCACTGGAATGACGAATGTTCCTGACTCGATTATTTACAAACCGTCGCCAAATAGCTGGAATATATATTGCCGAGTGCAGCGTTGTACAATCAACCAATCCTGTCGACAGGTACAGACACCATTTATACCCTTGTCTTGTCTTATACAGACTCCCGTGTGGCCATGGAATACATGTATTATTCAGTCTTATACAGACTCCCATGTGACCATGGAATACATGTATTATTCAGTCTTATACAGACTCCCGTGTGACCATGGAATACATCTATTATTTAGTCTTATACAGATACAATTATAATACCATTTCAAATGCATCACTAACTATTTCAGAGAAGAAATCTAAAGATGAAGGTACCCCGCTGTGGTGTGTTCATCCACGATTATTTAGTGCTGACATATCTCCTACCCATCGCCACTATACCGTTATTTCAATCCGGGTTCGACATGGCGCTAAACATAGACATCCAATCAAATTACTGAAACAGGCGGCCATAACGCCAGCACTCGATTCGACTTAAACCTAATTTTGAAAAATACTAACAGAATGTCGTGTAGAAAAAAGGTCGACATTCACACTGTTTTAGTATTAAGGAAAACAAATTTCCGTGTAAAGGGACATTTATCAGTTGATGTTTCGACTATATATATTGATGGTTTTGCTTGGTTGAGACAGCAATTTTTAATTCATCTCGATGTCGCATTCAGAACAAGAATGCTGATTGGTTGTTTATTTAAATTTAAGATGGACGAAGATGGCGCGTCGTTTCCGGTTGTGGCGGGTGGGTCCGGAATATTTATCATAACAGAATGGAGATATTAAACACTGGATAACCGAGGATGTTGTGTGTTTAGCTTCTGTAGAATAGCAATGTCTGTCCTCCAGTCCATGCGTCCGCATAAATGTGTCAGTTGAGCATTTGTCAGTTGAGGAGGCCCCATGTTACCTGATCAATAAGCAAATAATTGATTATCCAAGTTATCGAACTGTAAGGGACCGTTCATAATTTATGGCGTGAGGGGGTGTAAGGATGAATTTTATACAGAAGCATGTACAATGTGAATGACACCCCACCCCACCACCCCAAAAAATGTATGTACAAAGTAAGTGACCCCCCTTCCCTGCATGTCATGTACAAAATCAATGACGACCCCCAAGTACTTGTGTACAAAATTGATGACCTCTCCTATCTCCCCAGAACAAAATTGGTGACACCCCCCAGTCCACCCCCTTAAGATCATCATCACCTTACCTAGCCATAAATCATGAAGGGTCCCCAAGAACAGTTACTTAACTTGATATTTGCTTAATAACGGGCACACGTATTGCACGTGATGCTCGCCTTTGATCGTATTACGTGTATATCTAAAATCAATGTATGGTTCGCCCGAAGGCTCACAATCACCTTACAAACATAATTATAATATGGATTTATAATGATGTATAGGGGTATAAATTAATAGATGTTGCGATACCATTTGCCATGTGTATATAAGATGTGGTGACGCATTCAGATGTAATATGCAGTGGATGTCTTTAGCTTTAAAAGTAGTGACACAGATAAATAAAAAAAACAAATAAATATGTTTGGCATTTTAGAAGGAGGTGAGTAATTATCATCACAATGTGCTTATCTGCAATGTATAATTGGTTCTCTGCCAGTTGGCTTATTTCTATTGTCGGCAGATCAACCAGCCATTATCCTTTGCTCTTGTAAGTCTGCCCTTGGCTGCCTCGTTCTACTCTTGCTTGACAAAGGTAGCCGGATCTCTACAGCCTCGCATCATGAATAGACTAAAGACGTCGCCTCCCATCTTGCCTTTACTGAAATAAATAAATGATCTACATATCAAGCTGTTACGTAATTGAAATTCCTTTGAAGATTTCTTCGACATGTAAAAGTACGTCTGCTTTCAGCGCACAAGTACCTCCTCGTGATGAAGTTATGAGATCATTAAGTTGATAAGAGTGACCTACCGGATTTAACCTTGGTGGTTATCTCCCATTTGACAGACACCCATTTGACAGACACCCAGTTGGCAGACACTGAGCAAGAAGGTGAATTAGAGTAACACCTACGGGTATAATGGAACAAGCAAAGATTTGTCAGTGAACTGCGCAAGCGAGCTAGAGAGGAGACAACACAGATGCAGACCTTGTACACAGAGCAGCTGTCAGTAGAGGAGGAAGACAACCTACACGTTCTTCCATCTTTCACCAGCGTCAGCAGTTCTGTGTACAGACACCGCCGCAAGACCATGCCAGCGTTACCTACCACCCTCCGAGAAGTGCATTTGGAAGACAGTTGGACAGAGACAAGTGATGGACGTCGTTTCCTTCTTCTTTCTGATGGAGAACAAGACAAGATCCTAGAGTTCTCTACCACTGAACAGCTCCAGGTGCTGCAGACCGCCGATACCATCTACATGGATGGAACTTTCACTGCCTGCCCTGAGCTTTGGGATCAGGTTTACATTATTCATGCCCGTTGCAACTCTGTGTCATACCCCTTAGTCTTTGCCCTTCTGCCTGATCGTCAAACCACCACCTACGTTAGACTGTTCCGCCTCCTCAAGGAGAAGGTGTTGGAGGAACTGAATCGTCCCCTGGCCCCAGCAAAAATACAGACAGATTTTGAGCTTGCCACCATCCGAGCCATCGAGATGGAATTTCCAAATGCAGAGACCAAGGGATGCTTCTTCCACTTCTCCCAAGCCCTGTGGGTGAAGACACAAGATCTAGGTCTCACAGTTGCATACAAGGAGGATCCAGCAGTAAATGAGTTCATCAGGAGAGCAGCTGCCCTTGCCTTATTGCCACAAGATCAGGTTCAAGACACCTGGATTGAGGCCATGGACTCCTCCCCAGCCTCTGACCGCATTGAGGACATCAAGGATTACATGGTCGTCACATGGGTGGTCTATGACGCCCGATTCCCACTGTCACTTTGGAACCATCACAACACTGTAGGACCAAGGACCAACAACAACTTGGAAGGTTTCCACAGTCGGATGAACAGATCTCTTCCACACCGCCACCCCAACATATTTCGCTTTGTGGAAGTAATTCGGAGGATCGAGATGGCTGACAGAGCCAAGCTGAGATAACTCGACTTTGGGGCTGCTCCTCCAAGTCGCAACCGAGTCTACAGAGAGATCGACAACAGGATCCTGAGGCTCAAAGACACACTGAGTCGCGGCGATAAAAATCCTCTTCAGTTCCTAGATGCGGTGGGCAACCTCATAAAACTTGGCTAACAAGACATGAACTGGACTTGCTATAACTAAGCTTTAATTAGATCTATAAATACAGATAAAACATTGCTATGTCAAAGATATATCTACTTGAAGCTACTGTGCTACTATTGCGCATTGTTATTTGAAAAATATTATATTCTTGTTATCAAATAAATATTAAATTTTTTGTTTTTGGTTTTATTTGGACTATTCCATTATAATGTGTAGGTAACAGGTAGTTGCTCATCTGTTCATTGAACCGTAAATGTTGTTGTTTTAAGGTGTCTGCGAACTGGCTGTCTGCGTAATGGGAGGACACCACCTTGGTTTTCTCTCTCGACTTCTGTATGCCCTCATTTTAAACCTAATCAAAACAAAGGAATGTTCCCAACAGCTCAAACTGAGTAGCCCAATACATGGGACTGGAGAGCAGGGTAAGCTGCCTACAATCCCAATTTGCCTACAGTCCTCATGGAAATACAGTGTACCTACAATTAAAAAAATGATACCTCTCCCCTTTTGTCCTGAAAGTTTATTGATTGTCCATTGAAAGTCCCGTGAAAACGGGTGAAAATGAAGCGTGCACCCCACCTCCATCCCCCTTTCTCAAGAGTGTCTGTGAGCAGGACCGTTACCAGCTGGACGAGTGGTATGAGATAAACTTGTCCACGTTGAAGGAAGGTTTGTAGGATATCAGTCTCCACAAACTATGAAGTCATAACGGATTACTGACAAAGCGAAGAGAGAAACCCTCGTCATTCGCCCACTAACTCTCATCACAATGTAAATGTTGCAGAGATCCATGCCACCGAAGTTGAAGAGAACAATGACGAAGACGAGGACGAGGACGTTGAGAAGAGGACTAACGGCGCGAGCAACGCTCCCCGACCAACAACGTCAAACGACGACGACATCTACGACGTGCGGGTAAGATTCATTGCAGCTTATACAGATCCCTATTTGAGTTGCATTTTTCAAGCTGGGACGTACAATATTGAAAACACTTTACGGATAACAACTTCTTTATTCCGTCAGTGAGACGTTTCGATACAGACTCTGTACCGTTGTCAAGCAGGAATGATTCATGAAGAGGAGATGTGTGTGTGTGTGTGTGTGTGTGTGTGTGTGTGTGTGTGTGTGTGTGTGTGTGTGTGTGTGTGTGTGTGTGTGTGTGTGTGTGTGTGTGTGTGTGTGTGTGTGTGTGTGTGTGTGTGTGTGTGTGTGTCGGAAATTGGTTAAAATCTCATAATTGATGATTGGTTCATTACTACTGATCCATCATCGAAAATAATTGGTTAGCGTCATTTATGAAATTTGTTAATGCACATAAAAATAAGGAAAAAAACCATGTAGTTCCTTTGGGGGGTTTTGGCAAAATTTCATACCTTTAAAGGATGACTAGTATGTTAGGAACATAAATTTCTTGGAATCTTTAAGATAAATTCAAACATGACTTGAAACGAGCTTGTAGTGCTGCAAAAATGTAACAGACAAAACCAACCATGTGAAAAATATTGTTAATGAAAACAAGTGTTCCAGAATTGTTTGCGTTCGATTAGCGAAATTATGATCGATTGCTTGGTCGTTTAGTCACTGCGACCAATCTTCGATTATTTCAATTAATCGGACCACCACTAATATATATATATATATATATATATCATGTGCAAGATCAATTACATTCAGTATCTCCCTAAAGAGTAAAGAACGAAACATGTTGGAGAAAAAGGCATTCTGTTTTTATTTATCCATGTAATATTTATGACTGAACACCTGTACTACTTTGGACATTTTGTGCGCGTATATATATATATACTGAATGTAATTGATCTTGCACATGACATGCAGGGGGTCACTTACTTTGTACATAAAGTTTAGGGTGTGTGAGTTTGTTTTTTATTTGTTTGTTGTTGTTTTTTTGGGGGGGAAGGGGGAGAAAGGAGTGTGTGTGTGTGTGTGTGTGAGAGAGAGAGAGTGTGTGTGTGTGTGTGTGTGTGTGTGAGAGAGAGAGTGTGTGTGTGTGTGTTTCATTCACATTCCCTTAGTCTAACAGTATAGCGTGTAACGTAGGTTACAGAAGTATGTTTATGGTAGGTTTTTAAGTATGCCAAAGGGTATCGAACAATGTTGATCAAACTAAAATATGGTCCCTAACATGCTTTGAGTCGTATAATACTTCAGCTTTACTAGTGGTACTTCCATGAGGTGCTCAAGAGACAGATCTTGAAACAATTCTATTTCTTCCTGTGACAGTTCGACATCCCGGCTCCCAAGATGCGCAGTGAGAGGACCTTCACTCAGAGGTTCCAGAAGAACAGACGCAAGACCAAGCGCCCCCCGCCCCCACCTCCCCCACAGGAAAACAGCAGCGAGGAGGAGGCCTACGAGAACGCTGAGGCTGTCAGGTCAGTTACTTCATTGTGTTTGTGAGTCTAGTTTCACGCCGCTTTTAGCAATATTCCAGCAATATCACGGCGAGGGACACCAGAAATGGGCTTCTTACATTGTACCCATGTAGGGAATCCACTACGGGTCTTCAGCGTGATGGGCGGACGCTTTAACCGTTAGGTTACCTCACCGCCCCTGATTGTGTTAGTCAGGTGAAGTGTACGTCCTTGATAAGTCAGATGAGTTGTCTGGATGTGACATTAGGCTGATCACCTGGTTGTGTCTGACAGGCGAGTTGTTCCGGTAGTGTTAGAGAGATGAGTCACGTGGTTGTGTCAGGCGAGTTGTTCTGGTAGTGTTAGACAGGTGAGTCACATGGTTGTGTCTGTCAGGCGAGTTGTTCTGGTAGTGTTAGAGAGGTGAGTCACGTGGTTGTGTCTGACAGGCGAGTTGTTCTGGTAGTGTTAGAGAGGTGAGTCACATGGTTGTGTCTGTCAGGCGAGTTGCTCTGGTAGTGTTAGAGAGGTCAGTCACGTGGTTTTGTCTGACAGGTGTGTTGTTCTGGTAGTGTTAGAGAGGTGAGTTACATGGTTGTGTCTGACAGGTGAGTTGTTCTGGTAGTGTTAGAGAGGTGAGTCACATGGTTGTGTCTGTCAGTCGAGTTGTTCTGGTAGTGTTAAAGAGGTGAGTCACGTGGTTCTGTCTGTCAGTCGAGTAGTTCCAGTAGTGTTAGAGATTAAGTGACGTGGGTGTGTCTGTCAGGTGAGTTGTTCCGGTAGTGTTAGAGATGAGTCACGTGGTCGTGTCTGTCAGGTGAGTTGTTCCAGTAGTATTAGAGGTGAGTCACGTGGCTGTGTCTGTCAGACGAGTTGTCCCAGTAGTGTTAGAGAGATGAGTCACGTGGTTGTGTCTGACAGGTGAGTTGTTCTGGTAGTGTTAGAGAAGTGAGTCACATGGTTGTGTCTGACAGGTGAGTTGTTCCGGTAGTGTTAGAGAGATGAGTGACGTGGGTGTGTCTGTCAGGCGAGTTGTTCTGATAGTGTTAGAGAGATGAGTCACCTGGTTCTGTCTGTCAGGCGAGTTGTTCTGGTAGTGTTAGAGAGGTGAGTCACGTGGTTGTGTCTGTCAGGCGAGTTGTTCCAGTAGTGTTAGAGAGATGAGTCACATGGTTGTATCTGTCAGGCGAGTTGTTCTGATAGTGTTTGAGAGGTGAGTCACGTGGTTGTATCTGACAAGTGAGTTGTTCTGGTAGTGTTAGAGATGTGAGTCACGTGGTTGTGTCTGTCAGCCGAGTTGTTGTGATAGTGTTAGAGAGATGAGTCACGTGGTTGTGTCTGTCAGTCGAGTTGTTCCGGTAGTGTTAGAGAGGTGAGTGACGTGGGTGTGTCTGTCAGTCGAGTTGTTCCGGTAGTGTTAGAGAGGTGAGTCATGTGGTTGTGTCTGTCAGCCGAGTTGTTGTGATAGTGTTAGAGAGATGAGTCACATGGTTGTATCTGTCAGGCGAGTTGTTCTGATAGTGTTTGAGAGGTGAGTCACGTGGTTGTATCTGACAAGTGAGTTGTTCCGGTAGTGTTAGAGAGGTGAGTGACGTGGGTGTGTCTGTCAGTCGAGTTGTTCCGGTAGTGTTTGAGAGGTGAGTCACATGGTTGTGTCTGTCAGGCGAGTTGTTCTGGTAGTGTTAGAGAGGTGAGTCACGTGGTTGTGTCTGACAGGCGAGTTGTTCTGGTAGTGTTAGAGAGGTGAGTCACATGGTTGTGTCTGTCAGGCGAGTTGCTCTGGTAGTGTTAGAGAGGTCAGTCACGTGGTTTTGTCTGACAGGTGTGTTGTTCTGGTAGTGTTAGAGAGGTGAGTTACATGGTTGTGTCTGACAGGTGAGTTGTTCTGGTAGTGTTAGAGAGGTGAGTCACATGGTTGTGTCTGTCAGTCGAGTTGTTCTGGTAGTGTTAAAGAGGTGAGTCACGTGGTTCTGTCTGTCAGTCGAGTAGTTCCAGTAGTGTTAGAGAGATTAAGTGACGTGGGTGTGTCTGTCAGGTGAGTTGTTCCGGTAGTGTTAGAGAGATGAGTCACGTGGTCGTGTCTGTCAGGTGAGTTGTTCCAGTAGTATTAGAGGTGAGTCACTTGGCTGTGTCTGTCAGACGAGTTGTCCCGGTAGTGTTAGAGAGATGAGTCACGTGGTTGTGTCTGACAGGTGAGTTGTTCTGGTAGTGTTAGAGAAGTGAGTCACATGGTTGTGTCTGACAGGTGAGTTGTTCCGGTAGTGTTATAGAGATGAGTGACGTGGGTGTGTCTGTCAGGCGAGTTGTTCTGATAGTGTTAGAGAGATGAGTCACCTGGTTCTGTCTGTCAGGCGAGTTGTTCTGGTAGTGTTAGAGAGGTGAGTCACGTGGTTGTGTCTGTCAGGCGAGTTGTTCCAGTAGTGTTAGAGAGATGAGTCACATGGTTGTATCTGTCAGGCGAGTTGTTCTGATAGTGTTTGAGAGGTGAGTCACGTGGTTGTATCTGACAAGTGAGTTGTTCTGGTAGTGTTAGAGATGTGAGTCACGTGGTTGTGTCTGTCAGCCGAGTTGTTGTGATAGTGTTAGAGAGATGAGTCACGTGGTTGTGTCTGTCAGTCGAGTTGTTCCGGTAGTGTTAGAGAGGTGAGTGACGTGGGTGTGTCTGTCAGTCGAGTTGTTCCGGTAGTGTTAGAGAGGTGAGTCATGTGGTTGTGTCTGTCAGCCGAGTTGTTGTGATAGTGTTAGAGAGATGAGTCACATGGTTGTATCTGTCAGGCGAGTTGTTCTGATAGTGTTTGAGAGGTGAGTCACGTGGTTGTATCTGACAAGTGAGTTGTTCTGGTAGTGTTAGAGATGTGAGTCACGTGGTTGTGTCTGTCAGCCGAGTTGTTGTGATAGTGTTAGAGAGATGAGTCACGTGGTTGTGTCTGTCAGTCGAGTTGTTCCGGTAGTGTTAGAGAGGTGAGTGACGTGGGTGTGTCTGTCAGTCGAGTTGTTCCGGTAGTGTTTGAGAGGTGAGTCACGTGGTTGTATCTGACAAGTGAGTTGTTCTGGTAGTGTTAGAGATGTGAGTCACGTGGTTGTGTCTGTCAGCCGAGTTGTTGTGATAGTGTTAGAGAGATGAGTCACGTGGTTGTGTCTGTCAGTCGAGTTGTTCCGGTAGTGTTAGAGAGGTGAGTGACGTGGGTGTGTCTGTCAGTCGAGTTGTTCCGGTAGTGTTAGAGATGTGAGTCACGTGGTTGTGTCTGTCAGCCGAGTTGTTGTGATAGTGTTAGAGAAATGAGTGACGTGGGTGTGTCTGTCAGTCGAGTTGTTCCGGTAGTGTTAGAGAGGTGAGTCACGTGGTTGTGTCTGTCAGGTGAGTTGTTCTGGTAGTGTTAGAGAGGTGAGTCACGTGGTTGTGTCTGTCAGGCGAGTTGTTCTGGTAGTGTTAGAGAGGTGAGTCATGTGGTTGTGTCTGTCAGGCGAGTTGTTCTAGTAGTGTTAGAGAGGTGAGTAACGTTGTTGTGTCTGTCAGGCGAGTTGCTCTGGTAGTGTTAGAGAGGTCAGTCACGTGGTTGTGTCTGTCAGACGAGTTGTTCCAGTAGTGTCAAAGAGGTCAGTCACGTGGTTGTGTCTGTCAGACGAGTCGTTCCGGTAGTGTTAGAGAGGTGAGTCACGTGGTTGTGTCTGACAGGTGAGTTCCGGTAGTATTAGAGAGGCGAGTCACATGGTTGTGTCTGTCAGGCGAATTGTTATGGTAGTGTTAGAGAGGTGAGTCACATGGCTCTGTCTGTCAGTCGAGTAGTTCCGGTAGTGTTAGAGAGATGAGTGACGTGGGTGTCTCTGTCAGGTGAGTTGTTCCGGTAGTGTTACAGAGATGAGTCACGTGGTCGTGTCTGTCTTGTGAGTTGTTCCAGTAGTATTAGAGGTGAGTCACGTGGTTGTGTCTGTCAGACGAGTTGTTCCGGTAGTGTTAGAGAAATGAGTGACGTGGGTGTGTCTGTCAGGCGAGTTGTTCTGGTAGTGTTAGAGAGGTGAGTCACGTGGTTGTGTCTGTCAGGCGAGTTGTTCTGGTAGTGTTAGAGAGGTGAGTCACATGGTTGTGTCTGTCAGGCAAGTTGTTCCAGTAGTGTCAAAGAGGTCAGTCACGTGGTTGTGTCTGTCAGACGAGTTGTTCCGGTAGTGTTAGAGAGGTGAGTCACGTGGTTGTGTCTGACAGGTGAGTTCCGGTAGTATTAGAGAGGCGAGTCACATGGTTGTGTCTGTCAGGCGAATTGTTATGGTAGTGTTAGAGAGGTGAGTCACATGGCTCTGTCTGTCAGTCGAGTAGTTCCGGTAGTGTTAGAGAGATGAGTGACGTGGGTGTGTCTGTCAGGTGAGTTGTTCCGGTAGTGTTACAGAGATGAGTCACGTGGTCGTGTCTGTCTTGTGAGTTGTTCCAGTAGTATTAGAGGTGAGTCACGTGGTTGTGTCTGTCAGACGAGTTGTTCCGGTAGTGTTAGAGAAATGAGTGACGTGGGTGTGTCTGTCAGGCGAGTTGTTCTGGTAGTGTTAGAGAGGTGAGTCACGTGGTTGTGTCTGTCAGGCGAGTTGTTCTGGTAGTGTTAGAGAGGTGAGTCACATGGTTGTGTCTGTCAGACGAGTTGTTCCGGTAGTGTTAGAGAGGTAAATCATGTGGTTGTGTCTTTTAGTCGAGTTGTTCCGATAGTGTTGGAGCGGTGAGTCACGTGGTTGTGTCTGTCAGACGAGTTGTTCCGGTAGTGTTAGAGAGGTCAGTCACGTGGTTGTGTCTGTCAGACGAGTTGTTCCGGTAGTGTTAGAGAGGTAAATCATGTGGTTGTGTCTGTCAGTCGAGTTGTTCCGATAGTGTTGGAGCGGTGAGTCACGTGGTTGTGTCTGTCAGACGAGTTGTTCCGGTAGTGTTGGAGAGGTGAGTCACGTGGTTGTGTCTGTCAGTCGAGTTGTTCCAGTAGTGTTAGAGAGGGGAGTCCCCTCGTTGTGTCGGTCAGGTGGTACACCTTGTTGTGTCCTTGAGGTGATACACCTGGTTGTGTCTGTCAGGCGAGTTGTTCTGGTAGTGTTAGAGAGGTGAGTCACATGGTTGTGTCTGTCAGGCAAGTTGTTCCAGTAGTGTTAGAGAGGTCAGTCACGTGGTTGTGTCTGTCAGACGAGTTGTTCCGGTAGTGTTAGAGAGGTAAATCATGTGGTTGTGTCTGTCAGTCGAGTTGTTCCGATAGTGTTGGAGCGGTGAGTCACGTGGTTGTGTCTGTCAGACGAGTTGTTCCGATAGTGTTGGAGAGGTGAGTCACGTGGTTGTGTCTGTCAGTCGAGTTGTTCCAGTAGTGTTAGAGAGGGGAGTCCCCTCGTTGTGTCGGTCAGGTGGTACACCTTGTTGTGTCCTTGAGGTGATACACCTGGTTGTGTCTGTCAGGCGAGTTGTTCCGGTAGTGTTAGAGAGGCGAGTCACATGGTTGTGTCTGTCAGTCAAGTTGTTCCGGTAGTGTTAGAGAGGTTAGTCACGTGGTTGTGTCTGTCAGACGAGTTGTTCCGGTAGTGTTAGAGAGGTAAATCATGTGGTTGTGTCTGTCAGTCGAGTTGTTCCGATAGTGTTGGAGCGGTGAGTCACGTGGTTGTGTCTGTCAGACGAGTTGTTCCGGTAGTGTTGGAGAGGTGAGTCACGTGGTTGTGTCTGTCAGTCGAGTTGTTCCAGTAGTGTTAGAGAGGGGAGTCCCCTCGTTGTGTCGGTCAGGTGGTACACCTTGTTGTGTCCTTGAGGTGATACACCTGGTTGTGTCTGTCAGGCGAGTTGTTCCGGTAGTGTTAGAGAGGCGAGTCACATGGTTGTCTGTCAGTCAAGTTGTTCCGGTAGTGTTAGAGAGGTTAGTCACGTGGTTGTGTCTCTCAGGCGAGTTGTTCCGGTAGTGTTAGAGAGGCGAGTCACGTGGTTGTGTCTGTCAGGCAAGTTGTTCCGGTAGTATTAGAGAGGTGAGTCACGTGGTTGTGTCTGTCAGGCGAGTTGTTCCCGTAGTGTTAGAGACGTCAGTCACGTGGTTGTGCCTGTCAGGCGCGTTGTTCCGGTAGTGTTAGAAAGGTGATACACCTGGTTGTGTCAGTAAGGCAAATTATCCAGTTGTGTCTGTAGTGGGCGTTGTTTTTGAAGCACCAGTGTGGGGAGTCGCCCTGTCGCCAATGTGGCGAAATCATGGTAGTGACACTGACAACTTGACAAAATAACTAAGGACGTTACTTCCTATGGCCCTTTTCCATCACTATTCCAGATTCTATGCAAAAGGTAAAAGGGCCAACCCAAGAGATGTGCAGTTGGAGATGGGGACATCCGCTTAGTCATTTGGTCAAGTTTCCAGGTCATCTTACCAGTTTCAACTCTCTACCTGAATATCGAAGTACCCAAACTGTCTGAGAAAATACTGGCTTCCAGATGGGGGGTCTCATATATCGTTCAGATTTAACTTACTGTACCCAGTTGTGTTGTATATATGAAAGGTTTCATCAAAACATTTATTTGTTCATTGCATTTGTACTGTCAAAGCATGATCCTTAACTTTGTTGTGAAACCTTTTAAAAATGTTGATGCCTGCAACTCTGGGATCCTTGAAAAGCACTTAACAATTACCCATGAAGATATCAAGGGTTTATTTTTGGTAGCTTATGTTACGTTTTGTTCATATTTTTTCCCTGTAAAGTTCACCAATTCCGAAAGAAATTCTCAAAACTTTTAAACTGGGTGGAAGGGACGAAAGATATAGAGTTCTAAACAAGGCTTTCAAGGCATTTCATATCAGTGCTTGTAAAAGGTAGTGTCATCGAAAGCCTATTCACACATTGTTTAGTTGACAACTATGGCAACCTGTAACACAATTTACATGAGTGAAATCGATTCATCATCTTGAATAACAAATTAATTGTTTTCCGCAAACAGGCTGTGTTTTGTGTCTATGCAGATGCCAACCATTCCAATAGGTCTTAATTGCCACACAATGAATTTTGACAATCTACCGTAACATTCACTATCTGCATTCATTTCTTACTTGTCAACTGCAAATCATTTTCCATGAAAATAAAATGCAAAGCTCAACACTTATTTTAGCACTGTAAGATTTATGGCAGAGTTTGCCATTAACCCTGAAAAGCTGCAGGCCCTGAGGACCCAGGACCCAGAACCATAAAAAGTTGTGGGTCCTGATCAGAATGTGTAAGCCCTATATTTAAACTACAATATCAGTAATTCCCAGCAAACAAAAACTATAACTAGCAAAGTTAAAGAGTTTAATTAAACTCTATTGACTGACCAGTCTTCACTGGCAAGAAAATGAAAAACCTAGAAATTACTGAAATATATTTTCTGAAAAATTATACTCAGTTATTGGGAATGAAAAAGCTGTCAGCCATAAGGACCTGCAGAAAACAAAGCTGCGGGTCCGAGTGGTTTTCCGTTAGCTGACGTTAGTTCGAATGCTGACTTATGGTCAGGTCTTGAGTGATTATGAATTTACGCAGCTTTTAGCAATATTCCAGCATTCCAGGGCATCACCAGAAATGGGCTTCACACATTGTTCCCACGTGGGGAATTGAACCCGGGTCTTCAGCGTGATGAGCGAACGCTTTAACCACTAGGCTACCCCACTACCCTCAGGTCATAATGAATTCCAAGATAATTCCATCATTTTATTGTTTACAAATATGTGATATATTTCAAGACTTGTCCTTTCAACACCCAGTCAGACCAAGATATACAAACTAAATTAGTATTTTTTCAATTTTACTGGCTTTCTTTGTCTTTGTTTGAATTTCCTCTTCAACTTCATGCTAACTCATTACTAATGCCTATAAGTATATCTGTTATCCACATTTTGAGTTAATGTCAAATAAACTACTTCATAACTTGTGTTTATCTTTCAAATGCATTTTGTACCAGAATAATCCCTTGATTGTTGCTTGATGCTCCACTCTAGTGGGAGAGTGAGGGAATTTTTTAATGCCGCTTTTAGCAGTATTCCAGCAATATCAGCGGGGACATCAGAAATGGGCTTCACACATTGTACCAATGTGGGGAATTCGAACCCAGGTCTTCAGCATGGCGAGCGATGTTTTAACCAATGGGCTACCCCACCACCCCTTCAAGTGGGTGAAAACAAAGTAAGGACATCCAAGTCACAGGATGTCAACTGAAAGTCTGACCAAACTGATCCTTCAGTTTTCTGTAGATTCATGTTGTGATGTCCTCTTGCAATATTCCAGTAACATGATGGTAGTCTCAGCCTGGAACAGGGAGTCGTGTGACTGACAAGACTTGCCTCAATCAGTGAGCGGGTTAAAGTTGATAGTCACAGCGGCAATATTGCAGCCATATCGTGACTAATTTGCCTCAAGTCAGCAAGCCCAAATCTCCATTCAGTCAACTGTGACAAGTATCGGTTGCTCAAGGCCAAATGTTCCCCATAGGTTAGTGGTTTCACTCTGACCGTAACTAGCCACAGGGTCCATAGGGATCCAGCAGCACGAAGGGTTCAAACATACAGAATGATGATATCGACTCCAATTCTTAAAACAAGACTTGACTACTAATGTTATGGCTGCCCTTTCCCTTCACAGAACTGTTGTATGCACACAACCTATAGACATGAATATTTTCAGACTGAGTCATCTAATATTTTTAACCGTAATTCCACCATTATCAAAGAATCATTAATGCTCCTTTGAACATGAACACCCAATGTGATTGTTATTGAACGCCATACTCGGCAATATTTCAGTTATATGGCGATGGTCTGTAAATAATCAAGTCTGGATCAGACAATCCAGTGATCAACATCCTGAGCATTAATTTACACAATTGGGATAGGACGACATGTCAACCAAGTCAGCAAACGTGACCACCTGATCCCATTAGTCGCCTCTTACGACAGGCATGGGTAGCTGAAGATAAATTCTAAACTGGATCTGAAAACCCAATGTGAAACCGGGTGAAACACGAGTATGACAGGCCAAAGAATCTAATCAGAATCTGATTGGTTGAAAAATGCACCTGGCACAAAACAATGGCCAAGGAATTCATCAGTTCAGCATAAACAAATGACTCCAAATTTTCCCTTCAGATTTATTGTCTGCAATTTTACACAGCACCATACAGTTGGTAACACTTCAGTAGATAAAACTTAATGAATATCCCACAGCCAGCACAGCCTATGATGTCACAAAACTCTGACCTCATGGTCTAAAGGAGGGGCTACACCCTGTCAACCTCACGTTCTGGACCACAAAGGCTCTGCACTCTCGACCTCATGGCCTTTCTCCCGAGTGTATTCATGGGTCACGTTTTCGACCTCGTTCCGCACATAATGGATGAATAGAATGGGACAATGATCAATGCACAGTTCCGCATAATAGCCCTTTGTCCGTGTATTCACGAGTTGTGATTCAACCTCTGAAAAAACTTACTTCATAGGCATATCAAATTATTGACTTGACTTGACTTTTGTTTTCAACATTGGTTCTATAGACACAAAACAAACGCATGCTCTTGGGATCTTTAGCAATATGGCAGGAAAACAAGTCTACAATCATAAAAGCAAATCATGTGAATGCAACAAACTCGAAGCAGTATCGTAGGCACTTTGGAACAGTGTTCATCAGGGATATTTATGATATTCCTTGAGTTATGTAAATTGAATATCTCTAAGTAATGGCCATGCTGTCAATGGAAATGAAATTAACACAGCTTGACCATTGTCATCATGGCCACCAGGTCATTAGCTGCATATAATCAAAGTTAGACAAAGGCTGGTTGGCCACTGAAGCATGACAATGTGGATGAGGTGCGGGATACTGCATTCTGACCAGACATCTGTCACAAATACGACACGTGACAGTCTGATCAGGATTCTACCCTTCGGGATACATTGAGAACGCTTTGTGTTAGTCGAGACTTGACCCTGAGACAGCGGTTAGGCAGGTTGGCTGACCATCGCCTCCGACATGCCGCCTAGCTCTTGTGATCACACCATGTAGTTATACAACATTGAATCACTAATAAAGTGTTGTGGACCCACTGAGGGACTACTGTATTTGAAGACAGCTATCCCCTTTTAAACAGCCCAGGATACATGGTGGAGTCTAAGATCCCTTGGCACCTCTCGGCAACAGAAGTCTTGAGCGAACTTCTCAACAGAAGTCAACCAACTACATGTAACATCAGACTAAGGGTTTGTCCTGAAGAGTAGTTGACCATGACGTTTGTCAACTGTATCAATTGGGACTCTTGGCTGTTTGAAGGACATAATAAAAAAAGTGCTATTGTGTGTGCACCGATGCCAAAACAAGAACTGGTCCGTTGATGATCTGTACACAGCACCTACATCCATATCCTGTGTCCGAGGAAATAGCAAGAAACGCAAAGACGAAGAGGTCGAGCTGGCTCCCACTTACAAGTGTCATTGACATTGTGACTTTTAGTTGAAGTGTTGTGTCTTACCGATTGTTTTGCGTTTTAATTTAAACTTTCCACTGGGTGAGTGTTGATACTATTTGGTTCTTCTTCCACTTTCAATGGAAACGATGGTGGTGAAGCCTCCAGACAGATTGACATATTAACGAAACAATTTCCTACTCCAAGAAATTGCTGCATACACAACTGACATATCACTGATTTCTTGTTTCTACAGAGTAACAAGACTATATAATAATAGTCCATTGTCCCACTGTTCATGCCCAAGGTGTGGAAAGAGGTCGAAACGTGACGCATGAATTCATGGACAAAGGCCAGCATGCGAAGTCGAGGGTGCAGAGCCTTTGACTTTGATATGGTCTAAAACACGAGGTGGACTGGGTTTAGCCCTTCTGACGTCATAATGCGAGGTCAAACAAGTTCTGTGATGTCATAAGCTGTGCAGGCTGTGCGATATTCATTAATGTTTATCTACTCGCTTATCATGCATCCAGGAGTGAAGCTCAATTGCTGAAGTCTGCAAGAAAAACAATTTTGTTACTTCAAACTAAAAGCGAATAAATATTATACTATCAGAAAGTATGTCTACTTAGAACTAAATAAAAACCCAGGTTTATTGAAACGTTGCACTCAACAATATTCCAAGTCAGCGAGCCTGACCACCCAATACCGTTAGTCACCTCTTACGAGTAAGGGTTGCTGATGGTCAATTCAAACCGGGACCAAGGGTTTATTGAAACTGATGAATGGTAGAATGAAGACAACATGCTTTCATAACGGACCATCCTAAATAAACAGCAGGAATAGAGCCAGAAAAAAAGATAAATACATATAAAAAAAGATACATAAACAGAGCTCCAGATAAGACTAAGCTGATGTGGGTACTGTACCCAATGTATATTTTTGGAGTGGGTATTATGAATGTTGAGTGGGTATTTGCTTTTCCGCTACCCACTGCTTTCTAATATGTGCTTAGTTCAGTCATTTTACTCACCTAAGTATTGTGTCATTGAGTTAGTTTACTAAGTAGGTATGTTTCTGCCTTATGTAATACCTAATCAAAACCAAGTTAAATATAATGGAAATCACTCATCCTATACTGACAGTACAACACTTGCCCTATACTAACAGTACAACTTGATAGCAATCAATGTCATTTTCATACCCAAGCGATTTTTCTAAATATATTCCGTGACGCGACTTGTTTTAAACTTTTTATGATCTAACATTTTAAATGCGTGAATTGGTACGCATAACAATTATATTTCAATGCATTAAATGGGAATTTTCTATGTATTTTACCCGGATAACGCAGCTTATCTGGGCCTCTGCATAAAAAGGACACACTTCAGGTATGCATTAGCCTCACTCAATGAATTTAATCATTGTCCGAAACTCTAGCCTGCACAAAGTATCATCATGAATGTGTCATTATCACTATTTCTTTAAGTGTTTTAAATTACTTACCAAATGAATTGATTCAGAGGAATGACTTCATCCTGATAAAATTGCAGAGCCTGAAAGGAAAATGTTGGTCAGTACAACAATTTGTGGAAAAACACTCTACCTGAATGCATGTCTTCTACACAAAGTAGATCAAGTGGATAATTCAGCAGTGTGCCACATTTCTTAGCAACTAGCAACCATGCATCTCAACAGTAGATAGAATGTTTAACAGCTTATTGATATATCATATTTAGTGTATTTTCCTGGGGTATCCCAGTAAGCACATCTGTTGAAGTTTTATTAGCTTAGCACCGGAATGTCAAACATAGTATGCTTCAGTCACCATGAAAGCTTGGCTGTTACATGGATGTTCCTATATATATATATATATATTATAATAAATGACATCAGTATGAAATATCAAGCAATATTCTACAAGTTTGAATTCACAGCACATTTCAGGAATGCATTAGCCTCACTCAATGAATTTAATCATTGTCCGAAACTCTAGCCTGCACAAAGTATCATCATGAATGTGTCATTATCACTATTTCTTTAAGTGTTTTAAATTACTTACCAAATGAATTGATTCAGAGGAATGACTTCATCCTGATAAAATTGCAGAGCCTGAAAGGAAAATGTTGGTCAGTACAACAATTTGTGGGAAAACACTCTACCTGAATGCATGTCTTCTACACAAAGTAGATCAAGTGGATAATTCAGCAGTGTGCCACATTTCTTAGCAACTAGCAACCATGCATCTCAACAGTAGAGACACTTATTGAGATATCATATTTAGTGTATTTTCCTGGGGTATCCCAGTAAGCACATGTTTTGAAGTTTTATCAGCTTAGCACCCACGGAATGTCAAATAGGTTTAACACAGTATGATTCAGTCACCATGAAAGCTTGGCTGTTACATGGATGTTCCTATATACATATTAAATGACACATCAGTATGAAATATCAAGCAATATTCTACAAGTTTGAATTCACAGCACATTTCAGGAATGCATTAGCCTCATTCAATGACTTTAATCATTGTCCGAAACTCTAGCCTGCACAAAAGTATCATCATGAATGTGTCATTATCACTATTTCTTGAAGTGTCTTAAATTACTTACCAAATGAATTGATTCAGAGGAATGACTTCATCCTGATAGAATTGCAGAACCTGAAACGAAAACTGACATTGAACATTGGTCCATAACAACAATTTGTGGGAAAACATCACATTCGACCTGAATGCATGTCTTCTACACAAAGTACAGTACAACAAGAAATTGAGAATTTAAAGATTGTAATTTTTATATTTTTTCCACTCATTACTCGCGTATTAAATGTGAATATTAGCAGAACATAACTCCAGATTCAAAGACCGGTGAACAGTTAGTACTTTGTAAAGTCATAGGGCAGCAATGCAGGCTTCAATGCCGCGGGGCATACTACTAATCAAAGAAGTTAGAAAGTCGTGGTCCATGCTGTCCCAATATCGGACCACTTCTTTCATTTCAGCAATATTTGTCAGATTTCTCTTATTGACACTTTCCTTCATAAGTCCCCAAACATTTTCTATTGGATTTAGGTTGGGGCTATAACTTGGCAAATCTAATGATGTCATTTTGGGTCCGAAACCAGGCCTGTGAATGCTTTGAACAATGTTTTGGGTCGTTGTCCTGCTGGAAATTCAAAACATTTCCTTAGAACACGTGAGCAGATGGAAGTAAATGTCCCTCGAGAATATCTGAACCGCTCACTGTTCGTATTCCCTTCAAATACAAAGAGGGGCATTGCCCCTAACACAGATATGCCACCTCACATGTTAAAGTACAGAGCGCGCTGATACAAAGGTTTTTCAGCTTGTTTGGTCCAGAATTTCAGTGTTTTAGGAAACAGCCACACAGAACTTTCATCTGAGAAAATCACATTGTCCCAGATAAAATTTCTATGCTGTAAGCACCAGTTCACCCTTCCCTCCTTTTGTTCAGGTTTCATGATCGGTGATGGAATCCCTCGACTTTTCTGCCAACCCAGTGCATGCAGCTCAGTTCTAATTGTCTCCTTACAGACAGCCACAGTTCCTCTATCAATCATATCCAGCCTTAAGTTTTCTAAACTCCTTCGTTTGTTTTTAGAAACAAGAACACCAAGCCGCCTCCTGTCACCAACAATCAATTTTCTGGGCCTACCTGCGCCTCCCTGGTGCTCAATGCCATATCCATTTGCAATATTGTTCAAAACACGATAAACAGTGGACAAAGGGATGCCTGTTCTACTTGAAATCACTTTAGCTGATCTGATGTCCTTGTTATAATACTCTAAAATCAACTTCTCTTCTCTAAATAATCCATACTGAGATCACTGAAAATGCTGTCTTCTAGCAAGTAAACAAAGGGGGATAACTCTTCACAAACTAATGAAAAAGGCTTAATGGAGTTGTCTCTTGAATGAAACCAAGCACTTGATAGCTGGTCAAGGTTGTTTATACTAGAAATCCAATTAAACATATTCCTAAAATTCTCAATTTCTGGTCATAGTATATATCAAGTGGATAATTCAGCAGTGTGCCACATTTCTCAGAAACTAGCGACCATGCATCTCAACAGTAGAGACACGGAATGTTTAACGGCTTATTGATATATAATATTTAGTGTATTTTCCTGGGGTATCCCAGTAAGCACATCTTTTGAAGTTTTATTAGCTTAGCACCCACGGAATGTCAAATACGTCTAACATAGTATGCTTCAGTCACCATGAAAGCTTGGCTGTTACATGGATGTTCCTATATACATATTAAAGTATATCAAGTGGCTGATTCAGCGGACTGCCAAGCAATGTCAAGCAATATTCTGCAAGTCTGAATTCACAGCACATTTCAGATATGCATTAGCCTCATTCAATGAATTTAATCATTGTCCGAAACTCTAGCCTGCACAAAGTATCATCACAAATGTGCTTAGTACAATACCACAACCATCAAGTTATACGACTATATGTCAGTATCTACAAAAAGACTAACCATGTGGATTCCTGTTGTGTTGGCCAAGATTACCTGAAACATACATTCAAAACTCTTACCATCTAAAACGTAGGAAAACACAGGCTCCATATATACATGTTCACAGGCCAAATTCCTACAGAAATCTGAAAACATTACTTTCACACTTAGGTTACATAAAAGGCATTCAGATAAATCATTTCCTTCAAGAGCAAAACCCTCAACCCCTTGCAAACTGGACCAACAATGAATGACCTCTTGATTAATGCTCCATTCAGCAATATTTCAGCTTTATCACAGCTGAATAACATCTTGAGAATGAAACTTTTCATAGTTTCATGACAACATTTGCTGGTTCAAGATAGAATTAGTTTTCAGACCATCTATAGAACGGAGAATATTATCACAGTGCTCAGAAGCTAATACATGAACCATCATCAGGATCAGGCTAAAAAGCATCATCCTTGCATTCTGCGAGTCATTTCCATGTGATAGGTTACTAGGTAGACATTACACTGAGAGTTTAGTTTTACGCCGCTTTTAGCAATATTCCAGCAATATCACGGCTGGGGACACCAGAAATGGGCTGCACACATTGTGCCAATGTGGGGAATCAACCCGGGTCTGACGAGCCAACGCTTAACCACTAGGCTACCCCGCCGCCCCTGTGATAGGTTACTAGGTAGACATTACAAGTAAATATACAGGATAGTGATGGTGCAAGAACCTCTGAGGGAAACACTGTCAATTCATTTATAACACAAAATAAAATATGCAGTGGCATGACAAAAAGAAAAGAAAAAAAATATTGGGTAGCCCTGAACATTTTCTGTTCGTGTATGTTAGAAACAGATTCGATCAAAAGCCAAGTTCTGTCAGTTTCACCATGGAACCCTTTTGGTGTTCCAAGTTATCACATTGATGGCATAGTGCTAATGCTTTAAGCAGATACTTCTTCAGTGTGTAGCACATTCACATACCTTTTCCTGTTCTGAGAACTTCAACAGCAGCTGAAAATCTGCACCTGCAAAATACCCACAAAATGTACACAATACGTTTATCATAAACTACTGTTTGTAGGCTTCACCATGCTCAGATGCTCAACTGTATGACAGCCAACATGTGGACTTCATACCTTCATTCGAGATGCCACAGAGCAGGTGCCCCTTAGCTCAATGCCCGAAAGCAGAACACCAGGGGCACCTGTTTGCTTCATCTGTCAGGCAACACTCACATCATGGCATGTAAGACACCTCATGGATTCAGGTTTGTATGAGTTACTCCTTTTCACTTGCAACCAAGATTATTTTTTCTTTAACAAGGGATACTTTGTGGGAGTGATTTTGGAAAATATCTTTACTCACTTATCTAATTTGAAATTATGAACTTGTTTAACATTTGGTTTACCTTTCTTTTTTCTTCCTCTTTTTCAAGTGAAGCAGTCATGTCATGTGAAGCGGATGTCACTTCTCCCACACCTAAAAATCAAACTACTCATAATAAACGTCCTTTATACTTTTCCAGCAATGTTCAAAAGAAATACATGCTCAGATCTATAGCTCACTTTATATAGAAATCTTCAACGAACCTAGTGTTGGAATAGTGAAATCTAAGCTCAATGCAATACGCAGAACAAAGATCCACTCCACACGTGTTCTCGTACATTTTTCTCATCACTGCATGTGGCATGACACTAGGGATGGGCTTTGATCAACCTATATAACATGTCAAGTGGATCCAGCCAGTATTACCCAAGTCAGCAACATTCCAGCTTTATCACAGAATTTAATAGTTCTAGGTAATACAGGCCTACATGGGATAAACAATTACTAACCCCATTAACCAAGTCATGTGAACATCTGTCCATTGGCTCCTCTACAAGCTTCACAGGGAAGGTATCCCATACAGAAATATATATAGGATACCAAAACAAGAGCAAATTGGGACAATTTTTGTATAAAATATTAAAAAAGTACATTTTCTTAAAATCAGAAGCATATGTATGATTTGTGAATTAGAAATGCTAAACTGAACATCAGGGCACTCTACAACTCATTGACAGGCAAATCAGTATGTTTTTTAAAGACATTTATATCAGAAATCTACCTCCGACTCGAGTCGGAGCAGGTCCAGATCTATCCATGCGAGGGCATTAAAGAGGAAGAGATGGATAAACCACAAAGTAAATGATACTTACATGTTTTCACTGGATAGAAGTCATTCATGGCACAACTCTGGAAGAAAAGGAACAGATGCCCAATAAGAGGCCACCCAACCACAACACACGCAAAACATAGGCAGACATGCTCAGAAGCTCACACTATATAGACTGTCATGGACATTCGGCTTTGCGGCGAACGGGTCCGAGCTCAATGCTCACGCAGAACAAGGACTTTATATCGCAGCACAAGATCAGTCTCAGGTTAATATTGACGTCATTGCATGTATGTGATTTTACTTCTCTTCCAACAGTTAAGTGATTGAATGTTATGAAACATTAAATATGCTTACTTGCTAGAAATTCCTGGCAGTCCATCTGCTGAAGCTGTTGGTCCAGAGTGATTTCTAAGACACACAAGCCATCTTCATGTATGTGCTCTTGATTTGTCTAAAAAGAATAAACATGTTAGGGCTAAAAAGAACATGTTGTGGTTCTGATTACCCAACCAACCCTTGAATTCTGGTGCAGACCCTATTTTTTTTATGCAGACTGAATAAAATAAGCTTTCAGATACCATTGTTTTTCCCTGCACCGACACATATCAGTCATTCTGATATAGAAAGTGGACATGATGGCTGCAAGCTTGATTGAATAAACAATTACACATTTGATACATGTATTATTAGTTTGTACTTTCCTTCTTAAAAAAAAACGTAAAAAGAACCCCAAATTCCTACCTACCTTCCCTAAATTTTAAGTGTAATCAATACATTTTTATCTATTTGGCCTTACGAGGATAGACAGCATCGTTCAGCTATGAATGACTTGCGTTCTGGATCATGCAGTCTGTATAGCTAGTATTTGAGGATCTAGAAGATTCAAGGAACCCTTCAAACAATAACACTAAACAAGGACCAGTGCTTCATCATGATCTTTGCTCTAGTTATGGCGTAGTTGACATGCTCAGAATCCCGGTAAAAGTCTATCATAACAATTCAGAGACTTCAGTAAACCATCATTGCATGTCATCCTACACATACACTGTCTAGTGCTGGAGGAAATTTGAACTTTGTGAGTTGGTAGGTGCCCCAATCAGTTTATCCAACCTCCACAGTAATGCTGAGAACTTAATTTTAGTTATTTTATACAATGTTCTAAGATTTCCTCAATCACTATTTGCGGCCAGTGTTCAGGAAATATGAGTCCACCAGGAAATAAATAATACTTGATTTATGCAAAAGTAACGCTGAATCACTCACCATGTTTTAGACAATACACCTGTAGTAGATGCCTTGATTATTAGTATATGACCAAAACAATAACCCTAGTAATCCAAATATTCAACATGTTAAGGTCTTCCTGAAAAGGTTTTTCAAAAAGGTTTTTACATGATGCAACCATCAAGACATCCATCCTTATGTATCACACTTCAATTAGTGCATCACTCCATTTTAGCGATAATACCAAGTATGTGCATGGGTTAAACTTACCTTTCTTAGCTTGACTTTTCAAGACATTTTCAACTTGTTATTAGAGCCATCAGGATCAGTGTCATCAGAACTGGAAGAAGAGTTACCAAAATACAGATTCCATCAAGAAATACACCATCCTGCCGTGTTGAAATCGAGGTTAATTATGAATAATAATGTGTGTACAAACTGTATGCTCTTCGCTATAACATTATTACATCGGTCACTATAACCGAAGTTGCCTGCGAAGCAATAGAATGTTAAAAGTCGTATGACCATCTCATCACCTTGGGTAGCTATTAACTGCTGGGTGAAGAGAAGCAATTTTAAGCCATGGGCTTTGCAGTGGGACAGGACCGAAGCCCAAGAGTCACTACTAAACATGGTCTCTCATAAGGATTTTCTGCAACCGATGTTGCTTAACTGTTAACTTCACCATAAGAATACTGTATTGTCAAACATTACAAGCAGTGATTTAGTCCAAACAATGAAACTACTGAAATTCAACTAACAAAAAGAAAAACTGATCAGGTGGCATCAGGTTAGGTCTGTGACATGCTCAGAATCCGGTAATAGTCAATCACAATGAGTCAGAGACTTCAGTAAACGCATCATTGCATGTCAAAGAAAATGAAAATGCAAGTTTGAGTAAGATTGCAAACTTTACATTGAACATATAAAATCATCTTTGTTTATCCTAATATTCGGTACTTATCAGGTAAAGTTCTTACCACTGCATGGATGTTCGATGCCGAGCTGGACAAGAGTCCACCTGAAACAAGGGAAATATTTTTAATTGGGTTGGGACAAGAAATCCTCCAAATCACTGATAAACTTTGATTATGTGGTGGAATTATTTCCCAGTTACAGACTTAGGATAAGTAGCCATGGTGCATGATCAAACCCCAAGTCAATACACCACTCTACAGTATTGACTTGCAAAGCCATATTTATCCCAGATTTCAGAAACTACTGGTACAAAGCAACAGCATACTTTAACATTAGTATTCACTACAGTTTTCTCAGACAAATGCCTCAATTGTCATCTTGAAAGCAAATCCTACCACTTTCCCAAACCAAAAACTGGCATGGTAGATGGTGAGAAATGCATCAGACTCGTCATCTTTGTCATCATCAAAAGCTTTGTTAGAAGTGCTACTGAAGCTTGACCCCAAATAACCACCCTACAGGCCATAACTTAAGGGATGGTTTAATGTAAATACTGGACACAACTGTAATTCTGACCAACAAAATCATTGGTGGTAGAAAATTGAACTAAGCAAAAGTGTTAAATGCTGCACTCAGCACATTGCAGCTAGGTGACCAGTTGAAGAGTCTGAACCAGACAATCCAGTGATTAACATGAGCACCTGTGAACACAAGGTTGAGGGTAAGACTTCCGCCCTTACCTCTCTTTCCCCTCCCCCCCCCCCCAAATTTTAGTGAGGAAAAGATATCAGTATATTCAGGTGATGATTTAAGAAAAAGCCATAACATAAGGGTTTGGCTGAGGCCTTGCATAATGAAATTTGGGGGGTGGGGGTGGAGGAGAGAGAGAGACGTTAAAGTCTTTCCAGGTTGAGTCGACCAAATAGTTCTGTTTGTTATTACCTCTTAAGAAAAGCTATGTTGCTGAAGAACATATCTTCCCCCAATTCTCACTGCTAATGCACCATGAAAAAAAAAGAATCAAGAAATGCTAAAGCAGAGACCAATGCTGCAATTTAGAATCTCTCAGACAAATGCCTCAAGTGTCATCTCGAACGTGATTCCCTCCACACTACCACATCAAAAACTGACATGATAGGCAGCGAGAAACAAGTCAGACTCGTCATCTTTGTCATCACCGAGAACAGCTAAATTGGCTCCAACAATGGCTCCCATCCTAGATTTCGAATAACCTATGATCCAGATCGTAACTTATTTTTCGTACAAAAGCCAAAATACAATAAAATAAGAAATGCCAGCTACTACTACATCACCAGACGACAATTTGCACTTATTAAACGATCGCTAATTGGCCTGCAGCCGAGGATTGAGTCGGATTCTGACTACGCTCTTGTCTGATCCAACAGGGCAACGTGCTACTTAAATTAAGGAAATAGTGTAAAATATTCAGTGGTCAATATGCACGCTGAGAAATTCATTTACCGGCATCACTGAAACAAATGTCTTCATCAAAATAGAATGTGAATGAAGACGAGGGACTGCAACCGACATTAGCCCATCGAGACATCCACACCTCCATCCGCAAGCATGAACTGCACACATGAAAATGGCGATGTGTAACCACGTGCTTCCGGTGACGGGCTTTACTAAAAGGTTTCACCACCAAGTAAACGAAATATGATTAATTATTTCACCTTTGAGATGTCAGAAAAAGAACGAATGAAAGGGCAATATAACATTTAAAGTTATTAATAAAATTAAACACAGCCAGTTATGCTTCCAGTGTGAAGTGACAAATGTCGTTACTGAATACTATCTGACGTAAAATCGCGAAGTGAGATAATGCACCCGCCTGGCAAGCAATCTCTGTTCACCGCACCGCACCTCAGTCACGCCCCTCCAATAATAACTAATATCTAGTCTCTGAAATGAACATACACTTACAGAAAAAAATTGTTTCCTAAATTATCACAGGAAAAGCAAGATTGTATGGGTGTCAACTTCATTATTGTGAATAACACGACGTTTTGGAGTGTATGCTTGCTCCTTCATCAGGTGAATGGTAGGGAGTATAAGGGGTGTGTGTGTATATATATATATATATATATATATACACACACATACATGGGCACTTACATAGAAAACATGTATAACAAGTTTAACAATGTTGAGGAAGAATATGTAATAACATGAGGCCAGTGATACATTAAAAACAACATGATAGATTGATGGGATGTAATACAAACACGAGGAGGCCAGTGATACACTAAAACAACATGGTAATAGATTTGATGGGATATAATACAAACACGAGGAGGCCAGTGATACACTAAAACAACATGGTAATAGATTTGATGGGATATAATACAAACACGAGGAGGCCAGTGATACGCTAAAACAACATGGTAATAGATTTGATGGGATATAATACAAACACGAGGAGGCCAGTGATACACTAAAACAACATGGTAATAGATTTGATGGGATATAATACAAACACGAGGAGGCCAGTGATACACTAAAACAACATGGTAATAGATTTGATGGGATATAATACAAACACGAGGAGGCCAGTGATACACTAAAACAACATGGTAATAGATTTGATGGGATATAATACAAACACGAGGAGGCCAGTGATACACTAAAACAACATGGTAATAGATTTGATGGGATATAATACAAACACGAGGAGGCCAGTGATACGCTAAAACAACATGGTAATAGATTTGATGGGATATAATACAAACACGAGGAGGCCAGTGATACACTAAAACAACATGGTAATAGATTTGATGGGATATAATACAAACACGAGGAGGCCAGTGATACGCTAAAACAACATGGTAATAGATTTGATGGGATATAATACAAACACGAGGAGGCCAGTGATACACTAAAACAACATGGTAATAGATTTGATGGGATATAATACAAACACGAGGAGGCCAGTGATACGCTAAAACAACATGGTAATAGATTTGATGGGATATAATACAAACACGAGGAGGCCAGTGATACACTAAAACAACATGGTAATAGATTTGATGGGATATAATACAAACACGAGGAGGCCAGTGATACGCTAAAACAACATGGTAATAGATTTGATGGGATATAATACAAACACGAGGAGGCCAGTGATACGCTAAAACAACATGGTAATAGATTTGATGGGATATAATACAAACACGAGGAGGCCAGTGATACACTAAAACAACATGGTAATAGATTTGATGGGATATAATACAAACACGAGGAGGCCAGTGATACGCTAAAACAACATGGTAATAGATTTGATGGGATATAATACAAACACGAGGAGGCCAGTGATACGCTAAAACAACATGGTAATAGATTTGATGGGATATAATACAAACACGAGGAGGCCAGTGATACGCTAAAACAACATGGTAATAGATTTGATGGGATATAATACAAACACGAGGAGGCCAGTGATACGCTAAAACAACATGGTAATAGATTTGATGGGATATAATACAAACACGAGGAGGCCAGTGATACACTAAAACAACATGGTAATAGATTTGATGGGATATAATACAAACACGAGGAGGCCAGTGATACGCTAAAACAACATGGTAATAGATTTGATGGGATATAATACAAACACGAGGAGGCCAGTGATACACTAAAACAACATGGTAATAGATTTGATGGGATATAATACAAACACGAGGAGGCCAGTGATACACTAAAACAACATGGTAATAGATTTGATGGGATATAATACAAACACGAGGAGGCCAGTGATACACTAAAACAACATGGTAATAGATTTGATGGGATATAATACAAACACGAGGAGGCCAGTGATACACTAAAACAACATGGTAATAGATTTGATGGGATATAATACAAACACGAGGAGGCCAGTGATACGCTAAAACAACATGGTAATAGATTTGATGGGATATAATACAAACACGAGGAGGCCAGTGATACACTAAAACAACATGGTAATAGATTTGATGGGATATAATACAAACACGAGGAGGCCAGTGATACGCTAAAACAACATGGTAATAGATTTGATGGGATTTGATGGGATATAATACAAACACGAGGAGGCCAGTGATACGCTAAAACAACATGGTAATAGATTTGATGGGATATAATACAAACACGAGGAGGCCAGTGATACGCTAAAACAACATGGTAATAGATTTGATGGGATATATAATACAAACACGAGGAGGCCAGTGATACACTAAAACAACATGGTAAGTGCTGTCTGACATCTCCGTATGTCTATGGCTTCCTGAAGCTTCCTTTGGCGCCAGGTAGGGTTAGTGTAAACATATTTTATTCAAAATAAATTGAACTAGGATTGGTAAACAAGCCGTAATGGCTTATTTGAATACCTCTCCATTTCACTGATACATGAATAAAACAAATATTAAATAATATGCAGCATGATAGGAAAGCAAGCAACCTGCGTATTAAACATTATTAATCATTTATCAAACCTATGCGATTTTATTATAAAAGTATGGACAGATTGTAGTACAATGATCACTGCAAAAAGGATCAAGCACACCCGAAGTGCGAATACAATTAGGGTTTGAAACAAAGATTAAATCAATTAACGTACTAGTCGTTTGGGTGATCCTTGTTGGTTCTGTGATAAGTTGCTGTAAGTCATATGTATCAAGAAGATTGTCAACCATGTTATTAATCTGGTTATGTATATTGATCGTCACGCCGAATACCCGGGTTCGAATCCCCACATGGGCACAATGTGTGAAGCCCATTTCTGGTGTCCCCCGCCGTGATGTTGCTGGAATATTGCTAAAAGCGGCGTAAAACCAAACTCAGTCAGTCAGTCAGTATGTATATTGATGTTAAAGTCACCAGCAATAATAGTATCTATGCCCATGTCAATGCCATTACCAATTGATTGGAGGACTAGTTCCCAATAAAGATCACTTTTATCTGCTCTGTAAAAATTTCCAATCAAATAGCTCTTGTTTTTACACATAACTTTAACCCAGATCGCTTCTAAACCTAAGGGAGACAACTTATCAGCATGTGTAACATGCAGGTTCTCTCTCACATAGATAGCAACACCTCCACCTTTTGATGGTCTATCCTTCCTAAAAGGGGGCGTGGTAACCGGGGATAAGAATATTATTGTTATCAATTGTGACATTCAACCGTGTTTCTGTTAAACATATAACATCATAGTCACTTAATTCTGCATGGATTAAATCAACTTTTTCTCTTAAGCTACGCACATTCAGATGAACTATTTTTAAGTCAGGAAAAGCAAGTGTGCCTGGATTTGGGTCCACATCACCACAGCATAGAAGAATTAATAACATAATCAGCTGCACTTGCTGATTGTATAAACATAACGTCATTATGGCATATGAAGTTTTTTTAAATTTTGCATAGGAATTTAACTGTGAAATCATTTAAAAAAAAAACTATTGTCTGTCGGTATGTCGAGATATCAACCGGCATCGTCAAATATGAATATAAACAGATCAATTTGAGGACAGACGGGGTTATTTGTCAAAGGATGTGAAATACGCTCAGGTTGCTGCTTCCATTTCATCAAGATAACAAGGTTCACCTTTACAAGCTCAATGTGTGTATATTCAAAACACAATAAACAAATATACAACGCAAATTCAACATAAAATAATTTTCCATAAGTCATAATGGAAAATATTAAAATACTGTTTAGGGGCTTGAAATACTGGGGGTTGAAATAGAGAATTGTCATACAGTGGATAAGAAAAGAAAGGAGGGAAGAGAAGTAATATGCAGTAAATAGGGAAATGTATACTAGTAAGGCTGACGATGCAATAAACTGTCAAGTAGTAAAACCAGTCTGAGCTGGTTTAGCTTTTAAGTCAAGATTGCAAACTTAAATTCTCAAGGCTTGAACGAGCAAAAATAGAAAAGCATCGTATTTGTTGTCATTACATAATGATGCATGGCTCGTATAACAGAAAGCACGAGATAAGCGGACTTTCCGTGCTAACAAATTCCCAGACGGGTCAGTTTTGTGAACATGTAAGGTAAGGTTGTTTGTGGACAGGATTTGGGTCGTGTTAACGTCGTGTTATTGACAATAAAGAAGTTGACATCCATAAAATTTTGCTTTTCCCATGTATTCCACTTCTAAATGCCATTCAAAGATTAAAATTATCATCATAAAATATAATGAAAAAGAGCC